ATACAGTCCGGTTGGTCCAAATAATTTGTCTTTTTCCTGGAGCAGGAAGACGCAGTTTTTACCATCTGGTGATATGGCAATTAAATTGTCTGTGTCATATCCAACAGAATATACATTACCACAAATGTCAGTGCAAATTGATAATGGACCTGTGAAATCTTTATGGCGAAACTTCCAAATACAATTACCGTATAGGTCAGAACACGTGACCGTACTGGAATCATACTCAGAATAATAAAGTTTGTCTTGGCAGGTATGAATGTTGCAGATTTTTTCTACATTCATTGGTACCGTTTGTAGAATTTTTCCATAGACATCAAGAGTTTGAATTCCTTGGTCTAAAACTGAAACCACAAATTTGTTGTCACAAAAACAAAGCCCATAACAAAAGTTTTTTGTAACGATTTTTCCAGCCATTTTGTTCTTGGATAGGTCAAACATGAAAATGGCTTTCTCTCTTGGTACTGTTACTGCTACCTTATTACTTTCGTGGTTGACTAAATCATATGGTTCTGATCTCATTTCTATATTTCTTTTATGAGAACCATCCGCATTGAACCAAACCAGTCTTCTGTTTTCCGAATCGTCCGTGAATAGTATTTCTTTGTTCTCAAGGATCACGCAGTTTCTAAGAAATTTCAGCTTCGGATCACGTGGTGTTACAATAGGTGTTCTAGACAGTAATCGGATGTTGGCCAGAGGACTCCTACTAGCGTCAGTACACTCGTCTTCAATGTCTTTTTTCAACTTTGACATGGTAGACTGGTACCTTATAACATCAATATCAGCTAAGCTTGTTATGGCAGTAAGTGTAGAAAATATATTAGAATTGAAAGAAACGTGGATATCAATTTCTTCTAAATCGGCATCTGATAAATCAGATACAAAACTTTCCTGTTCTTTTGCAAAATCTGACTCCAACTTTTGTGTGAGTAAAAATGTTTGTAAGTCGGAGGCATATTCACGTATGCATGTGATATTTTGAGCAATAGATTCAATATTCCGTTTTCTTGCTTCAATTTTACCTAAAAAGTTTTCAGTATCCATGGAACATCTTGAATAGATTACAGAGATGTCATTCAAAACTTTATCCTCAAGATTGTCAAGATAGCCATTAATCTTTTCGCGAAGATTTGTAATTTCTGTTTCAATGTTAGACTTTTCTTCCCTGATAGAGTCAAGGTTATCTTCTTTCTTTTTGATAATTTCTTCTATGTTCCCCAACACATGCGCTATGCCATGCTCAATATCCCAAAGCTTTGTTGAAAACTTCGAATTTCTTGACACATACGAAATGGGTAACATCCGTAGACACTTTTTATGCTCTGCAATGCATTTACTGCAAAGAGGAATTTCATGAATATCGCAGTACAGATCAAAGGTAAGTCCATGATCAGGACAAGTTTGTCTCATAGAAAACAATACAGACGGTACTCGTTGCAAATCTTTCACGACAACTTTGTGTTTTCTGGAAGCGGCAGAAGCCTTGTGGTGGTGTAAACAGCTCTCACATAGTCCTTCGCCACATGAAGGGCACCATACGACAGATTTTCGTCTGATATTCTTGAACGCACAAGGACCACACGGAACATGAGTTGCATTATCCATTTGTTAAAATGATATTAAAACAATGTACGATATAGAAAAATGTGAAATATTTTCAAATAAGAATACGTTTCAATGCAGCTTGAGTATTTTTCGTGTGATATATTTTGATTTGTTACGTGGTCAAGTGATGAAGTTATACCTAAAACAATAGAATATATCCTTCCTCAAATTGAAAATTCTATAATTATGATAAATGGTTTATGTCCTTATTGTCAATTCCTGTTATATTAGTGACCTTCATCCATTTGGGTATTAACGTTCATTTTTGATAATAATTACTCACGGTTCTTTCTTATTAAACAAGAGTAATATAGAATGATAATATTCTGTCCATTCAACAAATTTGCTTGTGTATTAAAAATTTCCCAATTGATACACGTCACTGTCGTTAGTGTTCTTTGTGTTTGAGTTGCTTTACATTTGTCATTTCGGGGCCTTTAATAGCTGACTATGCGGCATGGGTTTTGCTCATTGTTGAAGGCCGTACGGTGACCTATAGTTGTTAAATTCTATGTCATTGGGTCTCTGGTGGAGAGTTGTCTCATTGGTAATTATACCACATCTTCTTATTTTTGTATTTATAAAAAAATGGCTCACATTTCAATCTTTTAAACAATATATTGATTAAAATCTTGGGGTTTCCATCCATATTCTAAGCAATGAATGGAATTGGAGCTCAATGATTCGTTCACATTTTATTTAGTAAACTGATTTTGCCAAAGCTAATAGATGCTTTATAACAAAATGCCACAATAGCGACTCCTATATCGCTTAACTTACGGATTTGATTATTGTTATAATGAACATATTTTTTTTCCAAACAACAAGCTGGTAAAGCATGCATAAAAAGACACACGGAATGACATATCACAAGATGAATATAAATATCAAAACACATCTATACAATTTGATATTGAATAGTTTCAGATAAAACATAATGGTCATCTTATAACCGGCAAAGGAGATAACCTTTTTCTTTTCTTTTTCGGTGTGTTTTTGTTTTGTTTTGGATCCACACTAATTTTTAAAAGGGAGTATTTTATTCTTGATTTGGCATCTTGTGGTCCTAGTATTTTTACATATTATATAATCAATAAAACAGCAATGTTAATATCAATAACATGTCATTTTTTTTTTTAATCTGTGGAGAGATTTTCGAGAAATCGCTATTTAAAGTGAAAAAATGCATAATATTTATGACGCTTTGTACGTGCATTCTATCACGAAATCTATAGATTTATTTCACACGTATCAAATGATTGTATATCTGAAAGAAGTATAAATACTTCACATAAATATCCTTTTTTAGGTATGTAGTATAGTAGTGCTACATGTATTATGTCTGTTTACGTCGAAACAATCATTCCATGTAGCTTTTGTTAGGTCATGGGAAACTGTTGTTTTATTTCTTTCGGTGCTGTCGAAAATAATCCTTACATAGTATGTTTTCCATTTACAACTAACACTTAAAGGAACTTCTGTTCCGTGACAAAATTTCAATTATGATAACTTGAAAAGAAGACCCGGACTAGTACTCCGAATCAAATGTTGAAATCCTCGGTGTTCGAGAGGCAATAAACCAGGCGCGTAGCTACGTTTTCGTCAAAACGCCCCGTCGTATACATGAATTTAGGAGAAAACAATAATTTAATCTAGATAAAAAACTATCTGGTTAAAAGCACACGAGTCTTGTAATTTCTTTCTTCAATAACTAAGTTTTAATTGAAGATAAAAGTGACGAAATTTAATTTTTAATAAAATGGTATCATATTATATATTTGTTTATTTTCTGTCAAAGTCTGAATCTACTGTGAATTCTACTCTGTTTCTAATTGTCTTAAGCAATTCATTATCTGCTGAGATACGACAAAGTTTGTTACACATCAATTACTTTGTCAAACCTTCATCGAATTTTATGAAGATTTGGCAGAACCTTTTACATGATTACCAGGTAATGTCTGAAGAAAAATTTTGAAACTTTTTACTTTTATTTTTCAGAATTTTACTAACGTATTTTTATTGCAATTAACACACGGTCTTGGATTATTTTTTTTTATAAGAAATAATACTTGCATGCCATGCATGCTCTATGCTCATTTTAACAAAGGTAGGCATTATATTTGTCAATATCTTTATTGTAAAATGTTGACAAATATAATGCCTACCCATGTTACACCTAGTGTTAGCGAGATGTAAAATGTTGACAAATATAATTCCCACCCATGTTCAAATGAGCATAGAGCATGGCATGATATAATTATTTCGATTCTTATCGAGGTCCTGGCGTGCACCTAAAACAATAATGGCCCAACTACGCAACAGTTAAACGTGATTTCAATTCATTTTATAAATATGCGGATATGATGATAGATTACTTTTACCATTTCCCGTTGCGTCGTGTTATTTTACTTCTTCTTCTTTTTGTTTGTTTTGTTTTTGCTTCCGTTTTGTTCTGTTACGCTGTTTGATCATGGCTATTTATTTTTCGAGAGGTACGTGTAGGCCGTCATCTATTATTTTTTTAATATCATTTTGTATGTGCGGATAGTCACATTTTAACGAGTTCTATAATGTAAGATGTAAACTTCGTATATTCGTATGTACGCAAAGCGGCCAATGAACTATTTCAACAGTATTTCGCAATATATACATGAATGGCTGATTAAGGACTTCGCAGTGGCAGGTCCAGGGGGGGGGGAGGGTTCCGGGTGTAACCCTCTTGTTGGACCCCCTTTTTTGACGATCTATGCTTTTGAATGGGGTCATATAGTTGGAACCCCCCTTTATCCTGGGTTGGAACCCCCTTTTAAAAATGGCTGGATCCGCCCCTGATTGTATAGTAAGTACAGTACAAATCCTAGCTTTGACTGATCTGGGACATATAATAGCAGCCATTTGTAAAAGTGGGGTCCAACGGTTCCAACCATATGTCCCCATACATAAGTTGTCAAACAAAAAGGGGTTCCAACCCCCTCCCCCTCCTACTATGAATCTCTCTATATAATATATCAGTGACAGCCGTGGATAGTAAACTTGGAATTGATAGTAAATAGCAAATACACATTATTTATAGTAGATGTATGTTCATAGAATACAGAAAAACGCGAAAATAATAATTGAAATTAATAGAAAACAAAAAAAATAACGGATTTTGGAAATAAGGGGGAGGGTTAAAAAAAATGTCCTGTCCCCAAGTACCTATGTAAAGGCTAGCTGTGTTGTTCCCGCCTTACTAAATAGTTTGACAATGGCGTGGCTGAATAGTTTATGATTTTCATTATGTGTTACTTTCTTTAGATGTATGTGGTTTATGTAAATGTCATCAATAGAAAAGAATACTTTTCCGGAAACTATCCGGTATTTTTACTACATATTACAATTTCGGGTTAAAAAAGGGCACGTTGTTTTTAATATATTTCCGCGAAATATTATCTAATACTAACTTAACAGCCTTAACACAAAGCGCAAACATGTTATTTTTGAGTGCTTGCTGGTTAATAGCGATGTTTGCCATCATTTTGGGATACATTTTGGTGTTGTCAAAATCTATTTTGATTCCGACTCTTTATCTCTTTGGAAAAGGCCGTGGATTAACAGGTTATGGATTACACCAAGATGAACATTCATTTTATCTTGTACCAAAAAGGTAATTTCAGTTATTTATTAAGATTTTCAGCTTGCTATTTTATATCCGTTGTTTTATTTAAAATCTTCACTAAATATGGGGGGGGGGGGGGGGGGGGGGGGGGGGGTTGGCTCTTCTTAAAAAATTAGGACTTCACCCTCATAAGAGGGAATATCGCTTTAAATTGCTACATCTTTTCCTAAAAAATATTTATATGAGAATATTTTTAATTTTAGCAAAATGTTTTGTGTGCCTGTTTATTTGTTCGTCTCAATGGTGGGTTGGTTGGTGAATCCTTAATGTCCTTGCCTCCAGGAATCTGAAGAAGAGCTTTTGGAGTACTTTCTTTCTCCATGTGAAGTTGTACACAGGGGTGGATCCAGCCATTTATAAAAGGGGGTTCCTAACCCAGGATAAAGGGGGGGGGGGGGGGGGTTCCAACTATATGTCCCCATTCAAATGCATTGATCGTCAAAAAAAGGGGGGGGGGTTCGAAACCCTGGAACCCCCCCCCCCCTGGATCCGCCACTGGTACACATGTGAGTCTATGTCTACAGCCAGATCTCAGTAACTAGTTGGCAATTAATCTTGTAAAGGAGTAGGGGAACTAAGCCCCGGTTTTTGCCCAAGAAAATAAAGTGTTTGAGAACTATTTCAAATTTTCTCATAATGTTTGGAAATGCATAAAATAAAGAAATATAAATGCATATCATCATAATTTTGTGATGTTCTGACGTCACAATTACGTCATAATATACACCGTTTTCATAAAAACAAAGAAAACTGCAGAGTTTATGCACATAACATTTTCCTTTATGGAAACATCGTGCTCAGGCAAGGCACAACAAAATAATTTTAGAGAAACTCTATTATAACTATTGACATATTCTAATCAAATATAAAGTTGTTTCTTGCATGCACACATACTTTTCCAATCTAATGTATACCTAAAATTTGAGGTATAACAAGGGAAATCAAGGAATTTTACAAAATACACATTTTGTCATGGTTTGTTGCCTTGGTAACTCCTTAAATGTGAAATTTATTTTTATTTTCTGAACACCTTGTTTCTTAGTGTAGTTTGGACAAATTTAAAAATATGTTACATAGTGACTTTTCAATTTGCGCTTATATTTGGGCCAATGAAGGTGTAATACCACCAAATCATAGTACGTCACATCCGGTTGCATACAAAAAAAGGGTTGAAAAAAATATTCCCTTGAATATGACAGATGTAGGAAATTAAACCTACATTTCAAATTTAAAAAATTCTGAGTCATAAACATATATCTTTGGTGTTTCAAAGCACCATTCTTTTTTATTTGGTGTTTCTATAAAATATTTTGGAAACTTGAAGTTACATGGTTACTAAAGTTTGTAAACAGGAAAGAAAGGGGTAGAAATTTGATTGGTTAACTTCCAGTGATAGTTATTATCTGATAAGCAATGAAATTTTATGTGAAATTTTGTCTGTAGTACTGGACAGGATAAAACTTTACTCATGCCAAGTATTTCTTTATTTGAAACAAAGATAAATTCTACACAATTTTTTTGAAGTGCAAATTTAACAAAGACTAATAGGGGAAAAACAATGGTGGTATTACACCTATAGGGCCTTATTGCCCCTACTCCTTTGTACATGTGCGTAGGTGCATTTAAGGGAGTCCTACTTTGTATTGCAAGAAGATTGTCATGGTTTAATGAAACTGTTTAAGGTTTACATCCAAGTTGATGTTGGTTATATTTTATGTTGGAGTTCATATCTCTTCAACTATAATTAAAAGGAAAATAGAAAATTGTGTAAATATGCATTTTGAGAGGTAGTGCCAGCATTAAGGTAAAAGTAGGTCACTGTGAAATTTATTTCATGCTTCATTGAGTATTGAGTTTTAATTCAAAATTCATATTTCAGTGTATAAGAAACATGATTATCTGAACTTGTGGAAATATTCATTTTTGGGAGTAGGTCAGCATTCAGATGAAAGTAGGATACTGTGACCTACACAATGTACATTATGTACTTCTTTGACTTTGGTTAAGTTTTACAATTGAGTGTATTCTCCACATCCACACTTCCTCAATTAGCTATTCTTCATCTATGGCTATTTACACATGGTTAGCAAGTCTGCTAAATATGACTATTGTATAAAATGTTAGCTATATCCCTTTCTACTACCTAATCATACACAGTTTGATGAAATTTACTTCTAATTATTGATTAGGTATTTATAGATAAAAAGAATTTGTAAATTGAATTGACCTGGAAATGCCAATGAAAAATTTGTTAAATATATTATAAAGTTGCATAGAGTTTGAAATAAATTCCGTTTATTTTAGACAGTATTTGAACAGTTTAGACTTGTTTAATCTGAATTTGTGTAAACTACTTGATGAATAGAATGTAAACTTAGAACAAGTAGTCATCAATCAAATACACAAATCTCCATACATGTATAATAATATAATAGTAAGAAAATGTGGTACCATTGCCAATGAAACAACACTCCACCAGAGACAAAATCACGTAGAAGATTAGCAACTATAGGTCATCGTACAGCCTTAAACAAAGAGAAAAACCCATACCGCATAACAAGCTAGAAAAGGCCCAGAAATGACATATGTAAAACAATTCAAACAAGAAAATTAATGGCTTGATTTATGTACAAAACAATAAACGAAAAACAAATATGATAAACATAGCTTATTTTTTTCAGGTGGTTCAGTCATTTTTATTTTTGTGGGATAGTATGTAACAGTTTAGTGATGTTGGCAACCATTTATACATATCTGTATAGTGGAACCTGGCCATCAGCTATTAAATATATCATGGACATGTTAGGACATTCTGAATCAGGTATATATATATTAGTGGAGTGACAAATCAAGAAAAAGGTGCTTATTTTATGACTTTAATGGACCGGCATAACTGTAGACTAAAAATGATTTTTTTGCAAAGCGTATACCTTAATCTTACTTTTTTGCCCATTCGTAGCCGTTTCCTACGGTGCAGTTTTTCATAAAATGGAAAGAAAAAACCATGTTGATTTTTTCATTCAAAATTCAACTCGACAAACTTTTTTACTTTTGTTTCTTTTTATAGTCCTCAAACTCTTGATTTGGCATTTTATGAAGAGTTTCAGTACTATTTCATATTGTAAAACTATAATTTCTTCTATTTTGCCTTATTTTTGTTCATTTTCACTCAGTTTTAAGAATATGCACTCTGTTTTATTTCCACAGAGTGGTTACAACATTTGTAAATTTACATTGCATCGATATCTTCCAAATTTTTTTGCACTAAAAAGTAATGAAACTTCATTTTGTACAGTTATGAGACCACTCCGGCTCAGTTTTCTAATAAATTCAGGTTTTTCGACATATTTTAATATACATTATAATTCAGTGAATTTCCGGATTTATTAAGAAATAAAATCACTCCTTTTTCACAAGAATTTTAAACCAAGGCCCTTTACTATAGGTCTTACTCAGTTATTTTTTTTGCTTAGCAATCCGAAGAAAGAAGATATTATATCTATATAATATATCAGTGACCACTGTGGATAGTAAACTTGGAATTGATAGTAAATAGCAAATACAATTTATTTGTAGTATATCTATGATCGTAAATACAGAAAAACGTGAAAATAATTGAAATTAATAGAAAACAAAAAAAATAACGGATTTTGGAAAAAAGGGGGAGGGCTAAAAAAAAATTGTCCTGTCCCCAAGTACCTATGGAACATACCACTTGTTTCTTGGTGTTTGCATCACTCAGTTTGCAAAAATTGCAGATATATATTAAATTCAACTTTGATAGAATAATGCTGTCAATAGATTGCCATGCATACACTATATCTTTATCAACTTTATATTCACTAGTTTGTCTAGACATGAACTTGAAATAATTTCGGAGCAGGTTTCTTCATCAGCGGCACTGACTTTGCAATTTCTTTTGCCACTAATTCCATTCTAAGATAATCATCTCAGCCTCTTTAGAAGCTCTTTGATCAAAAGGAATGCACTTTGTCTTTCGTATCCGCTTTTTTGGGAACCGGTAGTTCCCTTTGGTCTCCCTTATTTTTCATTGTATAGGTGGTAAAATTATAATCGAGATCGATTTTGTAGAGTTCAATATAATTTTCGCAATAAAAAATTATTTCATATTATATGAAAAGAAATATAAAATAAGACCGTCAAAATAGCAAAACTCTATATAAATCGCTATTTTGCCAGAGCCGGCAAAATAGCCACTGCCTAAGAAATATGGTCTATGGTAGACGTTTTATAGTCCCACATTATACATGTTATAAGAATATGAGAATGTCATGGGCTTTCATCTTTTTTTTATAGCAACAGTTAGTAAGTTATTAACTTCAGCTGGGCTAGATGACATATGTGTTGACTCTGGAGTTTATGCTCGAAATACAGTAAACATATTCTTATTTGCAAACAATTTAATCATGGTGTTCCAGAATTAACACTGCCTTATGAGGCTCTCATGGTTCCTTTATTTAAAGCATTTTTCAATTGATGCAGAGACATAAACTGTATAAAAGCATTGAATCAAAAGTATGGACGGCCTCCATTGACTGTCAAAGTTTATGTTTTGTCTTATCCAAAAGAACTAAAGGCATTGAAGATTTCTTTACTGTTTTTAAAGACCACATATTTGCTTGAAGAATTGAGAACACATACGGGTTTTCTTAGAAAGACCTATGTTATCCTATTTCCTTCAAGACCTTGTTTTTATATGCAAGGGTGAAGAGCTTGAAATAAAAGTTGTGTATACAACACACAGAGTTCGGCTTGTACAAGTATTTGATCGTGTGGAGGGTCTGAGGGATGTAGGAATCATTTTACTCGCAAGCAATTTCTGAAGAAGACGACAATGAGAACGATGTCTGAACAAAATATGTAAAGTCCGAAATATTGGAAAATTATTTCGTGTAAATATATTACAGTAGAACTCATGGAGGGTGGATACAGTTTTGACTATGCGGAATGTTTCAGGGAAGAATAATGAGAAGCCGGTGTTATGAAAATGTTGTACACTTTGCATTTAAAGTAGCCTTGCAGCAGCTCTTTCTGAGGGGTTCATAGAAGGCTGCTGATGTCAAAATTCCTGCCCATACAATCTCAATGTTCACAACAGAAAAATATATGTTTACCTATCAGTACTTCATTTAAACCATTTTATTCTATTCATAGTGAAATATTTGCCGCTGGCAACCGGTATATGATTAAACAAAAACAAAATAAACCTCAATTCTTTCTGAAGAAACTGCTTAAAACCCAGAAATATATCTTTAAATGTACATGTAATGTACAAAATATCAATGGAAAGCAATTACCTGTTTTGTCTTTGCCTTTTTCTTGTTGCCCACCCGAATTTCCCTAAAAATGGTCATTTGGCGATTTTTATTTTTTTTTCAAATTGACTCAAAAATGAACTGCTATTATTTATTCTTTCGTTAAAGGAGTAATTTCTTGCCTATTTCACAATTCAGATATTATTTCCTGACTTTTTATAACCCCTTGTGAAATTTTTTTTACACTAACGAAAAACTCGACTTCCGAACTTTGGCCTCAAATTTTACAAATCTAATTTGCACCATTTTTCGATTCTATGACCAGGCAAAATTAAAAGTTTAAACATTTCTCTAACAAAAAAATCCTAATTTAGCCTGCAGTTAGGGTGGTCCATTAAAGTTGAAAATTCGTTGGCTTGGTCACTCCATTATATATCATGTATAAAAATTACAATAGTGGAACTTTGCAGTGGTTCAAATTATCCTGAAATCTAACAAGTTTGAGGAAAATATCATTATTAGTAAAATTTCTAGGCTGATTTATTTTTATTTTTCCCAATTTTAACATCTGGAGAATTGCAGGCATCAGGCATATGAGCTGATCTGAATATTGGGTCGATTCTGACAACTTATTCTTTCACCCGTAAGTACATTAACCCTTATTCCTGTTAACCAAAATTCTCTTTTTCCAGATTTAAAAAAAATAGTTTTAAATGTTTGTGTAACGAATTGTTTTCAATAATAGTATATATTACTAAAAATAGATGTTGGATGCATGCCAATGAGACAGCAACCCAATGACACAAATAACTAAAAAACATCTAAAGGTCAACATACAGTCTTCAGCATTATACTGTATCTTGATAGTTGGCATTAGGAACCATTCTTGGCTTAAAAATAAATCACATCAAAAAATTTTTAGGAAATAGAAAAAAGAACACAAATAGTTATAATAATAATAATGGTTGTTAGTATTTTTATTTCTCTGAACTAAACTTTAAAAAGTAGCCTTTTTTCTCACTCGCACAATTTCATATTCCCATTCACATAGAATGTAGTTTTGATTTTTATTCATAATCAATAAAAGGATTATGCATATCAAATCCAATAAGGAGATCAAAGAGATGCAGAAAACCAAACAGTCATGATCCCTGTTGCCAGTGTAAAATGCTAGTTTTGATTGCACATTCTCAAGTTACGATGCCAATAACCATGTAATTAACCTGTCTTTGTCATCTGTATGGTTATACAGTGTGTCTCAACTGAACTATCCCAGTTATGGTGTCTCTACTGAGGTATCACTGCCTATCAGGAATGTCAGCAATAAACATCTTTTCAAGATCGATATATTATATGCTTTTATAGATTAAAAGAAGCAGCATTTGGTAAGCAGTTTTTCCAAAATTTTACGATGCTGGCCTGCAATTTCACTAAGGTTTTATTACAACGAAATGCACGAACTTGCTTAACAAGCGAAATTACCGGGCTTGGCTGTGCTGGATAATTTGCCAAACTGGCTACCCTGAAAAGTTTCCATGGTTCATATAAATAGACTAAATGAAAGAATATGAGATTACTATATTAAATCGCCTTGACTTTGTTTTACAATTAAAAACGCATTTAATTGTGTACCGCCAATGCAGTTTGTTCACCTAAACAGCTGGCTGAGAGTATTGCTTTTCAAAATGATTCACTGATTGAAAAGTTATTTAAGCTTTTTCAGAAAACTAAAACCACTAAAACAATTGAAGATAGTCATATTTCCTGTTGGACGTTAATTTTTCCGAAGTTATTTTTGTACATTGCCAATCCTGTGATTTCCGGTACATTTTTACGTGAATGTGTTATGAGGAAGTTGTTACTTAATTTTTGTTTTATTCAATGGCGTGGGACTTACTTGAATTAAAGTGTTTTCTTCTGGCTTTTGTTATCACCTGAGATATAGTATGCTGAACCCACAATCATGACAATTATCGTAGATTTGCTCATATGCTAATTATTTTAAATTAAGAAACTAATATGTTTATTAATGAATTTGCAAGTCAACTGTGGTTCATTTTACAATAAATGCATACCCAAATAGTTACGAATACCAAATTAACGTGAATTTCATGATTGATTTGAATACAGTGTTGAGTATATAGGAGGAAAAGTTGCGTTTAAGTTTACCATGGTATTACTATTCATTTTTAATGTTACTTCAAACATGCAATTATTTTAACTTTTTGATATGGAATGCAATATAGTCGTGTGTTTGGTTTTGTCAGTTTTTATGGACTTCCCTTTTTCGAATTTACCTTGAACTTTGGTAATTTTGTTATTGCAATCTTTTCTTAAAATCCTGGAATTATATCTAAATATCGGTTTTATTCGATATTACAAAATTCCAGTTTTATTGTGGTCTAAATGCTCTTATTACTTGATCTACAATGGAAACAATCAAACTCGTAAACTGACATTAAGACAAGAAAAACAATGTAGTTAAACAATAATAAAGAAAAGACACGGTGAACTGTCAAACCCGTCTCATGATTAGTTCGTCTGATGCAAGTGAAACCAAAGCCTTAAAAATAAAATTTAGAAGATTTACGAACAGAATTTATTATTGCTTGAGCATCTGAGTTCAACTAAATAAAAAAATAGTGTAGTTCGGTTTACTCAGTCTTTAGTTTTCTATGTAATTTCCCGACTGTAGTTTTTCTTTGGCGTTGTTTTTTATTCTTTTGGCTAGGGTACTGTCTGTCGTTTGAACTTTCGACATATAATTGATATCTTCTGGCTTTTTATTTAAATAAACGTAATCAGTTATTTCACCGTCGAAATTACTGGTTAAGCTAACTGGGCAGACGATACGTATATGAAAAGTAGTCCGTCATTTGTAGTATTGGAACTATTTAATCAAGTCCAGAAATTCGAATTTTACTGTTTATCTTGATGATTTCTGAAATTTCATTTAGCATGTTTAGGTTTACAGCATGCATGCAAACCGTAAACGATTAGGGCCCAACGAAATGGAAGATTCCTCACAATTGCAATATTTTTGAAAATATTTTAAGTACGTCAGATGTCTCGAGGTAGCGTACTCGCCTCGAGTGCGGGAGGTCGTGGGTCCATCCACAGGCTCTCGTCTGTATTTCTTTTTAGCCAAACCTTTATATACTAATAACGTATATAAAGTGTTTTAGGGGAAAAAAAATTCAGAGAAAAGTGCCTGTGGTTCCATCCCCATCGTGTAAACTCGTGAAAGTAAAACAAATAATACTTTATTTTCCTCCATTAAGCATGCAGCGTCTAGTCCTATATGAAAAACTGGTCGGAGTATGGTCTTGTTCGAAATTGACACGCTTTGGAGACGTAATTAATTTAGGGCATAGTATACAGTTACAAGGGTGGTAATGACGTTGCTAACGTAAAATGTTCGACGTCAAACGTTGACATATATCCGGAGAAAATGCATTTTTCGACTGATTTTAACCATAAGCTTGAAAACGAGTACATGGACCCCTCTTTTTGAAAATGACATTTTTGTTTGATTATGTATGAAGATTAAGTGTACCAATTTTTACGAACAAAATCACTAATAAATTTATAATTATTAAATTAGATAAATATACAGCAAAAAATGCCGCTTTTTTCTAAAATAATGATAATTTAATAAAAATGAATTATTTCCAAAGAATTGTAACACAAATTTATAGCATACGTTTGCAAAGAAGATATTCCAGATGGTTTTACAAAAATGTATACTGTTATCTTTTGAAACAAAAAAGTTCAGTACATCTATGTTTGTACAAAGCAAAGGAAAGTCCAAGAAACCGAAATTTTGAGTAAAGGCCCCGTCACACTAGACCAAGACCATAAAGATCCCACTACGATCTATGAAAAATAAGATGAGATCGTGGTATGGTCGGCTTGAATATATTCAATATTTCCTAGTTTTCACGTTCATACCACGACCTTGCTATGATCCTGATAAGATCCTGCTATGATTCCTCTACGATAGTAGCACGTTCTAGTTACGATATTGTCACGCTCTTGCTACGTCTAATAAGACCTTACCACGACGTACACGATCTCAATACGAGTCTACTTCGATCGAACCACGACTCCACTACGTTGTCACTGCGCTCTTCGTCCCTGTAAATATCTTGATTTTCCCATTGTACACACCAGTTTCCTTGAGAAAACATGCCGCTAAAGGTATCAAAAACACTTAGAGGTCGTGGTACTTAAAGTAAAGGTAGAGGTAGAGGAAGGGGTCAGCCCCTAATTTAATTCAAAATATAACAAATATGACGGATAAGGATGAGGAGTCGACTGCTGCAGATGAAACCGCAGCCCCAGTCCCAACCATAGAATCACAGATTGATGTCAGGGCTGTTGGAAGTGGAGAAGATACTGATGTATCAATCTTAGCTGGGGCCGAAAAAAAAGATCGGTATCAGATTTGTCTTTAGAAGAGGAATAAAGCATGACGGAGTGGCTTGCTATTCATCTCATATTTTATAATAAAAAAATGACTTCATATATGGATACTAGCTCGCCATTCATTTGGTTTTGTTGGACAAGATATGACTTCATCTTTATATTCATGTTCAATTGCCTTGCAAACCTACGCTGTCTAGTATGCCTTCTCCTTCTTCTTATGATTAAAAGTGTAGCCTGATCGGCCAAATCGATACAGTGCAGCTGAATTAAACATTGCAGAAGTAGGTTTTGCTCATGTGTGTTAATGGTTGAACTACAGGTGGAAGTTATTGCATCCGTTTTTTATATCAACAGAATGAGGTCGTGCAATTATCGTGGCTAGGACGTATTAGTATCGTATTATGGTCGTATTAAGGACGACACGCGCGTAGTAGCAGCGAACTATTGTCTTCTTCATCGTAGTAGAATCGTATCAATATCGTAGTAGAAGTGACTGAAGCGTGATAAAGATGAAGTGAAATCGGGATAGTCGCAGTGAAAACATAGTAAGGTCGCAGCGAAATCGTTTCCATTGGCTTCCCGATTGCACCACGTTTCTAATACGATGCTTCCACGTCAGTCCCAATCTTACTACGTCCTTACTTCTACCTACCTACGCTTCTACTACGGTTAGTTTTGGCCACGACTGCACTACGAATGTTTTGAGCATGTTCAAAGTTGGTCGTGGACCTCCACGATCATGAAGACCTTGGCACGTCCTTACTACGACCACCACGATCTTACTACGACTTCTAAAAATTTTCATTATTTCTGAGGTCGTAGCCGGATCGTTTTCCTAGTGTGATGGGGGTTATAAATGTCTTCAAGTAGCACATGAAGGTATATTTTTTTTATAACATATCTAAATTGACTAGGTGAAAAAAAGCTTTTATGCAAATTTTCGTCAAAAATTTACCGTGGGATCTAAACTGTATCGTATGCCCTTAAGGTAAAAAGTGCGTTATACTTTTACCACTGAAATGTGTTACTTTTTTAATCATGGTCAAACATTGTAATATGATAAAAAAAATGATATTGAATAACAGAGGAAATCAAATTCAATTCTATTATATTAAAGTTTTGGGATCAAAAATTTATTTCAAAATAGTGTTGGGCCTTTTATAGCCGACTATACGGTATGGGTTTTTCTCATTGTTGAAGGCCGTATGGTTGCCTTTAATTGCTTACATCCACTTTATTTGAACTTTGATGGATAGTTGTCTCATTAGCAATCGTACCTCATCTCCTTATTTTTATTTTTATAAAAGCATGGCAGATTACTGAATGCAAGGTTGGAATTGGAATTTATCATCATACTATAGTCCATATGTCATATTTTAGCATGTACATAGACAGAATATTCAAACTTATCTTTAATCAAATCGTTTGATGCAAACATGGTCCAACAGATAAAAAAAGTTTTTAGAATTATTGTCTTGTTTATAGTATTACCGATAAACATGTTTTCACAAATTTTCCTTGTTTCTTTGCAGGTCAGATTTCTCCATTATCAGTATTATTAGCGGTAACCATGATAGAGGTACAAGTAGTCCGAAGGTTTATAGAATGTGTCTATGTCAGCAGTTACTCACGCAGTACGATGAGCTTGGTCATATACATTGTTGGTTTAATGTTCTATGCTTTTGTTGGTATTTCTGTATTGTGTCAGGCACCAGAAACTAAGATAAAGCTTGGTAAGCGTCACTGTGATAAACATATTCATATCAAATGTTATACACTTTTATAAGAACCATATATTAGGAAACCATGTAGGACATGAACAAAGCCTAGATATCATTTGAACTATAACAATCATTTTTTTTACGAGAATTAGGCTTAATTTTTCCGAGATAGGCGGCGTCAAAGATTTTGATAAGCCATACAGGAGACTGGGGCAATGTATATATCAATGTGTTGACAGTTTAGTAATTTTTTGGAATAGAAACTGTCATGAAACTGCAGGTTCTAAATAAGATATTTTAACGCAAAGAAAAGTATTTTTATATTTCTTTTATTTACAATTTGTTGTTTGACCAACTATTTCTATATTTTAGATACTTTACCTGTACAGTGGTTTGACACTTTGGCTGTTGCCATATTTATCTGGGCAAGTTATAAACAGAATAGAATCAATAAGATATTTGCCAAATTGAGACAGGACAAAAGTGGTATGTACGAGATTCATTTAGCTTGATTTATTACTAAAAATATGATTTCCTCTCGCACAACGCATGTTTCTGAGTTAACATTGGAGAGTACAAAAAACCAAAAGGTTTTAATCAGAACAGCAACACTATATAAGGTGGAACAGTAACACTGTTTAAGATGGGGAAGTTATAACCTTAGCTTCAGTCTTTTTACATAGTTAAATTAACTGGAAAATTAAAAGAAATATATTATTTGAATCATGCAAATACAAAAGAATTGTTTAGTGGGTAAATGATACCATCATGGACTGATAGTCCACCCATGGAGATACCAAAAAGTGAGAAAAAAAATACCGAACTTTAAGGATAATTCAAAACGAAATCCCTCATCAAATGGCAAAATCAAAAGCTCAAACACATTAAAATAAATTAAAAACAACTGTCATATTCCTGACTTTTACAACCCAGTGGCAGTCTTGAAAATATATATAGTGTTATTTCCGTGCAATAAACTAATGATTAAAGAATAATGTTCACCTGGTACGCTCGAGGCCAAATGTTTTATATAAAAGTTTAAAATATAAAACAATTGAGGGCACAATACCAGAAAACCAGAACAGCCACAGCTGTATAAGGTAAACTTTTTCCGAGGGAGTTGCAACCTTAGTTTTACCACAATTACATAATTTAATGAACGGAAAATTTACAACAATATATATCATTAGAATTTCAATATTTCATTGTAAAACAGCTTAAATCATAACGGAAAACACAAGTTGAAACATTGGAATTTCAAAAATAGCAGGAAATTTATTAGTGGGTATAGTCACTGGTACAATGTATTTTTAAATGGGTATAAATATGCATTGAGTTTATTATTCGAAGGATAAATAGTTCACGTACTGGAAGCTTTTAAATTAAAAAAAATACATCAGCAAATCGTTGAAACAAACAAAAATCAATTTCGAGGATAAAATATGTAGCTAGGTAGGTGACGGTTGATTCAACAAATTTGATTACTTTATTTCCCCCTTCTTGAGCTGTCGATTCATATTTATTATTTTTTAATTTTCATTTCCTTGATGGTTTATGTTTCTCGGTTGGTTCGATGCGCGTGTTTGCTAAGAAATCTGATTTCAAAAACTAAATATTTTAATTACTAGTACTAAAAAACTTTTACAGCAGGGACACAGATATCACAAATAGATGCCATCAACAATATAGAGTAATATATTGTGCAAATATGATTCCATGTTTCCATCTTAATAAAAAGTGGTATACCACATCCCGCTTCATTATCTGCTAGTTTAATCCTGATATTTAGAATTAGGCTTATAATTTGAAACGCCAGACGCGTTTTGTCTACAGAAGACTCATCGGTGGCGCTCGAAATAAAACAGTTTTTAAATTTGGTTTTCCTGTACTTGTTTTTATTGTATGTTCTTTTATATAAGTATTGTTAATCTACTGTTCAAGAAATAAAAAAGAAATGTTTGAGTTCTCAAAAACCTAGTTGCACCGCGCCACATTTTTCATTTGCCTGTCCCAAGTCCGTACCCCTCGCCAGTAGTTGTCGTATGTGATGTCGTAGTGTTTGTAGTTGATTTGAGAATTGGGTGTTAATGGCTGATTGTTTCTGTTAGATTTACTCACATCTTTTATAGAGTCGGAAAGATTTAGAGCTTGATATTTTGCGTAGACGCCTGTCTATTGTTAAAGACGGTATGTTGCCCAATAGATTTCCTTCCGTTATTTTGTTGTTGGAACGTATTCCTAATATATCCTTTTAGTCATATTTATGTTTCAAGTCAGGCTTCACAGATTAAGTCAAAGTGAAAAAAAAATGAATGGATGAATTTATTGGTTTTAACGTCCAGTGGCCATTGTTACATGCAAATTAGGACGAGCACATGATATTGTGATATGAAGATGAATCATGATTTTTGCAAGATGACACTGAGCCAGATTTTGAACGTTTTAGTTAACAAGGTAACAGTCCGCAAAAAGACATGTCACCTTATTTTTATACCTGAACAAATTTTTCTAACTCCGATCCGACCAATTTTTTCTCCTACTCTCAAATCCAGCATGCTTAGAGGAGAAGCAGCAAATATCAATTTTCAAATCTTTGTTTTGACCTGGCGGGATCAAACCCGAACCCCCGCACTTGAGGCCAGCACGCTACCACTGAACCACGGAAGCATGTAGATAACAATAATCTTATTATTTTAAGTGTTTGTTGGTGTAAATAAAAATAGACTGTAAATTTCTTCAATTGCAATTTTTCATATCGATGTACTAGTATTATATATGTTGCAGGTCATGTGGAAGATCATGCCCATCACATACCTCATGGAGATTTATTCAGACTGGTTTCCTGTCCACATTACCTCTTGGAAATTATCATTTACACCTCACTGAACATATTATTCCTTGGTCAACACGAGATTATACTATATGCATGGGCATTTGTTGTATGCAATCAGGTCATTTCTGCTATCATAACTCATTCATGGTACAAGGAACACTTCCCAAGTTATCCACCAAAAAGAAAAGCATTAGTTCCTTACATTTTTTAATTTCAATTTTACTCATTTAATCTAATTGTTTTCTTTACAATACTAGTGTTATCAAATTATGCCTGGGTAAAGAACATTCCTGATGTTCCTCAATCCCAATATATATGATGAGTTTATGTACATAATTATTTGTTTACCATTTTCCTATTTGAAATTTGGTTGCATTATAACACATTTTGATGTTTAGGGTTCAATTTAGAAAACATAATTTAGCTGTCTAAGTATATGTATTTCTTATTTAGTATGTTTGTTTAGACATTCGGAAATAGATTCTCATTATGTGTGATAACAGGGGATATTTTTTTATTTCTGTTAAGTTTCGTTTAATGCATTTGATCATTTTGAACAATTATCTGATAAACTTTGCCTGGGGGAGTTACTACCTTAGCTTTAGTTCAGATGCAACATTATGTGAATTGAACATTTATAGACAACATTTATCATTTCAGACGCATTAAATTCATAATAGGTTATTTACAAAAAGTATGTTCAGAGTTGATTATGCACATAAGATATTTGCCAAAATATTTAACAAATTGGATTTGTATAATAGGAAATCCATTGGTAGAAATATGCTCAAATATGTTTCACATTATATATGTTTGAAAGTTGTACAATGAATATTTCATTCCAATATATGTAGTGGTTTTACAAATTTACATTCCATGGAACGTTTTTACAGACATATTTCAATACATTAATAAGGTCCGAATGTTTCCTAATAATACATGTAGATATACATCTATAAGGTCAGTTTTCTTTTGTTCATTCATACACTTTTCCTCTGTAAACGTGGTACATGTTTCTCCTAAAAAAACAGCAAATTCAAACTAGTTTACAAAATCATTTTTGTATTGAGGATTTTGAATTACTCATTGCATTGATTCCCCATTCAAGTATTATTTTAAATTAAAACTCCCATTTCCACATTAAAACATAATCAGTGGCAGTATTACTGTTAAATCACAGTAATAATAATATAATTTAAATTAAATCGTGGCCTTTTTACAAAACTTGCAGTAAAAAGTCAAATAACAAAAATACCGAACTCTAAGAAAATTCAAAACGGAAAGTCCCTAACCAAATGGTAAAATCAAAATTTCAACCCCATCAGACGAATGGAAACCAACTGTCATATTCCTGACTTGGTACAGGCATTTCCTTACGTAGAAATGGTGGATTAAACCTGGTTTTATAGAGCATTTAAAAGAAGTATCAAACTTAAAGTGTTTGATAGGGTTCATGTTGTCCAATCTACTCTTTTCTGTGTGGTGTTTTGTGGACTTTAATTTGACTATGTTCTCTTTTTTCCTCTTGACCATGGTATTGTCTGTCCTTCGACAAAATAATTTAACAAAATGCTCAAATATTATATGTATACGTTCATTTTGCTAATAAAAATGTTGTAGGTTGGAAACTTATGGAGGAAAAGTCAATAAAATTCGCAACATTTGACTTACTTCAAACACCTTTTATTCTGTAAATAAAACATTTAAATAAACAATATGAACCTCATTTTGTTTTGTTGTTTGCTCATACGTTCTCTAAATAAAAATGGTCCATCTTGAAACTTAACCGATTGAGCCGACTAATAATGAACCATAAAGAAAAGTTGGCTTAAATCAACCATGTTTATTTACCCGTAAACATAAAAAAAACTGTAATCTAAATACATTTAGAAAAGTGTTTAAATATTCAACAAAATAAAAGCATTGCACGAAAATTAGACACGAAGCTGCTGTTCATGGTATACTAAAAATCGAACCATAATTCATGCATCCATAATTTCGCGAATACAAAATCAATATGCGACAAAATTTCCACCTAAAGTTTGTTTAAAAACAAGTCAAAATAAAAATAAAATCTATCTCGAAAACTGGAAGAAACATATATCTGTATTTCTTGAAGCGAATGCACATACACGTGGACGGATGGTAGGACAAAGAGGTAAAACAATATGCCCAGACTTTTTCGTCGCCAGGATAGAATTACTAATAGTTACTTTATTCATTATTTTCGAAAAAAAAAATAGTTTTTGATGGTCAAACGACAGTGTTGACAATATAATCGGCTGGAAAAAAACCAGATAACGTAGTCAAAGGTAAAAAAATAAGAGCTAGAATTTATACGTTTACTATTTTATCAACCGTTTAAATATAATTGATTACACGAATATGTTATTTCAGTAACATTAAAGATATTCCCCGTGTTATAAAAACTTACCTGCATTTAGCACAGTCGCTGTAAAAGAGAAAACGTAAAACCATATACCTATTTAAAGCAATACCGGGTAATACAAAAGACAAAAAATAGTCATAGCCAAACGGTATTCGAAGCAATCAATTACAATGAAGTCTAGTAAAACGGTTATTTGTCACCGATATAAAACTACGTAGAAATAAATATGCAATCAATTCTAAGAGAAAAATACGTAAGGTATGCGTATTTCAGTATAACCTACGATCAGTTATAGTCGAAAAGAGCTACAAGTAAAGAGAATGAATTATGATAAAAAAAATTACGATGTGTTTCTATAATAACAGTACCAATTCTATTGCACCAAATGCGCATTTCTACAATTATTGTCTCTTCAGTGATGCTCGAGGCCAAAATATTTGAAAGTCCAAAACCTTATACAATCATCGAAGAGCTAATAAAACCTAAAAAGGACCAAAAGTAAAGACAAACTAGGACAAGGAATCAGAGCTATTCACGACGGAGATACATTCCTCAATTTGAAATGATTTCGAAATTTTATAACATTTAATTTAAATAGAATCATATTTGTATTTTTATGCAAGTATCGATGTACTGGATTCTGTGCTGGTGATACCTTCAGAGACTAACAGTCCACCAGCAGAAATATCGACCGAGTGGTAGTAATAACATTAACGATTCCGATTGTTTTACACCGGATGCCATTACGACAATTAATATCACTTCGTAGATGCTCGAGGCCAAAATATTTGAGTACAAAACCTAATAAAACTGCTGAAGAGCTGATAAAACCAAAAAGGTCCAAAGTAAAGACAAATCCAAATCCGGACAAGGAATCAGAGCTATGCATCAGGGAGATACATTCCTTAATTTGAAAAGAATTCGAAATCTATCAGGTAAAGATTAGAAATTTACGACGTGTTTCTATTTGTGTTATACAAGTCATTACGATGATATCTTCCTAAACTTTTTATACTGTATGTTTGTAAACTAGATTACCTTGACCAAATGTGAAATAGTTAACCTCTTTTTGAAGATTATCTTAATTGGCATATATTGTAAAGTCATTTTTTTTTATCGTTGAAAACTTTGTTCTGGCCTCAAGATATCTTTCGGTTATTTGTTTTTTAAAGGATTTTTTTGTCGTTGGATTCCAGTTTCATTGACATGTACTGCACATCATGTATCCATATGTAATGAAACGGTTATACTTACAAGAATAGGCTGAAAAAGAAAAACTGTTTTAAGATATTAATATAACATTTAGCAGAAAAATATATATTAATTCTCTTCTATAAGTATATGGCGCAGATTTAGTCAAAATATTTCAGGACCTCCATTATTCGTATTCAGGATATCCATAAATCGTTGACCTCCTGAAAAATTTCAGGACCGCAATAATTCGATTGCATGATATCCTTAATTAATTCAGGACCTCCACAAATAATCGGTCAAAGCTGAATTATTTCATAGGTCTTCAATTATTTGATAATATTCTTAATATCTATGAAGCTCCATAATTATTTTAGGACCTCCAGAATTCGATTTCAGTATATCGTCTTGTCATATCAAAGTCTAAAACAAGAACAAAAAATTCAATAATACTTCGTTATTGTATTGACAATTTCTTTCTATATCTGGAATTACATTTTTAATGGATTCGAACTTTGCTCGTGCGTATGAAAATTGAATTACATTGCTTGTAAATATTTGTTGTATTTTGACCTTTTCATCATGGCTGATCGCCGTGCAACCCGTTCGGGAGAATTCGAATCCGTATGCACAAAATTATTCATTTTTCTTTTCGAATACTCTTTGGGCATATATGTGTACGAAGAAAAGAAAAATCAACACGGAAAATGCCAGCAAGGGACAATCTTTTGATACAGGAGAGAACATTAACGGTATCAATTTTAGTGCACCAGGTGCGCATTTCGACAATTATTGTCTCTTCAGTGATGGCAATTATCGATATAGACGTATTAAACTGGAATTGAGTAACCATCCTTACAAAGATAGTGTGTAATACTAGTGTCATGGCTTTGTTTTTGGTTTCGGCACTTGAATTGCTAACAAAGACGTTCCTACTAAGAAATGTAGGAATCTCAGATCTGTTTCCACTCAACCAGATATTATTGTCAAACTTAGTCGCAGTAAAGTTAATAAAAAGTGTCTTAAGGATGTACACCTCTGAGGAGCCAAAAATTTCTAGTGTTAAACTTTTTTTCTTAACCTGATTTTTGGGTTTATATGACTGTAAAAAAATAATTGGTGAAGAAAAAATCATATGGTGGTGCACTTCTCTTTTTGCTACAGCCATTTGAAAGTACCTAATTTTGATGATTTTCTCATTTTTCATAATTTTTACCCATTTTTGGGCTATTATCATGAAAAAAAAATCACAGTTTCACAATTAAACTGTTTTCATACTTTCACTTAAGATGAATACGACCAATCTGAATAAATTTAACTTTAAAAAAACTATAGGAAGTTGTTAATATAAGAAAGTTTAATAAAATTTTGTTGCTTTTTCGTGTCAAATTTACCATGTTGTCAATTTTGTAAATTTGGGATTTTTCTCTTTTTTTTTTAGAACAAAAAGCATATTATTTCAACTTCTTTGTTATAAATGATTGAAAAATACAGATCTAAGAAATTTGAAAAGAAAAAATTGATATGGGATGTACATGTATCTGGTAAAATCATTTCTTGTACCCCTCACCTATTTTCTCAACATTTTGGCTAATAAGACTGACTTGATTGGTTATAAAATTTGAAAATTTTATTACTCAAAAACTATTAATTGTAAATGCACAATTTTTTCACAGAGTTAAGTTTGATTATAATATTTCATTGATATTTTTCACTTGTATCGCATGTTTTGAAAATAATTCCAGAACGAGATTTCAACGAGACTGAAACGTCAGAAGAATACATCCTTAAGTAATACCGCTGCTGGTGAACTGTCAGTCCCCAAGGGTATCATCATCTCAATAGTCAGTACTTTGGTACTGACATGATTTATAACTAACCTATCTCAAATTGTCCGTTTAAAAAGGAGAAGGTCCGGTAAGGGCTAGTTTTGGCCTAAAATTCGAAGTACATCTGATGAAAGAGTTTTTACATTTTTTAAACACTTAAGTGTCTACTTAAGTCGATTAAAATAGTTTATGTAAAAGATTGGAACTGATTTGGTCATGAAAGACGCTCAAATTCAAGCTTGAGTATCAAAAATCTATCAAACATGCCATAAAACGTCACTTTTCAGATGGTTTTTTTTGTCTAAAATGGAAGTGGCCGCATTCGTGTTCAGTCTCAACCTTTATATATGTTATGTATTATCATCAAATACAACATATTATTTAAGACTGAACACAAATGCGGCCACTTCCATTTTAGACAAAAACCGTCTTAAGATTAGCTCAAATGCTAAACTTGTGAAGATTTCAGTAATATTGCATGAATGTATGATGCTAGTATCTGATGCATGTGCATTGTATTGTCAAAAACAACCAATATTTATGGAACAGAAGTATTCTTCTTTCCAATAAATAGCTAAAAGTTTACATTTAAAAAAATGCTATATTTTGGTGCCAAAAAGAGGTCTTACCGGACCTACTCCTTTATAAATTATTAAGAAACCAAGGCTTCAACTCCCTATGGCAAAGTGACCTTAGATGGATTTGGCTATTGTTGTTAGGTCATTTTTTTTGTCATATAGCTATTCAACTGTTTCTGTTCTTATACATCCTTGGCTTTCAAATATTCGGCTTTGAACGTTCCTGAGGAAGGTAAATCCAGAAAAGCGGTTCGGACGGATGAAATTTATAAAGTTTTGTTTTCATTTTTTAAGGAACCATTTAAGGAATTACATTTTGTGAAATACAGGGTAAGCCCGATTATTGTTACTGTAGATAAATGTTCAGTTAAGCATAGACTTATAGTAGACTTATCTCCTCTTCATGAAGATATTATGTATTAAAGTAGAATTTCATGATTGACAAAGATAGCTGTTCTTTATCGTATAATGCTATGGTAATTATAAAACAAATATAGTGGGAGACCCGACGACACGACCATCTGTAAGCCCGACATGTCAGAAGCATTCAAACTTATGCAAATAACTGTCTCACAGTGGCAGATGTTTTACATAAAACGGCCATGCAATTATTTTTATTATTATACTAAGCTTGATTTTGGTTGCTAACCGAATCCCAAAATTTGTTTATACCATGTCACAAGTAGTTTGTTGAATAACAAAGATCAATTTTGACATCAACTCTATTCTTTTTTATTCAACTTTTTGTGATTTTGCTACGTTTGAACATCCACATAAATGTGGGCTGATAAATATAGATTTATTGTATCACATTTTTGATATACATAAGAATAGATTATCTTATTTGTATTTTGCAAAACCTTTCGGAATGTTTGGTCCTCAATGCTCTTCAACTTCGTTCTTTATTTATCCTTTTTAACTTTTTGGTTTGAGCGTCACTGATGAGTCTTTTGCAGATGAAACTTTTGTCTGGCGTAACAAATTTTAAGCCTGGTATCTATGATGAGTTTATTGATATTACAATCGCAAATCATAAAACCTCTGGCTCAGATCATTGGATTGATTAAAATGTTATTGACAGACGGTTTTCAGATGGATGTTGTAGATATACAGACTTCTGATTTTAAGCTAAATAGGGAAGGAAATGCTTTTGCTAAGATTGGATTAAATTAATGGCATGTACAAGTTGTAAATTTATTTTACAAGGTAATAAGGAACCGACATGTATATAGTCATTTTATAAAATTTACTGTTTGCAAAATTATAAATTATTCTAAATAATAAGGATGTTCTTGTCCCAGGCAGAAAACCCTGGCCGTGTTAGGCGCAACTTTTTGGAAGTTTTGGTCCTCGGTGCTCTTCGGCTTTGTACTTGTTTTGGCTTTCAAGCTTTTTTCATCTGAGCGTCACTGGATGGTCTTGTGTGGACGAGACGCACGTCTGGCGTATTGAATTTTAAGCCTAGTACCTTTTGTTAGCTATCATTCGTGTGTTTCTTTGTCCTATATGTTCTCCCATTTATTTTATTGTGGTCCTGTCATGTGATGTTGTCGTTTTGGTGTTGTGTTTGACGTTGCCATTAAAGCGGGAGGTTTGGCATGCCACAAAACCAGGTTCAACCCACCATTTTTTTCTTAAAATGTCCTGTACCAAGTCATGTAAATGGCCATTGTTATATTATAGTTCGTTTCTGTGTGTGTTACATTTTTAATGTTGTGTTTTTGTTGTGTCGTTGTTCTCCTCTTATATTTGATGCGTTTCCCTCAGTTTTAGTTTGTAACCCGGATTTGTTTTTATCTCTATCGATTTATGAGTTTCGAACAGCGGTATACTACTGTTGCCTTTATGTAGCTTAAGACACATCATATACACATTAACTGTGTATAATTATTTAATCAATTATCTAATAATGAGTTCTTGTATGCTTATTTTGTTTAAGAGCATTATTAGAATATAGTATGGTGATAAGACTAATAAGTAAAGTAGCGTAAAAATACAAATATCAATCGATGGTAGTCAATATATAACTTATACTTAAATTTGGGGAACTCATACCGCAAATATTTCATGCATACAATCTGACTTTTTGCCGTATAAATTGATTACATTAAATCCATATTACTGTTTTTCATTGGTATGAGGCACTACAATCAATGCTAATGGTTCTCGTGATTATTGACCAATGAAACTAAAAAGGATGGTTTGTCTTGATATTAAGTTTGGGGTACGAATACAACCAAGTCATAACTATAAACCATGCTGGAATGAGTAGGAAAATTGTCTATTCTAGTCAGATATTTGAAATACAAATAAAGCTTATTATCATAGGGTAGGTTTATTTTGTTAAATTGTTTTCTATATACTCATGTACTTGTAGCTAAAGTGATTATTTATATACCTTGGTCTAGTAGGATTTTAATTAAGCTTGACGTCATGACGCCATTGATGGTTTAGCATTATGGCGGTGTATGTTTTGTCATATTAATGATTAAAACATTCACCACCATCAACATCGTTTTTACGCGTAGTTATTATATGAAGCACGAATGCTTGTTTTTATCACTAAATATTGTACTGATAGTTGCATAGACTGTGTGGAAATAAAATAATACTTTATAAATTTCTTGCGTCCAAAGCGATATTTTGGATTTATCTTCATCAGGAGTACTCAAACCCAAACATTTGTAAGCCAGGAATGTATAAATCTGTAGAAACATAAGGAGCTATTTTGACTTACAAGGGACATATAAATAATAGCCAAATTCGACTGGGTAAACTTTCCCTTTTTAAATTTAAACCTAATTTTCTATATAATTTCTAGATTTGTCAACGGGAATTTTAGAAAAATATGTAATAAATCATGTCCGGACCGAAACACCGACCACTAAGCTGATGATACCCTCTTAGACTAACAGTCCACCAGCATGTTATCGACCCAGTGCTAGTAAATGAAGGTGCGAGTTTCTTTAAGAAGAGCTTAATTAAAACTGCATAAGAGAGGCGGAAAATACAAAAGGGGTATTATAACTTTTAAATCGAATATATGTAAGATGTAAAATTACGAATTAATGGTCTTTGAAATTATGATTTTTATGTCTTATTTTGGTTGTTTTATTTGTTCAAGACACGATTTTGGTTAAGTAGAGTTTCTTACTAAAAGCAAGCCTTGAACATTCTTATGTTCTTCATTCTGTATACTTACTTATTGTTGTAAATTCTGAAAATAAAACAAAAGGTAGATTTACCATAAAAAGAAAGCGTCTTTTTGTAATTGTAAAGTTCTTGTTTGTGAAATTGAAATATTTCTGTTGCATCATAAAGTACTTTTTTCTTTTAATTTGTCACAAATCGTTTAAGCGTCCCAATCTTTTGATCTCGAGTGTATTCATCGAACAATATTCTAAATCTCATGCTAAGCGCACAGAGTCTCATACGTTATACCACACTTTCAAATTTTTGAGACCTAAAATGTTATTTTTATTTAAAAATTAAGGAAAAACTCTTCCAGAAAAGATTGACAAGAAATTAGTGAGAAAAGTCGTATAATTAGAAATACATTGACAAGACAAATGTATTAGCCTCTAACACGATCAGTATCAAAGAGGTTACATAAACAATAATTACAATTCTGCGTGCTGACAAAGAGAAGCATACTACATACAAATAGAAACCACTAAGCAAAAGAAGTATAGATAACAAAACTAGTAGCAGTATGCATTACAGATGTGTACTTCAATCATGTCATGTCATTGTGCTACTGGCTATCAATCCATCAACTTATTTATATTTCAAAGTTTATCTGACCACGATTACCTTATAATACTCTTAACTCACCTGCTGGTGCTGTAAAATGGTGAGAGTTGATTATTTATTTTTGTTATTATTGTAAACATTTAAGATAACATATGACTTTCACAGTGTATAAAAGACTTGGAACCTGGTTTTAATTTTATTTAATTTGTTGATGAACAAATATTCTGCGTTGTTTCAATGTTCGTATCTTACCATTGGAAAAGTGACTTTTCAATATGTTTTGGCTTATTTAATTCATATGTGCTGATGGTTTTTAAATTTGGTAAAGTATTAAACAAAAGTATGACAAAAAACCGAACTCCAAGCAATTAGACAAGGGTTACAAATGACACATCTACCACAAGTATATGGCGAAAGGCACCAATTGAGTAGTAACTGTTTACCGTATCCTCCGTTTTGTGGGTGTCAAGTATTTTGCCGCTATTCTTTCACGGACTGTAACTAACGTTACCTTTGTAACGTCAACACGTTTATTACGTTATTGTAGTCATACAAGCAAGTAGAGTCATTAAAAGCAATTAGAACTGTTCACACGTATTCTATTTACACAAGCGAAGTACTAACCAACTAAACCCAAACATTGTCAAGTATTTTGCCGCTATTCTTTCACGGACTGTAACTAACGTTACCTTTGTAACGTCAACACGTTTATTACGTTATTGTAGTCATACAAGCAAGTAGAGTCATTAAAAGCAATTAGAACTGTTCACACGTATTCTATTTACACAAGCGAAGTACTAACCAACTAAACCCAAACAGTGGGGTTCATATTGCTCAATCTTTTCTTTTACTTTTCCGTGTAGTGTTATATTGACTGTTTCCTTTTTTGTCTTTGGTCTTTTTAGAGTTTTTATTGGTCTTTGCAACGTTGTTGTCTTTTTCTATGACTTATGATTTTTGATTATGTGTCTTAAAATCGTTCTATTTCTAAATATTTTCCGGTTATGTTTATCAGCAGACAAGACGGTCAGTAATCTTCTGCAATAATACTATCCCAACCTTCTTGATGACATGAGGTTTATATTCGTGAAAAATTTACTTAAAATCTACTAAAAAGAAAAAAAAATATGGAGAATAGGAAAGTTTTAACTTTCTAGATATGTTGTGTATAAATTCACGACCGTACAACTTTGTATCAACATCAACGGAGTTTCGCAAAACTTTTGATATAAGTATTTGCATTATTGGTATTGTAGAAAAGAAAGATTTACGGATGTCTTAAGTCACATCGTTAGATGAACATGTGTTTTTGATCGAGTTAAGCCATTTCAATTGATATTTTATAGTGTCTTTTTATGTTGTAATGTTACACTACTGTCTCAGGTAAGGGTGAAGGTTGGCGCCTGTTTAAACGTTTAACCCCGCTGCATTTTTATGCACCTGTCCTAAGTCAGGAGCCTGTTGTTCAGTGGTTGTCGTTTGTTGGTCTGGTTCATAAGTGTTTCTCGTTTCTCGTTTGTTATTTAGATTAGACCGTTGGTTTTCCTGTTTGAATTATTTTTGCACTAGTCATTTTGGGGCCCCTTATAGCTTGCTGTTCGGTGTGAGCCAAGGCTCCGTGTTGAAGGCCGTACTTTGACCTATAATTGTTAACTTTTTATACATTGTGACTTGGATGGAGAGTTTTCTCATTGGCACTCATACCACATCTTCTTATTTATATTAAAAACCCTATTTTTGTTTTTTAAGAAAAAGGGCATCATGCTTGGGTGTTGAATTTGTCATCTGTTTTACAACAAGTTGTATTTTCTAGGGAAAACTAATCATGAAAATATAATCATTGTCAAATTTCTTCAATGTCATCATACTTACTCATTTAGTTGGTCTGTACTGCAATAGAAAAATAACTTTATCAATTTATGTACATGTAATATTTAAAAACATAGAAATCTCTTAAATTAGATAGTAAGATTTATTTCAAATTTGCATAGCTTATAGATGTTTAAAAACAATAACAAGTAAAGGTGTTATTTCCCACTTTAACAATATTTACCATTTATAGTTGATTCCAAATCAAGACTTATCAAATTTTCACTTTGACATTACACAACACAAATGAGGTTAAATAAAAATGTTATGATAGATAGATTACTTACCCACATCTACAACACTGCCATCTGTGTTTCGGAGTAGAATATCTGAAATGCATAACTATATCAGTTCTACGTGTTCGTTATATGGAAGATTCAGGCATCCTACAATACTGCATAATATCATAGGGCAAATTTGTTGATTTTGAAATATTCCTAAAACTTTTGAAAATTTTTAAAATCTGTCAGTCGCACAAAGTTCATTACTACATCCATTGGCTTTTTAAAAATTTCAAAATATCTACATATATATATATATATATATATATATATATTTTTTTCTAAATATTTATTTGAATATAGAAAATTCATTTTTCATCAACATACTAAAGAAAATGGTTTTATTGACTCTGAAAATTGTCGTCAGCAATATAATGATGAACGGATTTTTAACTATGGAATGTCTCTTCATGTTACTCGAGAAATTGAAAGGTACTTAAACGTTTTTCCAAAATTTTCTAAATATATGGTTCGCCAAAACATTTTATACAATATGTTTGATAAAATTCTCTGTTTTTTAAGATGATTTAAGCTGTATAACAACTGTATATCTTTTCATACATTTACTAGTATCAACAAAAGAAGCAATTCACAGTAGTAAATTTGAACAACAGGGTGTGTGACGTATACGTTAAATTTGCGTTTTAATGCTTCCTTTCGACACAAACCAAAAAAAAACACAACCACTGAAACGGTTCATGTCTGGTTACTGGAACATTCGGCGAAGTTGAATAGATTTTAGCACTCAATTCAAATTTCAACTTTTTGATTTTGAAAAGTAGAATAACCAACGTGCCCCATAAGAATGTACTGTAGAAATCGGTAAAACAAAGCACTAAACTCTAGATACAGATAATCATTGCCAACAAAACACAGATACATGTAAAACAACACTTGAAAGTATCGTATCAAAGAATGCCCATTAATGAAAGCACTCAAGGTATTTAAAATGCTGATATAACAATCATGTCATCCTACACTCCTATTTGGGTAGCTGTACATCCATGTCGATTTCATACGACAATATCATGAACTGTATACTAAGACACAGATTTGTTCAAAAACCGAAATGAATAAATCTGAACAGAATTAAAGAAGCAGGAATTATATGTGTTGGTGCTGTTTCAAACTAGAGATATAAAGCATACATGCTGAAATTCAAATGGCTAGGATAACCTAAAAAAATCTTTTACATCGTAAAAGCAGATTACAACCATTTTTTTTAATTAAATGCATGTCTTTGGTTTGATATTTGAGAGTCGGTCTTCGGTTTTCTGGAAGTCTTTTGGGAAAATTGTCATACAGTTGTCATGTTTTTTTTATAAACAAATAAAGTAATGTGGTATAAATAAGGGAGATAACTATCCACCAGAAACAAAAGATAGATAGATTGATTTATTGATAGTTGGTTGCTTAACGTCCACTAAAGATAGAGAAAATGAACCACAACTAATACTATTAATATCGGCGAAATGAGGTGAAATGTTATTTCTCTTTGAATGCAGACATACATGTATGACTATGGAACAAAGAAGAAACATTACAGCTGAAACATCTTCATTACTTAAATATTTCGAAGTTTCACTTAGTTTGATTTCCCCCCAGTGACTTAACTAGATCAGATAGAGTTTTTTAAATACCAAGCTGTAAGTTAAATTCTCACAGTGTCACTTTTTTGTGCCGGCTTTTTTTCTCCCGTTTTCTTTATTGTTGCACTTGCAACGTCGACAGTTTTCTGTCGTTATCCTAAATCTGGAAGAGAAAGGTTGACAGCTATAGTACTATATGTTTACTTACATGTTAGCAGGTGGTATCATTTTTGGTAATCTGTTGGATTTGGGATCCATGTCGCTGAAGCAAAAATATGAAATAACCTTAAAGATCCCCTTAAAGATATAAAGTTAATTAACCTTAAATCTTTAAAGGGATCACACGTTGCATTTTCCTTTAACTTGAAAGCAACGTTAAATTCACTGGATCTTTAAAAAAATATATGGAATGTGACAATATTTAGAAACTACATACCATTATTGCTTATTGGTTCCAGAGGACATGTTTGGAAAGGGATATGACAAACTCTTCGAATAAGTGATGTCAATAAAGAGCTCACAGTAATCTGTTAAGTCAAGTGAGCTGAGGGTTAGAGATTACTCGGTACCATACTCGTTATATAGTAACATAGGATTTTTTTTAAATATATTTATTGATGTAATGCGTCGAAGCAAATTCAACAATGTGAACATAATTCTTGAGAAAAACATAAAAAATATATCAGTGTTATTTAAAGGAGTAGACTACATAAAATTATATCCGTGTTATTTAAAGGAGTAGACTACATAAAACTATATCAGTGTTATTTAAAGGAGTAGACTACATTTGTCATTTCGAGGCATTTTATGCAGTATGGGTTTTGCGGAGAACTAATTTTAATGTGATTGCATTGATAGGTATTAACATGTAAATGATGACCCAGATGAATCAAAGAAACCATCTTAAAATCCTAATCTCATGAGATCTTTCACAAACTTTGACCTATCATGATGCACTAAATAAATAATAACCAGTATGTACAACAACTAAAATATGGATATGAAAATGTAATTTAAATTAGTGATTATTAATTCTTATGTCATTGACATATTTAAAAAAAAATAGAATTCTTAACAAAAATGAAATACTAGTAATAGAAATAAAAAGATGTGTATCTACTTACATAAAACTAAATGCTCCAAATAGCGATTCAACATCGCCTTCTGTAACTTTTGGTGGATGGTACTTGACAGTGGGGAAGTTTGGCACTGACGGATAGTGAAAATCTGAAGCATCTTTGGAAAGTTTTTTTAACTGTAAAATCAAGGCTCCATCGTTCTTTGATTTTGTTAAATCCTGGTGACGTTGTTGTAATTGCTTCCCCTTTACTACTGCATCGTTCAATGTATCGTTTACATCTGAATATTTATTTTTTCTTCGCCCAGCTCTTTCTTTTACATTTTTAACCATCAATGCTACTTGTCTGTCTACGAGTTCCTTAATCGATTCTCCGTGTCGTTCAATTGCTCTGTTCACTTCATTTATTTCCGAGTCAAAGGTTGAGAGATTAAGGCTCATTTCGCTAGAGTTTCTTACAGCGCCAGCAATCCTAGGAGTTAACACATTCGCTAAAGCGTTTTCTCTCATGGTAGCTGTCTCTTCGATGTCTGACAGCTTGTGACCTTTATGTTCCCTTACTACACAAATCTTACAAACTGGTACATCACATCGATCACAGATAAATATAAAATCCTCGCTGTGATCGTTACACATACTTGTTACTTCTAAAATAGAATAAGCCGTTTTCTCACTTCGGTAATTTTTGCTATCGTCATTCGCTTTATCTGTTGGTACGATTTCGTGGCTTTTGTTAGGATCCTTAATTTTGTCTGTTTCCGTGAGTTCAAAGATTCGTTTGTCTTTTTCGGTATCAATGATAACATCGGGTATGCTGTTAGTATTTGCCTTTGGTTTAATTTGTGCTGAGGAAGCTTCAGTAGTTTCTTTTTTATCGTCAGATTTGTCTTCTACAATTTTGCTGTTCACATTTTCTGAAGCTTGTTCAAATGTTTCGTTCGTCTCCTCTTTTGGTTTTTCAGCCTTGTTGCTTGATTCCGATTTAGCTGTTGACACTTTATCAACTCTTACATCAGCGTCTGTTTTGTTGTCCGTTGTGGCATGTGTTGCATCTTTCTGTTTTCCATCCCAGTCTGTGTTGTCTGGAATGTTTTCTGTATCTAATCCGTAATTATGTGGAAGATTTTCTATATCAAGGTCAGCCATTAGCACTACTGGTTTGATCAAAGTGTCAGTTTTTCTTTGATTTATTAAATTCTGTTCTATCAGGCTGTTTTCCCTTACTGGTTCAACGTTATAAAATATATGAGTTGGAAACTTGCCTACAGTTAGGTGAGTTAGTTTACAGCTCAGACAAAATGATCTGTCACAGTCAACACAATGTTTGTCCCCAATAGAATCTGAACATTCTTCACAGACAGAAGCCATTGAAGGTTGAACATTTCAATTGAAGTCACATGATTTATGTTATTACAGAACATACACAGTGCACTTCGCAAATTGGGATCGTCAAACTCTAATGTGACCGTTACATAGCACAAAATAGGACATGTCAAAGAAGTTGTTTCAAATTTATTTTAGTAAATTCTGTCAAAACATTTAATTTTTGAATAACCAGCATGCAAAACATCATCAGACTTTATGCTAGAGGGTTGATGGATTGCCATTCAAATTTTAAACTTATAGTGAAAAAATTGTCGCACAGGTAATTATATCATAGTATTTTATGTTTTTTTTCTGAACTCAGTATTAATGACTTAAAATTATCATTATATTATTAACCAATTATGCGTAATCCTGTTCCTTCATCTTCGCTGACAAAAGAACAATTGTAAGTTTCAACTTGTTTTAACTGTAATAAAAATGACTAGAGTGAAAACCGATATTTAATTTTTAATATAACAAATGTTTAAATATCACACATGAAAGCAAATTACATGCTTAATGACAAAATTATAAACCGAATGATTTTTAACAAAGAAATACTTGATTAATTAAAATCAGTTAACATATAAAAACAATAACGAATATTTGCGTATAATTGTTTTTGCGTTACCATCATAACGTATCATACTTCGTTGTTCCTAAGAAGCTACACATAAAAATGTATGGTTTAAATCAAGATTCCAGGTATAATGGGAAACCAATATTGGAACTACATAACTGTATAAACTATGTACTTATTATCGGGTTCTGTTCATGATGATGACTTCCCGATAGGTGCTACATGCCGAGCAGGACTGAATACTGAAATGCCTATAAACTTCCGGAACATAATAGTTCACTTGTTTTCGTCGATTTTGTGCCATTGTAACAATGTCAAACGCATGTTGTATTCATATTTCAGTAATAAATAAATATTCATCCGTGTTATGTTTGGGCTTTTGTTGATATCATTTTTTTTCTTTCAAAATCATTTATACTTAGCCTAGAACCAATACAGGGACTCTGTTGGATTTTATTTCATTGAAAACATACACATAAAGCATATATTGATCGATTAATTGGTGTTTAACGCCACTTTAACACTATTGTGCTATTTCGTGGCGGTCAGTTTTTATTGGTGGAGGTAGCCGAAGTGTCTGAGAGAACCACCTATCTTCGGTAGGTATAAGGCATATATATCGTGTGCACCAGTCATATACAAAATATGCTGAAAGGGTGCAACAACTAATTCATTCTGATATCTCATGCTTCCTGTACACAACAATCATGTTTCACAGAGGAAACATAGAAAAATGAATAGAATACCAATATTCACAAACTAGTAAAAAATGACATTTGCAGATATTATGATTTTTATCTCCCGTTAACTGTTTTGACCAAATGATTGTTTCTGATTTTAGAAGTGTAGAAAAAGTGGTACACACTGTTAATGTTACCATAGGTGGGCCCAGAATGAGGGTTATGTGTAAAAAGGGGTACCAACTTCCTTGCAAATTTGTTTTATTCGGGTCAAAATGGAAAAGTTCCCCTTCAACATCGTATGCTACTGATTTATCCAATAAAATACCTTGTGGTAAACAGTCCAAAGCTTTTGATAAATCCCTGAGAGCTGCAGCAGAATATTTTTTTTTGTCTATGGCTACTAGCGTAGCCTGACATCCATGCCCTCTACGGAAAGCACATAGATAAGGATTAAAAATGGAATCAAAGAAGTTATATATAACTGTATTACAAATACCTTTTCGAATAATTTTGAAAAATAGGTAAAACACTGAATGGTCTGTAATTTAATTTAAGCAATGGGTCCGGCTTTTTTTAATGGTCTAACTTGAGCTGATCTGCAAATATTCCTGTATCTACAGTCAAATCTATTAGACTGGTCAGCTGAGGTGCAACTACAGATCTACTTGATTTTACTATTTTTGCTGGTAGACCATCTGTTCCTGTTGCTTTTATTTTTTACCGATTTATCTTTATCTTTATGACCCCCCCCCCCCCCCACACACACTCACACACACACACACTTTTCTAGTGTCACCTTTTGAATTCCAAATTTTTTAATCCATTAGTTTAAATGAATTTTTTTCATGTATTGCATTTATACTATGATAGTTTGGTGGATCATAATCTACCCGTGATATCGCCCATTCCCTATTTTCTCAGCAACGGTAGCAAAAAAATGGTGAAAACATCTGATACTTCTTTTGGATCTTAATTATTTAGTTTTCTTCATATAAATTATGAAAACTGTGTCCTAATTCATATTTCAAAAAGGGTCTTTTGAAAGAGGCTTGATTTCAGGGACATATCAATATTGACTTCACTTTATGACTCTACCTGTCTCTTTTTAGGGAACCGGTTAATTACAATTAATTACATACTTGTTTTCAAGAAAGAAAGATAATAAGTAAAATCTAATATGAGCTATAAATATCACATGAGTATTAACATTTTACATCAATCCGTTATAAAAATGTGTATCGAGAAATTTCGACACTTATTGGCGTCGAGGTCGTATAGAAAGCATGATTTTAGCTTCTTCTTTATTCCGAATTATATATTTACCAGGGCGCCATTTTCGGATGAGAAATGACACTTTGCAATTTATTATTATTTGTTTACGAAACTCAAAGTCTCAGTTCTCTTTTTAATCTATTAATTGCGTAACACCCATGAGACGAAAGACCATAACATTACCTGTTGTTACAATATGTACGCTGATGCAGTGACTCTACAGTACAAGTTTTAGAAATGTAAACAATTTACCTTCTTTCTCAGCTTATATATTTATTCAAGATAAAAGGCATGAATTTGACAGATACAATATATTACAGAGACACAGATATAGCACCAGACATAGTTTATAGACACTAAAATGATTAACATGTTTACTAAAAATTTTAATTTAAAAAATAAAATTATGAAAATTGTCAGGATATTTTTGATAATATGAATAGACTAAATTAATGTAAATAATGAGTGAAATTTAAATTGACTAGATTTTCACTGTAGCCTAATACCTTAGGATGACCCACAAAAGTTATTAAAACTTATTTCCAGTGGGGTCCTGTTATGACAAGACTTCCAGTTTACACCAAAGGTTGACACATTGGAATACAAACACAAATCTTTTAGAATTTATCACAGATAAATGGTCAAAGCCCCAGTATAATTAATAAAAAACAAATTCACTATTAAAGATGGATTTAAATTTATCCATCAAAAACTTTTTCACTTGTACTTTAAAATTATATTTTTTACAGCAACTTTTAATCATGCCTGGTAAGTAATGAATTCCAGTCTTTTATTCCATTATAAAAGAAAGTGGTGGATTCACACCTTTAATTCCTGGTATATAAAAGTTTTTACTACTATATCTTGTATTGAAAGATGTTTCATTTCTAACAAAATTTGTATGTAAATAATTTGGGCATATATCATGTGTATATTGTTAAAAATATTGAAAACATGATTGAGTCTTAGTTGTTTGACTCTATTACTAATATTTAAAAAGCCCAATTTCTTAAATTCAATATATGTCACACTCTTTCTGGGATGTAATTGCAGAATAAATCTCACAATCTTATTTTGTGCCACTTGAAGTTTATTCTTCATTTGTTTTGATATACCTTGTCCTTCATACCAGCATGCACATGCATAGTCAAAATGACATTGAATAAGAGAAGAGCACAATGTTTTCCTAGATTGAAAATTTAGACACTATTTCTATATAAAAGTTTCAGCCTTTGATTGACTTTTTTCATTATAGAGTTGACAATAAAATCACCAGTTAGAAACTGATCAATTATTATTCCCAAATATTTTACAAAAGATTTAGATTCAATATTAATATCATTACAGGAGATAGCAAAATCACCCGGTATTAAAGACCGGAGTTTTCGACCAGGACCAAAAATTATACTCTCCGTCTTTCCCAAATGTAGGGACAATTTATGTATTTATACCTGCAAGATCGTTGTGGTGCTTATAAGGAAATATTCTGTCTTATGTAGTCCCCATATAATTTCGGTAATCTTTTAAAAACTATAGACAGACGTCAGTCTTGCATATGCATGGTTTGGTGCAATATTTTGCAACAATTAACATTCAAATAATGAACAACTTGTGTCCGTATCAGTCAAATTACATCAACTGGTAGATTATTGAATTCCAATTGTTTATTTTGCGTTATAAAAATTGTCTCTAATCGAATGATGTGTATATATAATCTACAGTACTACCTGTGACATTATCTTATTAATGGTGGCCATAAAAAATATGGTCACCATGATGGCCCTAAATGTCCATCATTATACCTCCTGTTGCTTAATTTATACACAGGGTATTAATCAAAAACTGGTCAAGGATGAAGGGAAATCATGACTTCATTGAAGTGTTAAAATTATATAACTTACAGGTGAAGTGTCTCAGGTAAAATATATGTGTTTGTCAAATTTAATAACTGTGGTTATGACAAGAAAATTCAAAAATAAAATGAAATAATAAAACTAATTGAACATATAGCTTTCTAACTTTTTTTTGGTAAACAAATTTTTCATGACTATTTGTTTTGATGTTATACCTTTTAAATAATTCTATCAATATGAAGTTATTTTTTACATGTATTTTTTGGCAAGTGAATAATAAATGAATATCATCTTCTAATATAATGCAAACTTTTACAAAGCCTGCCTTTTTCCATTGTAAAGGTGTTTCTCAAATTAATTTTCTAAAATCAAAATTGTTTATACTTAGAGGCATTACTTAAACAAGTAACAATTAAAATTACCTATACAAGTAATGCTGAAAACGAGGCTATTTTAGATATTACTTATATAAGTAACTTTTCTGAATATCATTTTTTTAGGTGTCCAATAATACAGATTTTACTAGCTTTAACAAATTTTCAGTCATCTGGTTATTTTTCTCATGAGATATAAAATCTAATACATCTGAAACACTAATTAACTTTCTAAGGCACTTATCTTTCCTACCGAAGCTTCTGGGTCAAATATTGGTCTCTTGGGACTGTTAAATTATCATTTTCCTCAAAAATCTTGAAGGTAGACTGATATAAATAGATGGATACTTGTGAATTAATTAAGACTTGAAGTTATTTATAATTTGTAACCCAAATCAATTACATGTGTTCCTTAAATAAGTTTAATTACTATTTTTTTTTCAAAAATGTATAAAATGACTTATTCAAGTAATATTTTTGTCATAAATATTAAAGTAACCCTTTATCTCTATACTCCTCTCAAATCAAATAAATTCTTTATTTTATGATATTAAAAGATGTAAAAATTCACGAAAACTACATTTAGTCTATGTTTCTATTGAAAATTAAAATAACTCTATTAAGTAATTTAATTATTTTTGAAAACAAAATTTACTTATATAAGTAACTTCAAAAAATAACTTGTTTACGTAACGCCCCTGCATTTAACATTTTTTGAGATTTGAATTAATTTCAACAGGTAACATAATTAGATAAAACATCAACCTATGTTTTATGACCCCAATAAATGGCCAACATCCCAAGATTGAATACCCCAATAAATGGCCACCATTCGAAGGTGACCATACAAGAGGGTGTACGTGTGTTGACCTATGTACATGGGAGCTTACAGTTCCTGGCAATAGAAATAGTTGTAAAAATCGTTTCATAATTTGTTATTGAAAGTTATAAAAAAAACTATCTTTTCTCTCAAAATAAACAGTTTAGTCTTAAAAGCTATTTTCTGGTTCATCAAATAAGAAATAAAGCATTGAAGGCCAAACAGTAAATTGATAAGCGTACTGTACGATCGTTACTATATGTCTTTTGTCTTTTTGTGAGTTAATTTTTGCGCTTTGTGTCGATCTGATTAGTCCAACCCTTTCTAACTGATTTTACAGCATGTTCTAATGTTATGTTTTTACACCACAGTCCCAGGTTAAAGGAGGGTTAGGTGCTTTAAACCTGTCACAATCTTTAAGTGTCTATCCTAAGTCACTTCACGTTACCGAAAGTCTACCTTATAAAAACTTAAAGGACACAGATTTGAGTGTCATGATGTCACAGGACTTGTATTTGAGGAAAGGAAACAGATTTGAGACTGGAGATGGCCAGGGATTTGAGAGTCAAACATCACAGGACACATACAGTGTATCTGAGAAAAGACACAGATTTAAATTTGAGGCTGGACATAGATTTGACTCTTACACAAACAATGTATATATTCATTAATTGATTTGGCATAAGTTTGTTTTGAAAAGAAATATTACTTGAAAAAAGTCATTTTGTTGTAAAGTGTGTAAAGGTCTGCTGTGAATTATTGAATCAGACATTTGGGGTTCTATTCATGCTGCAAGATGTGTACTTCGGACTACTCAAGCCGCTTGTATTCATAGTTCAGAGCTATATCTCTGATTTGGCTCCATATTATAATTTATAGTTCAGAGTGTTCTGATTTGTCTGTCCTCTGAGGGGTTAAACAGATACAAGTTTTTTTTGTATGGAATGAATAAATGACTTAACTTTGGTTCACTTGGAATGCCTGTGACATGGTAAAAAGTTTATAAATAACTAACACTTCAATAACAAAACACAATACATTTTTCAGATTTGAAAAAGACAGAAAAAAACAAAACGGGCATGAACTGAGATTAATAAGTTTTACAACTTTGCAGATGTTTGGATTTTTAGAAAGTTAAAAAAAATGCAAAAACTACTTTTGATGATATACACTATAGTGACTATATACACTGATATTTAGTTATTTCTCAAATTTAATGATTATTTCAGATAATAACCATGACAACCAAGAAGCCAAAGACTTGCTCTGTACATACAGATTTAGGGAAGACACCAGTCATTATACCGACAAACAAGACTTATATAAAAGATATAGCCAAATTAGAGAACGGTAAGAATATACAATAAAAGTACTTTTATTTATCATGTACCATATTATTCATTGGTTCTGTTGTCTACATGTATTTAAAAATTGTGTTCTTTCTCATTTGTCAAACATTTTTAAGTGATTTTCCATATTTTTAGACAACTTTTTCCAAATAATGGTTTATCTTTGAAAGAATTGAAACATCACACACTTTTAATGTTTATAGAAGTGGGAAAAGGAAATCCAAATTGGTTTGTAGAAGCATCTCGTAATCCAAGAGAGCAAGATTCTTCAGTGACACCCATCTCACAAAAGTCTAATATACAAGGTTAGTATTTACCTGTTTAGAAATATTTGGTTACTGAAATTCTCTACAGCAAGAGATAATCTTTCAACAATATTTTAATCATTTGTTTAATTCTCATTCTATGTTGAAAAAGATTGAATATTGGATAAAACATTAACTAAAACCCATAGGAATTTAAACTGACATCACAACTGATCATTGTTTTTGCATATTTTGAAATGCTATTGAATAGATTTTCGAAGACATATTAAGGCAATTGAAAATGTGAAAACCTACACCAGGTGATAAAATAGTTTGAGCCAGTTCAAATAAAAAGCATTCAGAATAAGATTTGGAAACTCATTAGTCCTCATTATCAACTACATGTTTGTATATGAATTTATAACGATAGCTGATCCAAAGATCAAATGTAAGCAATTGGTGTCATTAAGTTTGCTAACTTAAGGGCATACGATACAGTTACAGGGGAGGTAATGACGTTGCTAACGTAAAATGTTATTTTCGCGACGTCAAACTTTGACATATGGGGAAAAGATGCATTTTTCGACTAATTTTTATCATTCAGACTGATTTAACTTGAAAACGAGTTCATTAACCCCTCTTTTTTAAAATGACATTAGGTTTGATTCAGTAAGAAGATTATTTGTACCAATTTTTATGAAAAAGTCACTGATGAAATTTTTTTAAATTCGATAAATATACAGCAAAAATTGCCGTTTTTTTTTTAAATCATGAAACTTTGATAAAAAATTAATTATTTCCAAAGAATTGTTATACAAATTTAGGGCATACTTTTGTAAAGAAGATTTTCCAAATGTTTTTACAAAAATCCGCTTTTGTTTATCTTTTGAAACAAAATAGTTAGGTATGTCTATCCAAAGAATAGAAATGTCCAAACAACTGAAATTTTGAGTAAATGTCTAAAATTTCGACCCCATTTATCTCTTAAAGTAGCACATGAAGGTATATTTTTTATTACATATTTGAATTAACTAGGTGAAAATAGCTTGTATGCAAATTTTCGTAAAAATATCACCGTGGGATCGAAACTGTATTGTATGCCCTTAATTTCAAAAGACAAACTAAAGTCAACAAAAAAATGCTACATAGAAAACTAAAGATGGAGTAACATAAATCCAATAAAAACTGGGATTGAAATTTGGTGCTCCTGAAGGACCAGCAGTTCCTGCCCAAACAGTGCAACACCTGTTAAAATCTGTTGACAAACATGGGTAAAAGTAAATTATTTATATAATTGTTGCTATTCATTTCTTTTTCCACCAAGTTATTAAGAGGTTAATCTATGCATTATTCTTATAATAATATATTTTAAGCAAAAATGAAGTTCTGGATAATTATAAATTTTTGAATTCTGTTTTCATCTACCGGTATTCATGTATATTATCAGATAATGTATTTTTATCTATTTTCCAAAGCATTGTAATACACCTTATCTCTATTCAGGCCATAATCTTGCCAGCGAAATGACGATTTAAGTCGCCAAAGAATTTTGAAAATCGCTAAATCTCGCCGGCCGACTGACTTCATAGCAAAGTCAAATCGCTATCAAAATCGGTAAAAGGGAGACAACTTGTGATTGACAATTCTCACAGGTAAAAAAAATGGCGACTGACAAGGAAAATCGAGATTTTCGAAACGACCCAGGACTAATACTGTCAACGATCAAATTAAATGAATACAACGGCGGCTTTGAACATCATCGGATAGAACTTTCAAAACTATTCAAACGGAAAACTGACCGTCTGTTTAAGTTATCATTTTAACGATGATTTTCATCTCAGGATGTTGCATAATCACTCAGCTGATTTGTTTTATTTTATAACTTACACGAGTCGATCAATTTTACTATTCGGTCGGTAAAAGGTGGGAATTAACGGTAGATTTATTATATTGATTGAATAAAAATTGAAATATAAAAGGTAGAAAGACTGCAGATGGATAATGTGATTGCAAACGTACGACACTCGACCAGGTTGTGATCAGCGGTGGATTTTTTCTCACAACCATTTCGTTGATATGGATGATATTTTTAAAAACTGATAGAAATTAGCTCTTTGTCGGATAATTAATATGCGATTGAAAGATATTTTCATTTATAGACTTACAATATTTAACGATAATCTCAATTTACAACTAACATAATGTTCTGGACATTATTGTTTTACAAAATAATGACAAGTGGTGATATAAATTAAATTCCTAGTCATGTGAAATTCATCAGGTAAACTGGGAGTTATATTTTTTCTGGACTTTTAAAAATAAATTGAGGCAGATGCACATGAATTTAATGCATCATAATCAATATTACTAGGCTACTCCCTCGTGTCCCAATCAAACAAATTTTATTTAGAACACAATGGTATCAATAAATAAATAACAACTATATATTGTCAAAACCTTTTTATTAAGAACTTTCTATATATACATTGTGTACAATAACATATGAAAAAAACTGCAAGTATATCTTTTATTGAATATAAAACAATTTCCTTAGTGATAAGCATGAAAACACTATGCAACCGAAACGGTAATGGAATCTCACTTCTCCAAAAAATTGACCACTTCTCCCTTCTCTCTCTTGGAAGGAGAAGTCACTTCTCCCTCTTCAAAATCCTAGATTAGGCCCTGCTATTTATTCCATTCCGGGTAAGTTCTGAAATTACACAACTTTTTCATTCAGTTGAAGCTATCTGGGGCCCTGTTTAAACAATGTATCATGCATAATACTTTTTAAAGAGACCTGTTTAAACCATCGTAAACACTTCAAACGTAATATTTTTTTACTTTAATTTGAGTTTCGAAAAAGTGGATCATAATCTATCAAAGTTTCAAAGTGTTTGTTTTCTAAATTTTGTTCTCCCTCAGCTCGTTACTGATGACCTTTGTTTTGGCACCGGATGACCCAAACAGGAAGTTGTCTTAAGTGACAGTTTTTTCCGGATTGGACTAAATAGCGATAAGGTGTATTGTCAGTCCAGATTGACAGTAAATCATAATGTTTGTGAATTTTTATTAGCTGGATTCAGTTTTGTGCTTTTTCAGACAACCTGGTCATCATTGTCATGTAAAAAGAATCATGATAATGGCTTGTTATATTCGGAATTGATTTAAGAAATAATGCATGCTTCTACTGTTTGCTTTCTCTTTATTAGATTCCTACAATGAAGGCTGTCCATTATATAATTCCTCAAATCTGTTAGAATCTCAATTCTCTGCTACCAGTCGTTTGACAGGTTGGATGCCACCTATACTTGGAATAAGGTTTGTAATATCCTCCGCATATTTGAAGAATGTGGAAAATGTAAAGGACCAATACCAATATTTTGAAAAAAAGAATATCTGGATAGAATTCCTCATTTATAGATTGACATCATCCTGAGAATATGGTAAACATTGTAAGGCAAAGAACAAAATAATTGAAACTGGCAATCAACAAAAGTTGAATGAAGGAACCTTTATCACAAAAAGACAACAGCGCATTTTAGAACCAATACTCTAACTTGAACCTTCTTTCATTCTTTGTTCTATTTATACTTTATAATTCAGAACAATTTCATAGAAAATAAAACTGACTAACTTTCTTCTTGATTATTTTTACTTTATTCCATGAAAAGATTAAATAATTTATCAGTTTATTTGATTATAGATGTACATCATACTGAAATACGATTCAGATTTACATCCTAAAAATCCTTTAAAATGTCTACTACTTAACTACATGAATTAAAATTTTAAAACACAAATAGATATTTAAAACCTGTGCTAACCTTTCCATAAGAGCTTAGCTCTTTCATTGGGATAACGCTTAGCCTTTGGATCCATTACAAGGAACCATTAAGTTAAATATTTTGAATTGACTTATTTTAATATTGTTAATTTTGTGTCTAAATTAAGTATTGATGTGGAACTGTATGAAATCTTTTATAATTCTTTTTCTTTAGCAAAATTATACTTTTATTGTATTTGTTTGAAGAAATAACTTTATGTAAAAACAAGGAGATGTGGTACAATTGCCAGTGAGACAACTATCCACCAATGTTCAAATGAAGTGGATGTAAGCAATAATATGTAATAGAACGGTCTTCAACAATGAAAAAAAACCCATACCGAATAGTCGGCTATAAAAGGACCCGACATGAGAAATGTGAAACTATTCAAACTAGAAAAATAAAGGCCTAATTTATAAAACAATTTACGAAAAACAAATATAGCAGACATGAACCAACAACAACCACTGAACTACAGGCTCCTGACTTGGGACAGACACATAAAGAATGTAAGGTGGGGGTAAACATGTTTGTGAGTGCTCAACTCTCCCCCTAACCTGGGACAGTGGTATAACAGTATAACGTAAGAACAAACTCTAAAAATCAGTAGCTATTGCTTAACTCAAAAGATCGGTACAAGACATGGTTTCTTCTTATTATAATTTATGGAATGTATTTTATTTGTCTTCAAACTTTCAGCCCTGTGAATGGTACAGCACAGCAGTATGAAGGCTCTCAGTATGATTTAGTAAAGAGCCTTGGTGTAAATGATTCAACTCTCAGCTGGACTAGTTCATTAGCTACACCAAATCATGCTGATTTGGAGGACAGAGGTATCTTAATTGATATGCTATTTCTATAATTTCATAGTTTTTTAATTAATTAGGATGTAATATCACTTTCTATACTAATTACAGCTTTGAAGTAGAACTTTATGATGGAGGAAATCAGAATCTCTGGAGGGAACAACTGGAACTTGTGCCCAATAATAATCAGACTCTTAACTTATATCAACACATACTGCTTAACCATGTTAACTCACCATATTTATGATGGCTTGATGAAGTATGAGAATGTTACAAATCTTACTCACAACAAATTGGCAAAGCAATCCAATAAAAAGGATATTAATGAAATAAATTGAGCATTTTATCCTGAAAATAAACTATGATATGATTATTTAACACGAAAAAAGGTCAAAGTCTGATTTTGTTTTTCAATTTATACTGTAAATTATTTTAAATGAAAATTTGTAAATTTATGAGTTTTGAATTTGTTGTTCTATACTTGACATCATTCAACTAATAACAATGATAAATGGAAATGTAGACTAAGAGTCAATGTAACAATATCAAATAACACGGAATAAGTTTACCAACAAATTACAATATTATCTGCAATATTTGACGATCATCAAAACCCTGAAGAATTTTCTCTGGACCTATTTAACGAATTGCTGATTATGATAATACCAACTTTGTTAAACTTGGAATAAAACTTTTTGTCAGAGGTAACCACTACGTTGCACCAATTATTCATTTATTACACGTAATGATATCTGCTAAAAAAACTACCTCAAAATGTATGATTAGCTACAAAAGAACAGAATCTTTGAACAAACTTTAACAAGTTAAAATACTCATTTATCATGAAAATTTCAGTATTTCAGTATTACAATCAATTCTAATAAAAATATTTTTTATGAAAAGAGAAACTGGTCTTTTGATTATTAGTGTAATAGCACCTTTTTATAACCTAAATAAGAACCTTGAAGTGAAATGACTATGATTGATTTACTTTATATTACAGTATTATATCATAAGATATTATCATACCTATTTTTCAGAAAGTCAGACTCCAGCTCAAGCCAAAAGGAAGGTAGTTAAATATGTTGTGGTTAGAAATGTAACCGTTTTATTGCAGTATCTAAGAATTACATATTTTGTGAAGGATTCATGACTTATCAACAGTTAATGAGAACATTATTTGATTAAGAAAGAGTCAAGCAAATGTCAATGAGACCATTAAAAAACATGTTCATTCTGCAAAATGAGACATCCAGAAACTAGCATTCAGTCTTCAACTACATATATTGAGAAATGACCAACATAACTGTAGATTACACACAAACTTGAGACAGTTTTATAAACTAGTATCAGTACTCAATCATTTCCATTGTATCTCAAACATTAGAACAACAAATGATACAGTGAAAAGTTCGATAGTTGTACATTTACCAAAAATGTGCATGTGGATTTCTGATATTTAATGGTGGGATGGGAATAAGCAATTGTTGAATATAGTCTTGATTTGTCTTCATACAAGTTAACATGACTTTAACTTTGAATTTCATTTGACAGTTACATTTTATCAGTATTTCATTTAAATGTATTTCTATTTTATCACTGTCCAATTACATGCATACACTAAATCTTTATTTTTTCTACTTCAGGGATTTTCTCGCATGTTATTTTCTCCTGGAAACAACATGACAAGTGAAACCATGGAAGTATGTACCCTAAATGATTCTCCAGTAACTAAAGTCAGTTCCAAATTATCAAAGGAAAACAATGATTCAGATCATTCTACTGAAATAATAGTTAATTCCTACATTAGCAGTCTAGAGAAAAACAATGGAAAAGTAGATATACCTGATTTAACTGATGCTCTGTCCGATTTCTTTGATCCTCCATCTAAAGCTGCAGGTAGGAGGAGGAGTGCACCATCTTATAGGAGAAATTCCATTAAAACTAAACCAGCAAACTCTGTAGGTTCAATATCTTTTACTCAGGGTGATTCAGACAAAAATAATATCATTGAAGACCTTTTTAGAACTAAAGATCAACATTTAAATGAATGTCCAACAAAACCAAATAAAGAAACTAATGAAAATAGCATTCAAATTACAGAGAAATTTGATCATTGTGAAAGTGTTAGACAAAAAAGTGTTGATTCAGAAAAGTTTGTCTCTTCTGTTTCAAAATCCCAACAATGCAAAGAAAAGTCTCTTGAAAATGAAGAGCAAAGTATGCTGAGAAATGAACAGGAATGTTTGCATGAAAATGTAGAAAATTCAATTAAACCTGAAGAATTTAGTCAGACAGATCTGTTTTGCTCTACGCCCTATGATGGCGATAGGACTTATAAGTCAATTCTATCAACTGCAAAAAGGAAAACACCTGCATCCAAAAAACGTGTAAGATTTGACAAAGATTTGGATGAAAACATAATCAATTATATAGGTACAAATTCAACAACTGGAAATTCTGAAGGGAAAATTCGAAAAACTTCTAACGAATTTTCGGCTGATGCCACTTTTGAAATTGAAACTGAAAATGCTAGGATGGAAAATAATGCTAAGGGAAATGATAAAGAAACTGATGATTTGTTTTCTCAAGTTTCTCCAACAGTCTTACAAGAAATGTGTTCAGTTTCATCAGACAAACTTGAAGAATCACCTTTTACACGAAAATCTACTGCATCTGTTGATACTCTTATCAGATCTGATATAAGTGATCAGACAGGATCTATACCAATATCTCCTGTTGTACAGATCAATAATACCATTCCTGTAGTAGAGGATAAAATACTGCCTATTAACAATGTTTCAGAAACAGAGAATTTGAATTGTGCCATAAACTCTCTTGAAAAAACTGTACCTGTTGAAACTAAGTCTAATATTAAGACTGATAGTCTATTAAAGAAACCTGGTAAAATGAAAAGATTTTTCTATCCAACTAATTCTCAAATCAACACATCATGTCCAAAGTCTGTTTATGGATTCAAACAACAACCAAATGAAACAGCTAACAACAACATTAAAGATAACAATGAGAATACAGTAATTGAACCATCAGATAATACTAATGCTGACAGTAGAACAGACACGACACCAACAATCCACATAGAGGTGGTGAAGACTGGTCTAACAAATTACACTCCAACTTTGTCATCTGGTAATATTGATTCAAGAACAAGATCTTCAGGTTCAGGTATATATACTGTATGATAGGTTATAATAATTTGTGAATATTTATCATCTTTATATTTTTTGTATACAAAGTATATCAGATTAATAAAAACTTTTGTTAGCAGATTGTATTAATTAGTGAAAGAAAAGAAGTATTGGAAGTGAAAGCCTTTGACTTTGTCCACTACACTTGCTGCAATAAGATAATTGTACTCGCTAAATCAATGTTTGCTAATTTTTGCAATTGAGAACCGTCATAATTATTGAACCATTTACAAAAGCATAAATCTGGTAGCAAACATAATCAAACAAGTTGTTCTCAAGTCAGCACATGAATGTTAATATTTTTGTGGAAACAAATGACAACAGGATATAGGTAGATTGCATCTTCTGAAGATGTAATTTCAAAATTGTGAAGATAAGTGACTGATTTAACAATTTCTATAAAACAAGAGTGTAGCTGCACAGTCTGCACAATATATGTTAAAGATCACTTTCTGAAGTGAATTCTATGGACAGTAAGAAGCTATGATTTAAACATATGCCTATATTTGTTGTCTGTCACTTTGAAATGAGACAGTTGTCTTTGACTGTTTTCATCTAGACTGCAGATATTAAGTTGATTTTTGGTATATGTACTTTCACAAAATTATTAATTGAATATTGCATTTCATTAGAGCTAAAAAATTCAGTATAACTTGGTGAAAAAAAGATATGTTGTATCAGAACATGAATACGTTACATTTACACACTTTTTTAAACCTGTTTTTGTAGGTTTTAAAAGATACAGTGATTTAGTTGAAGTATCACAGAAAGCAAGTGTAGAGGTTTGATATAGTCTAATTGTAACTCAAGATACACATTATGTTGTATGATTGTTTGATAGATCCTGATTGCTAAGCAACATAACTCTACATTACATCTATAAAGAAACCTGAGAAATGAATAGAAACAGTCTTGCTTTATTAAAAAAATAAAAGGCACAGGTCCTATTTACATACCTATCTGCTCCTTATTAAATTGGTGCTGGATACAGTGGGTAACAATCATCATCTACATGTTACTGTCAATATAAATACAAACCTTTTAAATAAGTGTTTTGAATATGATTTTTTTTATGCCCCCCTCCCCTAGGATAGTAGAGGGGCATTATGTTTTTTGGTCTGTGCTTCCGTTTGTCCGTCTGTCCCGCTTCAGGTTAAAGTTTTTGGTCAAGGTAGTTTTTGATGAAGTTAAAGTCCAATCAACTTGAAACTTAGTACACATGTTCCCTAAAATATATTCGTTCTAATTTTAATGCCAAATTAGAGTTTTGGCCCCAATTTCACGGTCCACTGAACATAGAAAATGATAGTGCGAGTGGGGCATCCATGTATTATGGACACATTCTTGTTTATATTTACTGTGATTTGACTGTAAGTGTTGCACTTCACCTACTGCAGTTTATTCAAATTCTGACCAAATTGCAATTTATTTTAAACAAAAATCGTATGAAAGCTTAGTTTGGACATTTTTATAGCAATTCAAAAATTACTACCTATGACCTTTAGCTTAGCATGTGTTTTACTACAGCAGTTTGTTAATATTTCTGACCAGTTGAACAGTTTGGTTTGATAAGATAAATTGCAATTTGGTCAAAAATTTGAATAAACTGCAGTAGGTGTAGAGCAACACTTACAGTCAAGTCACAGTAATTATAGTCCTCAATGAGTTGTTTTTAAAAAAGATTCATTATCTTTCATACATGTGTGTAAATGGAGCACAAATATAGAAGTAAGATCTACTGGATGCACAGTAGAATCTATATTAATATTTAATTAATCTCAGAAGCAATATCTTTCTTGATCTTTTCAGAATGTGAACACAGCAAGTTCAAACATTTACAAAAGGGTTTCAAGGACAACCAACGACACTTGCAGTACTCCAACATCTACCAGGAGAGATTCCATAGAAATAAAACGTAAAAGACTTTGTTTGAATCAGCAGGATTTTAATGAAAATTGTTCATCCGAAAAAACTGTCAAAGAATTAACTTCCCCAAAGTTTCCCTATGAAAAAACTTCAAATCCAATTAGTTCAGCTGCAGCAAGTGCAATAAAATTAGACATTCCTTACCCTGAAAGTGACATATTTGAAGATGACCTACCTGATGATTCCTTTTCTAAGGAAATAAATATTGATGGTACTTTGGAAAATCTGTCTGGTAACTCAGATTATAAAGAAAACATGTTTGGTACTTCTGAAAATCTGTCTGGTAATTTAAGAAAATCAGAAAAGTCTGATAATTTTGAAAAAATACGTGAAGAAGGTATGCAAGCAATAACTCCAAAGGCTCTGAAAAATAATTTCAAGGAACAGTACAAACAAAACGAAGAAATATTCAGAAAAGATACAACCAATAACAAGAGTAATAAACAGTCAGAAAATATCAGGGGTGAAATGTTTCAAGGATTTAACACTGCAGCAGGAAGTAAAATAAACATAACAGATAGTAAATTATTTGAAGCTGAGAAACTCATGGTAGTAGATAGCTCTGATTTTACTGGCGAGTTTACTGATGATTTCATAGTAGATCGTAAGTTAGAAGTTAAAAACAGAACAGAATTTGAAAAAGTAAAACTCCAAGGAGACACAATGCTGATGAAAAGAGAGGCTTCTCCAGTACCTGGTATTGAAACTAAAGTACTTGATGTTAAAATAGAGAATACAGGCAACTATGTCAACAAAATCTCAGGTCTTAATAAAAATAGAGAAATTAACTTAAGTGGTGATAGAAACTTTGAAAAGAGACTTAATTATACTCCTGCAGTAGATGTGAATAGCAGTGTATTAGGGGAACACTTGCAGCCATTAAGTAAGCAACTAACTTCTTTAAGTTCAGAAAAAAATGCCAACAAGGACATTACAATTCCAGAGTTTGAAATAAAAACAGAACTACAGGAGAGCCATGCTTTTAGTGGAGGTTTTTCAACAGCTTCTGGAACAGATATTAAGTGTTCAACTGCAAACCTCACAAAGGCACAGAAATTAATGGACATAACTGACAATGTAGAGGATAAAGAAGATACTAATAAAAGTTTATCTTCAAAATATATAAATAATGGATTTGCATCAGCATCAGGGAAAAAATTACCTATGTCACTGTCTAGTTTATCTAAAGCAGAGAAATTAATGGAAGACATGAAAGATGATGAGGATAAGGCAGGTGTTTCCAATGTTAGTTGTGTTAACAATATTGTGGGGTTTTCAACTGCAGGAGGAAAGAGTTTCAAAATTTCGCCATCAAGTTTGTCAAAAGCTACAGCTTTAATCTCAGACTCAGAAAATATTCAACATGTATCAGAAGTGAATTTACGCATCAATCTGATTCAAACTAAAACTGAAAAAATTCATTGCCATGGATTTTCTACTGCCTCTGGAAAACAGTTTAATATCTCAGCATTAAGTTTGTCCAAAGCCAAGAGTTTAATGAAGGAGTCTCAGGAGCCATTTGGGGGAGATCAATCAGATGTAATTGAAAATAATGAAGTTAAAGAGACAGGATTTTCTACTGCAACAGGAAAAACTTTCAATTTATCCAAATCTAGTCTATTAAAAGCAGAAAACATTATGGATGGAAAAGAATGTCAGCTGGTTGCTCCAGAATCTGCTTTACAATCTAATACCGATACAGGGCAGTCTAATGGCCTTATGAGTGGTTTTTCTTCTGCATCTGGGAAAGGTTTAAATATTTCTACAGCCAGCATTTCTAAAGCTACATGTTTAATGAAAGAAATAGATGACAAACAGGAACATTCAGCACCTGATACAGAATCAAAGAAGGAAGAGTTTGAAGAAATTTTCAGTAAAATACTCAAACAAAGCAAATCAAATAACGTATTAAATGTTGATGTCACAAACAAAAGTTTACGTGTTGAAAGTGATTTGGAAAAAGAACTGGAAAATATGCTGACAAACAAACAAAATAAAAAAGAAAATATTCCAGTTCAACCGGCAAAATCCACAAGGTTTCCACCTGGTTCTAATGTTCCCAAAGGATTCAGACCTTTCAAACCTCCAAAAATTATAAGCAAGCCAAAAGTTGTCCAAAACAAAAAATCTGTTACAACCCAAAGCGCACCTGAAGTAGATTGTACAAAAGAAGATATTTTGATTAAAACTGACATGGCTGAGCCTTTGAAACTAGAACCTGAAAGTGAAGACAATTACTGTGGTCATACTTCTGATCCTATTAAACAGAACAATAATAATAATATAGACAGTACTTATTTGGATGAGGTTTTTTCAGAAGAATTGTTACCATCTCAAAAATTCAGTCCAGAATCTGGTCGTCCAGTGAAAAAATGTAGAAGGGAAGAGTCGACATCCTCTGTTACAAGTGACGATTTAGAATTGATTGAAGCTGAAAAAAGTATTGAGCTAACAACATATACAAAGTTAGAACCACTTCAGACAAATGAATCAAAGAATGCCACATTTTCATTAGGAACAGGTGGAGACAATAAAAGAACTAGAATTGAAAATTCAGAGTGTGAAATAGATATTGATTTTAAGGGAGATAACTCTCAGTTTGCCCTAGAAGAAGTTATGGATCCTGGAAATGAATTCACACAAGTTTTGATTGAAACTGATAAAGACAGGGTTGATGAAGCATTACTGAATTGTGAAGTTTTTATTAAAGAAAAGAGAATAAAAGCTGAAAATTTAGTGCAACCTATGAAAAGTAATTCAAATACTGCAACTAATTCTACTTTAGATTTTATTCCACAAATTACATCAACGTCAGCTTTTGTAAATGAAAAGGTTGAAATGAATGTTGATCCTGATATAACATTTAATTTTAAAAATCAAAATCCTTTTCAAAGTGCTTCAGGGAAGACTGTTTTTGTGTCAGAGAAAGCATTACAGCATGCTAGACAAACAATAAATAATGAGAACACAAAGAACATTGAAGGTTTAGGAGACTCTTTTCCTCATCCAAGAAAGTCCATGGAATCAAATATTTGTAATCCTTTCCAAAGTGCTTCTGGTAAAACTGTTACAGTCTCTCAAAAAGCTCTTGTGCATGCAAGGAAAACTTTAGATGATGAAAACATTGGTTTGTTTCATAGTGCTTCAGGGAAAAGTGTTGAAGTTTCAGAAAAAGCTCTCCAGCATGCTAGCAAAACACTGGATAATTCTAGTTCAATTCAAAGTGTGTCAGGAAAAGGCATTTCTGTTTTGCCAAAATCTCTTCAACATGCCAGACAAACACTTATTGATGACAATTCTAATCCATTCCAGAGTGCTTCAGGAAAGATTGTTCAAATTTCAGAGGCAGCTCTTAAACATGAAGAAATTATTACTCCAGTTCATGTACTGAAAGACGATGAATTGAGAAGAGAAACATTGAAAGACATAAGTGACAATCCTTTTCAGAGTGCATCAGGGAAAAATGTACTGGTTTCAGAAAAAGCTCTCTGTCATGCCAGAAATTCATTGAATGAAGAAACAACCAACCCATTTCAAAGTGCTTCAGGAAAGAGTGTTGAAATTTCAGAGAAAGCTCTCCAGGAAGCAAGGAAAACACTAAATGAAGAAATGACCAACCCATTTCAAAGTGCCTCTGGAAAGAGTGTTGAAATTTCAGAGAAAGCTCTCCAGCAAGTAAGGAAAACACTAAATGAAGAAATTAATGACCCATCAGTAAAAAATTATAGTGTTTCTGAAAAAAATCTTCAGCAAACTAGGAATACATTGAACAATCAAACAAATAACCCTTTTCAGAGTGCTTCAGGAAAAGGTGTTTCCATTTCCGAAAAATCTCTTCAGCAAGCAAAGAAAACATCAAATGATCAAAATCTAAATCCATTTCAAAGTGCTTCTGGAAAAAGTATGATTGTATCAGAACAGTCTCTCAAGCATGCCAGGAAAACTCTGTGTGATGAATCAATTAATACATCCAAATGTGTGTCAGGGAATAGTGAAGTGAATTCAGAAAAGGCTATACAACAAGATAGGAAATTATTAGGACAAAATTATTCAGAACATTGTGTGTCAGGGAATAGTGAAGTGATGTCTGGAAAGGCTCTACAAAAAGATAGGAAATCATACGGACAAAATTATTCAGTACAGTGTGTTCCCATTTCCAAAAAGGTTTTGCCATTTTCTGATAACAATTTTAACAAGAAATTGTCACCTTCACTACAAGCAAGCAGATCAGCAGTAGAAATTAAAAAGAGAAAGAGAAGTGATTTTGATGATGATTTTGATATTCCATTAGAGATATTGGAACAGATGGAGTTGTATGGTAAAAGACAAAGGACTGATGTACTAGATGGTAAGGCCTTTTCTGTGTTACAATACATGATACCTTTGGATTGAACTTTGAAAACAAGCTACAGAAAGAAGCTGTAATACCATTTTTAGCTCACCTGGCCTAAAGTGAGTTTTTCTCATCGCTTGGCTTTCATCATGGCTCGTTAACTTTAAAAAAAATCTTCTCTTCTGAAACTACTGGGCCAATTTAACAAAACTTGGCCACAATCATCACTAGGGTATCTAGTTTTAAAAAGGTCTGATGACCCCGCCTGCCAACCAACATGGCCAACAAAGCTAAAAATTGAACATAGGGGTAAAATGCAAGTTTGGTCTATTATCTTGAAAAATGCTATGAATGGAGAAAATCTGTCATGGGCAAAAATGTTCAGAATGATGAGATCTACATATTGTCTATACACTTCAAAACTGTCGGAAGACTTCTTTTAGGAGTTATTGCCCTTAAATGAAGAGTTTTACCGATTTTTTTCATGTTTGCCTAATATCTGAAAAACTGTAATAGATAGAGAGAAACTTTTATTACCAAAAATGATCAACAAGACAAGCTCTACAAATAAGTTTGATTATGGAAATCGTCAGACTTCTCCTTATTGGAGTTATTGCCCTTTGATAATGATTTTTACTATTTTTTGTGTTTTCGCCTAATTTCTAAAAAAACTATAATAATAATAGATAGATAGAAACTTAGATAAGCAAAAATGATCAGCAAGACTTGATCTACAAATAAGTCAAATAGCCGAAATCATCAGTCGACCCCTTGTAGGAGTACTTGCTCTTTAATGACGATTCTTACCAATATTTTATGTTTTTGCCTACTATCTTGAAAACTATAAAAGATAGATAGCCACTTTAAACGCAAAAATAATCAACAAGACAAGAACTTCAAATAAGTAAAATTTTTCTGAAATTATTGGTTTACTCTTTATAGGAGTGATTGCCTTAATTGATATTTTTTTTACTGTTTTTTGTGTTTTGGACAAAAACTAAAGAAAATAGAGAGAAACTGTAAACAAAAATAATTATCAGCAATACAAGATCAACAAAAAAAGATTTTTTTTATGAATTCCATCCTAGTTCACAATGTTGGAGAGAGTCCATTGTTGAAGATGCTTATAGACCTAGGTAAACGACACAGGCTCTTTAGAGCCTCTAGTTTACTCTCTACATAGGGTTATATTTTTACATACTGATATATCTTTATAAGAGTTAAATCATGTACATCCAAAAATGCAAAAACATGTTTGCAGCAATCTCCATATATAAAATTTTGTGAAAACCAAAATATTTTATTTTGATGCAAATATGTATGTCTGTATTTCTAACATTGAATAGACTCATACTGAAGTGCAACATTGAAGTTATTACTGCTATGAGCATGATGAGTTCAACTTTATTAAAGCACAGATATCTGTAAAACAAAATTTTATTAGAAGATAATATACTTTGGTAAGATTTATATTTTTGTAGGAGCATCCACAATATGTTGTTTCTCTCAAAATTCATGATACAAGAGGCACATTTACTGTATTTTTGCAACTACAAAGATGTGTTTAGATTACCAAGACCAGGTATTAGTATTACAACAGTACAAGAAGCAAAGAGGTCCAAAGAAAAAAAATGATCATACGATTGCTGCATAGTTCTTCAACTAGGCTAAATATAATTTACCAAGATTTCAAAATACCTTATTTGGTTGTTATAACTGATTAAACACACATAATTTACAATTTATATACAAATTTTAAAAATCAAATATGTCATATTTCATTTCATTGATATGTTATTTGCCGCATAAAGATGAAATGATTGGAGATTGTTTTGATCTGACAAGTTATGTATTTTACAGATTTGTATTACTTTGCTTTTTAGGGAGAAGAAAACAGTCTTTGACAGCTGGCCCTGAAGGTAAGAGTTTCTATTGTAACATTACAAAACTTTTGAAAAACACAACATTTGAGAAATGTATATTCGCAAAAAATATCCAGTTTTCCCTTAGTGTAATAAGTATGATATTACTATTAAAAAAAATTACACAATGACAAATACATATTTATTATTCAGAGTATAAATGAAAAATAAGATGTGGTATAATTGCCAATGAGACAACTCTACACCAGAGACCAAATAATGTAGAAATTAGCAACTATAGGTCACTGTACGACCATTAACAATGAGTAATAGCCATACAGCATAGTAAGCTATATAAGGCCCTGAAATGACAAATGTAAAACATTTCAAACAAGAAAACTAACAGCTGATTTATGCACAAAACAATAAATGAAAAACAAATACAATATACAGCAACAAATCACAACTATTAAATTACAGGCTCCTGACTTGGGACAGCCACAAACAGAATGTGGTGGGGTTAAACATATTTACTGGGGCCGAACCCCTACCCCCTCCTAACCTGGGACAGTGGTGTAACAGTACAACATCAGAACAAACTATAAAAATCAGTTGAAAAGGGCTTAACTCATCAGATTGATACAAAGCACAAAAGACACAAAATACAGATCTGAGAGTACTCACAGCTACTGACAGCTAGTTCAAAGCCAAAAACAACTATAAATAAAAAAAGTCATGTATCTAAGACTGAAATTTAGTATATTTTCATTAAAACAAATAAAATGAGAAAACATATTTTACAATCCACTTCTACTGCTTAGTGTGCAAATAATTCCATGAACATGATCAATAGAATTGAATTAAAATTTAATTGCTTACAACTATTTTTATCAACCTTTAAACCAAATAGGTGAAGCCTCTTAAATACTGCTTTTGAAAAATCATTGTTTGATTTGAGTTTTATCTCTCATACATCTTTCTGTTGTACCATCCATGTTCTTACTTCTATATGTGTCCCAATGACCTCAAAAGGTTCAAATGCTTAAACTATTATTTAGTAAGCTAATTCTTCAAGGAATGCATACTGTTGATCCATATTTAGATTGTTGGATAGACTGTCAGAGCTTTTGATTTGTCTGCCATGCATTTTGAATTTAAGTTTAGAAATCTGTGATACATAGCTTAGACAGCAACACTTTGTGGTTATGTGATGTAATTTATTTTTACACATTTAAAAAAAAAGACCCAACTTTTTCAGGGATCAGAAGACATGCTGCAATTTAACAGCTGTCTGGCATGTCTGGTATGACAATCGTCCTTCCTCTTGTCCATATTTGTTTTTCAAACAAAATTTGAACAAAATTTATTTAACGTTAAGTAAGTGTAGAAATACAGGACAGATTTTGATGTACATTTGGTAGAAATATTTTCATCTTTTAATTTGTAGATTACAGTAGAGATAGACAGGTTCCTGGGTTTTCACCAAAGCCATTAAAGAGTCAGTCTATACACACTAATCAGAGGTAATTAATTATAATTTGACATCAAGTGTCAATACAGATAGGAATTTAGATCTTCATTAAAAAAATCCTGAATTCGGCTAATGTACTTGATATGCCCATAATACCAGTACGTTTACTTATCTTTCACTAGCAAGTTGTTAATTTGAATATATTGCTACTTCAATTCACATAAAAATACAGATATATATATATATATATATATAATGCATAAAAATTAATTTAAAAGATCTGTAAGTCTTTTTATGTTTTGTGCTAAGTTTGATTTTGATAAGTACTTGCAATAGACTCAATATTTGTCAATATATGTTTCACAATTTCACTGTCTTTTTCAAGGAGATCTAGAAATCTGTCTCTAGTCATGTTTTAATCGGGATGTGAAGCTATCACATTGTTCAGTGTGAGTCATTCAGTATGTATAAAAGTGTGTTTCTTTTCTTCAGGAACAGAATACAAGAATACCTTTCTGGTGACACAAGTAAGGACACTATTGCACTACCAAAGTCTACATTTAAAACACCATACAAGCCATCATCAGCACCCATAGAAGATATTACCGCTACATACAATAATAAACTTAAAGTAGGAGCTCCAGTTTTTGTACCCAAGACTGCAAATAGCCAAGGTTTGTATAGTTTTATACCCTGACCAATATGTGGTCCCAACAGACTGTAATGGCAAAAAAAACCAAGAACAGTATCTATATTGATCTTATTTTGTTTTTTATATAAATAGTAGACATTTGGTGAAAAGATGATTTCGTAAAAATATAATTTTGTATGTTATCGATGATGCATTTTGTTTTCTTCCTGTATGTTGTCAGAATTATTTACATAAGGGCCTAACTGGTTTTGAACTATATTAAAAATCTATCAGACAAGTATTTTTGTACCTTTTCACAAAATAAAAATTTAATACTTATGATTATTCTCTGGTTGACAATGTCTTCAGTTCTTTTTAATTTGGGATTTTTCACTACAGGAAAGAAAACGAATGATCAACAGACAAGAGTTCCTTTACAACCAAAGATGCCAAATAATATAAAGGTCGAAAGCCAATCAGGTGTACCTGGAAAAGGTTTAAATCTGACTTCTGCAATGAACGAAATCAGCAAAGAAATACTACAGATGATAGAGAATGCTAGAAAACAACAAAAAGAGAAGATTAAAGAGAAGAAGAGGAGAAAGGTTGTCCCTGTAGAAGGAAGACTGTATCAGATGAAACAGTCACATGGAAGATTTAAACTGAAAGATGTTGTCACACTTAATAGCAATATTGACCAGGTATGAAATTTTCTGATACAAGGATGCAATGTTAGTACATTGTAGTTTTAAATGAGCTGTCAATATAAATTGAAATGAAAACAACTTTCAAAATTTAGAATGATATGTTATTCTCTTTCTTATTTTGGTAATATATGCGTTTATGTTTGTGGAATGAGGAAAAAATGGTGTGTGGATACTTGTTTTTTTGGTTTGAAGACTTCTTTATTCAAGTTTTTATGATTATTTTATTTTGGTAATGAATGAAATTTGAGATTCACCATACCCTTGAAACACCCAAATGGTAACATTTTTGTCTCGCCTGCGACGAAAGTCTCAGTATGCAAGACTAAGTTATTACTATCCGGTGGCGGCAGCGTAAACTTTTTGTATAAAGCTTTATATTTAGGAAGGAAGAAGACCTGGATGCTTCATATCTGGTATGCAGATACCTTATGTTACGAAGTTTCCGTCAATCATATGTCAATTGTCCTTGACCTCATTTTCATGGTTCAGTGACTGCTTGAAAAAAAAATTGAGTTTTTTTGTCATGTGAATTTCTCACTTATTATGAGTAATAGGATAACTATATTTGGAATATGGATTCCTTGCAACATCTACATGTCTGTCAGACAGAGTTCACCTGACCTCAAATAATTGTAAGGTGTACATGTCTGCCTGGCAGGTATCACCTAACCTTGACCTCATTTTTATGGTTCAATAATCAATGTAAAGTTTTGTGTTTTGATCTGTTTTTCAAATACTAATGACAATAGGTCAGCTGTATTTGGTGTATGGAATAATTGTAAGGTGTGCATGTCTGTCTGGCAGGTATTATCTGACCTTGACCTCATTTTCATGGTTCATTGGTTAATGTTAAGTTTTTGTGTTTTGGTCTGTTTTTCAATTAGCATATGCAATAGGTCAACTATTTTTGGTGTATACAAAAATTGTAAGGTGTATATGTCTGTCTGACAGGATTTATTTGACCTTGACCTCATTGTCATAGATCTTTGAAAATATTAAGTTTCTGTAATGCTTTTAGTACAACCTTTATCTTTGAGACTTTCAACATAAAATCAATGGTGAGTAAAGCAGGCGAGACATTTCAGCGTGTGCACTCTTGTTACTCAACAAATGATAATCCACAGTACCACTTTAGAAAATTTCAGATAACTTTTATCCAGTATTTTATTATATTATAAGACATGTACCCATATCAAATTTTGTGTAGGTAAAGAAACTACACAATAATGATTTAATTTTATAATTGGATTCCTTGATATGGAAATTACAAAGGAAGAACTGAATGATATATTTTCAAGACTTTTTATATTTCAGTCTGCTATAATGCACATACATCCTTCAACAAGAAAAGTAAGATGTAGTAATGCAGCCCTCCATAAATTTTACCTTCCTGACTTTTATGGCAAAAATGTCCACCATATTATTGTTGGAGATGGAGCAATGCTGGTTCCTGATGATAAAGGCTATGCAGGGAAGGAGGAGTTTTATCAAGCTTTCCTGACCATAGAAAATGTAGACTGTAAGCTGCTTGATGAAAAATGGTTCTGTAATCATTTTAGATGGGTAGTTTGGAAACTAGCAGCCTATGAAGTTACTTCATCTTGGATCTTTCCTGGAAGGTAATATGCCTGATAAGATTATTTTAAAGTTACCTGACAGCATTCAACTGTCACTAGTAACACATAGGGATTACTTCTGTCCTCACACTATGTTAATCTACAACTTCTTGAAAACGGCTTAACAAAATTTTTGATTTTTTAACTAAAATCAGTGGGTCTCACTAGGCTTCTTTCACCATTAAAAAATGACTGCCTATCAAACACAAAAACAAACAAAACAAATGAATAAACATAATTATTACCAGTAGCACTTACAGTTTCATCATTAGCAGGACATTATGTGAAATAGGTTGTTCTGTAATGGATTCCAGCAATTAATAAAACCATTTAATTTGGTTTAATTTTGAGGCATCTAATGTGCTAATGGAGAAAAATGTAGTCTGGAGGGAAAAAATCTTTTGGCAGTTAGTTTGACACAGTATATTGGTTAAACTGGTATTCCCTTAATTCATCAACATTTACAAAATACCAGAGTGAGGCGAAATGATACAGTATTTATTCTGAAATTTGTTGAGATTCTTGGCCGATAAATACAAATGATGTAACTGGAATAAATTGTATTTGTCGAACAATGTAATTTGTGTCTTTTCTTCTACAGTAAATATTGACATAATACTATTTTATGTATTATAGATGTCTGACACCAGAGGTTGTGATGTTACAAATGAAATATAGATATGATAGAGAAATAGATAAGTGTCAAAGGTTTGTTGTATGATAAGTTTCTGGTATTCATTGTACATGTAAAAGTTCAAAGAATTTCTAACATATAACTGAATTGAAGGATATGGGATATGAGTTCATGTCATAAAATCACTACATGCTCATGAAAAAACCGAAAGCAAAGGAACAGGACTTTTATTACTGTTCTTCATCTCAGTCAAAGTGAGACCTTCAACATGGAGCAAACTCTCACCTCACTGGAAGTTCAAGAAGGCCTTAACTCCAGTTGCTGTTTAATGATTTTTTTTCTGGGAGTCATCATAGTTTAAAATGAAAGCTCATTAATGGAAACCATGTATATTTCTTGACTGTATAAAAATAAGGAGATGTACTAAGTATGACTGCTAATGAGACAAATATCCACCAGAGTACAAATAAGTGAATACAAGCAATTATAGGTCACTGTACTGCCTTCAATAATGAGAAAACCTTATAGTCTGCTATAAAAGGCCCCAACATAAAAAAGGTGAAACAATTTAAACGAGAAAACTAACAGCCGAATTTGTAACAAACAAATATGACAGACATGAACCGACGTCAACCACTAAACTACAGGCACTCAAAGAATGTGGTGGGGTTAATCATGTTTGTGAGCGCTTAACCCGCCCCTAACCTGAGAAAGTGGTGTAACAGCACAACATCAGAACAAACTAAAAATCAGTTGAAATTGGCTTAACTCAAAAGATAGGTATGAATGCAAAAACAAAAGACACAAAGCATCGATATAAGAGCACTCACAGTTACTGAAAGCTAGTTCCAAGCGAATAACAAATAATAAATAAATCATGTTCTCCAGAGTAAAGTATAAATCAGTACACATCCAAAGGATTTAGTGTAAAGACATCATAACAGTCTGAGAAACACTTGATCATGTGAATTTTTTTAAATGTTCATGAAATACTAATCACAAAGAAAAACAGTGAAAATGAAATTTCCATTGGTTTTCTTGTTTGAATAGTTTAACATTTTGTCATTTTATAGCCTTTTATAGCTTGCTATTATAGTATGGGTTTTGCTCATTGTAGAAGGCCGTACAGTGACCTATAGTTGCTAACATCTACATCATTTGGTCTCTGGTAGATAGTTGTTTTATTGGCAATCATACCACTTCTTTTTTTAAAATGCATTAAATCCTGATTATTTTCTAGGTCTGCTATTATGAAGATATGTGAGAGAGATGATACACCATGTAAAAGAATGGTTCTGTGTATATCGGATATCACTATGGATGTTAAGGAACCTAAGGTATTGAGATAAAATATCTATGATAAGTTTAATACTTTCTTAATTAGAATTTTGTATGTTCAAGAATATCTGGTTTGGATTGGTGTTTGTATAAAATTATTAGTTCCAAGGACATTTACCGGTATTGTGATTTATAAAAAAAAAAGCAATTGCTTTGATTATTACCTTTCTCTTTGAAGATAATAAAGACCAATTAAAAAGCCAAATTTAATCACAAGAGATTGACTACCTAGAATTCTGTAAAACAGCAACAGATAAAACAATTAAGAATGAAGAAATTTATTCAATGTATAAATGTATGAATCTGATTACATTGTGTATCACATATGTTTCTGGAATGACCTTCATGAGGTTAAAAGTTTTGGAAATCAGTTGTATAAAACAGGAAAACTTATATTTTTGTGGATATTTATCTTAGTGGTTTCGCCTAAGATAAAATCTGTATACAAGCCTATAGAAAATTTGTACAAATAGCAACTGATAACAGCCAACCAAGACAGCAAAAACAAAAGAAAATTATTTATGACAATGTACAAAAATATTTTATTTAGTTCAACTTGATTGTACACTGTTTTAAATCAGTACATAGAATCAAGTTGAACAAATCAAATATGTTTTGTACATCACTCATTACAGCATTAGTACTATTTTATGTGATGTTGCTATGGTACAAAAATATGAATAAAGGGAACATTAATGAGACAGCAATCTAATTACAAGTAAAACCAAAGAGATCAACCTATGGTCTTCAAGGGTAGACAAGTGTCGATACTAAATAGCTCAAATTATTGAATGAATTCTGACCGCAGAAACTACACAAAATCTGCCATTCAAACCAAATTCCTCAATGGAAGATTGCTCAATGAAATAAACAAAGTATGAATTGAAAAAGAGTTTTGATTTCTTCTTAAATTTTTAAATGGATTTTTATGAACTCATTTTATACATTTTTCTTTCCAGATATCTCTAACCGATGGCTGGTACTGTATTAAAGCCAGGGTTGATATTCCCCTGTCTAACCTGATTAACAAAGGGTGTATACACATTGGACATAAGCTATGTATATCTGGAGCTGAACTGACTGGTTCCCAGGATGCTTGTCCACCATTAGAGGTAAAATAAGTTATCTATTTTACATTTTATGCTTTAAAAATGTGCATGTCAAGAAACACTTACACATCAGTGTTTATGTGATTTGCTTGGTCAAAATTAACCTTTTACCATTAGCCTTCTGAAAATACAATTGAAAATTAAATCTCGATAATTCACTAACAAGTTGAGTTTGGTAGAAAATAGCATACTACATGTATGTTATTTTGCAATTAGCTCAGTATTTGACCTTTGTAAAAATAAGGAGATTGTTTATTAACATCTCAACACGATCAGTTAAAAAATAATTTTTAATAAATTAGTTTGTTTTTTTATTCTATAATGTGTAATTGCTAATTCAGGCACCAGAATCTTTGATAATGAAAATTAGTACCAATTCTACAAGACCTGCCTCATGGGATTCCACACTGGGCTACCAAACTGACCACACCCCTCTATGTGTACCTTTGTCATCTGTACAAGGAGAAGGTGGATTGATTGGTTGTATTGATGTTGTGGTTGTGAGGAAATACCCTACTATGGTAAGGTTATAATATAGGACACTAGACTAACCACACCCCTATTTGTGTACCTTTGTCATCCTTACAAGGAGAAGGTGGTGATTGTTTGCATTGATGTTGTGGTTGTGAGGAAATACCCTACTATGGTAAGGTTATAATATAGGACATTATACTGACCACACCCCTCTTTGTGTACCTTTGTCATCCTTACAAGGAGAAGGTGGATTGATTGGTTGTATTGATGTTGTGGTTGTGAGGAAATACCCTACTATGGTAAGGTTATAATATAGGACATTAGACTGACCACACCACTCTTTGTGTACCTTTGTCATCTGTACAAGGAGAAGGTGGATTGATTTATTGTATTGATGTTGTGGTTGTGAGGAAATATCCTACAATGGTAAGGTTATAATATAGGACATTAGTCTGACCACTCCCCTCTATGTGTACCTTTGGCAACAGAGATTTCTGATTTCGATAATGATATACAAAACACGCATATTTTTCACCTGCAAATATTATTTTTGTCAAATTTGATTCCATTATGATGCATACTAAAAGCTTGAATATGCCTGATGTTATTGTTTGACACCAGAAACGGCCTTTAATGATGTCACAGTGCAAAAAAAACAAGTAAGATGTTCTCAGAATTTTCTTTTTAACTCAAAGATAGTGTATAGTTTTTCCATAACAATGATAAGAGAAATAGGTTTAACAACTCAGTAATTAGATATTGCTTGATATCAGCGCTCCTTATAAAATTTCAATATAATAATGATAAATAGTAAATTATATTGAAATTAACTATAAAACATAATGAAGTGAATATTGTTAAATTATTATAAAAGTAAATTGATCTGAATAAAATTAAAAGATAGAAGTCTCTGTTTTAATTATTAAGATAAAGTTTGAAGCAACCTATTATAATACATGTAGTAATATATATGTTTGTAGTACATGGAGAAGTTACCAGCTGGTGGCTGTATATTTAGGTCTTATGCTGCTGAAGAGAAATATAAACAAACATTCCAACAACTTCAACAGGAGAAAATGGAGAAGTTATACCAACAATTAGAAAGTCGGTTTGAAAAAGATAATAAGGAAGGTAATGACTTTATGAATATTTTAAAGAAAGGTATTCCTGAGTCTAGAAGAGTACCAAATCAATTATGTAACAAGGAAATCAGATGATAGAAAATACAGAAGACAATATATTTAAAGTTTAATCATATCTTTAATTTTAAAATATTGGAAAGCAAGGATGTTGGTTAGAGGTACATGAGACCACAATGGAATATAGGAAATAAGCAACAAAACAAAGATACAGTGCTTTTATTGCTGTTGTTCATCTTGACTGTTTCTGAAGTTCAACAGGAATGAAGAAAAAAAAGTCCATGATTTTGTACACAATATTGTAATACTGCTATTAAATTTTTCAACAATGTCGGTAAAATATTGAAGAAGCTGATTAGTAGTCACTGTCATAGCTGGATTTTAAGGTCTCTGGGCCAGAGAGATTTTGTTCAAGCAAGTAATTTAAAGTTATTTATGAATAAACTGGTTTAAAACTTATTTTTAGTTCAAGGACATTGATAAAAATCTTACTGTGTTTATATATCAATCTATTAATTAAGGTTTCATGTTAATTTTAGAAAGATGTATCAAGAGAAAGAAATTTTCATGTAAAGACATAGAGCAACTTAGCTCAGGTGAAGAAATATATGAGGCTATAAATTCTGCTAAACATCCAGATGACATCCAGGTAAAGAGAGAGTTAGTTAAGTAATTGATAGCCATGTTATTATTTCTTTTTTTATATTTGTTCTTTTTTTTAATCTATAATTGCTTGGTATGTTGGCAATATTTCTCATTATTAAAAAAGTATTTATGTAGAATAATTTAACTATCTAGGAGGAAGAACTGTTGTATTCCACAAGAATCAGTGTTAAGATCTAATGATAAAAAAAAAAAAAAATGTTCTTTTTGCATGACACATTTTTATTATGCTGCTACAGTAGCAAATTTTCAACAGAATCAAGATTTGACATTTCAGTTGGATTAAATCATTGAAAGTCCAAGAACAAGCAGTTAACAGATAATTCATAAATAAGTCTAAACACTTGAGGGTAATATTATTTTGTTTAATAGGTAGGTAAACATGATTTGATATATCTTTAAAAATGATAAAAAAATATATATTATGAAGCAAGGATGTATTCATTAATCATGAATCCAAATTTTGACTCATCTTTTAGACATATTTAAGCAGTAATCAGTTGGAACTATTGATGGAATACCAGAGATGTATACAGGAAGAAAGACGACAGAAGATGAACTCTGAATTCCAGAAAATTTGGAATGATGGAGATGAGGTATTGTCAAGCATAATACAGATATAAATAAAGTTGCACTGTGCTTATAATACTGAAATTGTTGCTTAAATTCAGAAAGTTTAGTCTTGAGTGGTATTTTTGTTAAAATTAGTGACTGTTGTTCAATTTAAGGATTTTTTTTTCTTTTTACATTCCAACTTAACTAGAGCAAATTCCTGAAAGGGGCCCTGTAAACTAGACAAAAATACAAAAAAGGGAATAAAAATCTTCATTTTGAAGAAAAAAAATTGAGATAAAATATATATTTTTACACCTTTTAGTGTCACAGTGTCAAGGTCACATTTGAATGAATTTCAGGAATGTATAGTTCTGTTTTGGTTGGTTTTTTTTTTGTCTCGTGTCGATGAAGTCTGTGGGGCGTCGTCGTCAACAATGTATAAGTTTGTTATTAGATCAGTTTATGGGGAACCACTAGTGGTAGGTCAATGATATTTTGTATGCAGTTGTAAAAGCATAGGCACATCTCATTTCCATGGAGATTATATGGCCCCACCCCCTGAGGGAAAGTCATGGTCTATTGACTTAGAAGCTCTTGCTTAGTTTAGATGTATTATTTTGTGATTAGGTCAGTTTAAGGGAAACCATTAGTGGAAGGTCAACAATATTTTGTATGCAGTTGTATTAGCTTTGGCACATCTCATTTCCATGGAGATTATTTGGCTCAGCTCCCTCAGTCAGGGTCTATTGACGTTAAAACTTTTGCTTAGTTGACATGTATCAATTTGTAATTTGGTCAGTAAAAGGGAAACCATTGGTGGTAGGTCAATGATATTTGGTATGCAGTTGTATAAGCATTTGCACATCTAATTTCCATGAAGATTATCCCCCCCCCCCCTTTTTTCAGTCATGGTTTATGGACTTTGAATGATTTGCATAGTTTTCATGTTTTAAATATTGCCATTTTAATTTCAAAATTTGCATTATACTATCAAAATTGCAAAACATGAGACATATCTCAGTCTCAACAGTTTATTTAGCAATACTAGCAGCGTTCCAATTTCAAGGCCAAAAATGAATCTTCCAACATCATTACTCCTTTCAGAATTCTACACAAAACACCCAATAACAAAAACAGTAGATGTTGTCTGCATTGACAATTTTTTGAACTTACTGAAATCATCTTAAGTTTTTTTTGTTGTCTGAAGTGGTAGACAATTTTTTAGTGCAAGATTTATTGATAGAAAGCAGTGCAAAAAAGAATTTTCAATATCTTTTTTCACATTTTTTAATTGTTTCCATTTACAGACTAATAAACAGAGAAATGTAATACCACTAATGAAAGTAAGACTTGTTGGATGCTGTAGGAAAGATACAGATAGTCAGATGTGTGAGTGTATTGTATAGTACGAAGGCAAACATTTTTTGGAGGGGGCATATAGTTTGTTTGTCCGTCTGTGCAAAATATGTCTAGTTCAGAACTTTTGAATGCCTTGTAGAATAGTAAAGTCTTCTTCAAAAAAACTAAAAAGAAAAAAATGTATTCAACTCAAATATCAGGTTCTTCTGATGAAAAATTTATAATGATTGCTCGGCTTATGCACCCACAGGAGAGGGTGAAAATCAAAAACTTGCGTTTTGAATTTGATAGCATAAGTATGCATCATCATAATAATTAATCTGGAATTATCCATTGTTCAACTATTGCAATAACAAATGCACACAGAAAATTCTAAATTTACAGTACTGCACATCTTTTATTAATATGATTAACATTTAAATCCTAGGAAATTAGTATCCTACTAATTAATATACATGTATGTTCATAATATAACATTTGTAAATCAGAAGTTCAAAATAATGATTTTTATATAGTTGCCCACTTTTGATTCAATAGCTTTTAGTTATAGATAAATCATTTGGCTTTATGACACTTCTTGTTCCAGCTCTTACACCACTGATAGTTTAGTTGAGTGATGGTAACACATGTTAATGACTGTTTACATGTAAGGATGGGGAAATTGGGGATATTAGGGTTTGCTCACAAAGTAGATGAGTCACTAACAATTGCAAACAGTAAATCTCTCTGACAGCAGAATACTGGAGATATATATTTATTGTTTTCATGTGTACCAGATTTCATGGATTGAGGGAAAACTGTATTTTTCGAGGAAAATTGATTTTTTTGGTTAAAAAAAATTCTTAATACATGCTTAAAATAAAAAAAAATATTTTGTTGTACACTTTAATTTGTGGTTCAACTAAACACATGAAGTCCACAAAATTAGTAGCCAAGGAATGATAATGAATCTACAGTATTAGTTTGAAGTTTTCAAAATGAACATTATACATTTGTATTAACTAATTTGTGTGTTCAACAATTGAAATAACACAAGTAAATTATTAAACATTTATACTGATTTAACACACGTTTAATTACAGCATCTTTGTTATCAATATGGAGACCATCTTCTACTCACAATGATCTTAAAGAAGGACAAAGATACAAGATTTACAGTTTGTCAGCATCACCTGGACGGTAAGCCTTATTTGTTTTGTTTTGATCTCACCTTGTTTGATATATATAAGGTCAGGCAAAGACAGAGGAATTTTGATATTTGGAAAGAGTGTCACACAAATCCGGTCTTAATCCTTTCTTGAAGTTAAATGACTTTCAATTGTGAACTCTTAACTGTTTTTTATTTAAACAGAAAAGTCCAGCTGAACATGTTGTTTGGTAGAATATGCTATAAATCATATCTAATTTTTTCTCTCTAGCTATGTTCGAAAGATCATAATGGAACTATCTGGTATGTTTGTCATTTTAGGTCTGGGTCAGGTGGAGTACAGCTGACAGCAACCAAACAAACACAGTTTAAACTATTGGCATTAGATGATAATATCTTGGATATGATTTATGAACCAAGAGAGGTAAGAATTAAACACTGTCTAAATTTATACATGTATCAGTTTAAAATCTTTGTACAGTTGAACTTTTGCATCATATATTTTAGTCCTGATGTAGTTTAAATTATGTAGTTAGGAACCATCAATTAATAGAGCACTTTATAACTAGTACAAATTCCTTGGAGGTGTGTTAGAAGTTGAGGTAGTACTGATTGAAATTACACAAGGTTGGAAAATTATTGAGATAAGGTGATATTGTATTATTCCCAATTAGACCTAAGCTCGAAAGTACCAAAGTGAATCAGCAGTGTCATTTTAGCTTACTCAGGGTGAGTGTCATAGGTTGTGGGCTCCATCCATGGCTAAGACAAACCAAAGATTCTAAGAATGGTAATTACTGCCTATTTGCAAACATGAGTCATTAACTACTGAGGTCAGTGTTACCTGGAAATAGTTTTCTTAATTTTTGCTGTTGATATATCTAATGGTTTTCCTCCTGACTTTTGTTTTTGTGTATTATATAAAACTTTATTAAGATTTTATTCAATATTTGAACAGGTACTTACAAAACAAGACATTGTTAGGAAGAGGCCTGCCTACAGAGAAGTAGATATATTGGGCATTGTTGTAATGGTCAACAGTACAAACTTTGAACACAGGTCAGTTTATTGAACAAGGAGAATCATTGTATATCATGTTAGCCATTATGATGCTTACAACCTAGCAAGAATTTGTGGAATGGTGTTAAAAATGCATATAAAGTATGCTTACATTTAGACTTACTTGAAGTATTTCCAAATCAAATAAATTAAGAAATATTCCATGTACATGATGTAGGGAAAATCTATTAAAGTTGGAAAGGACCAAAAATAAATCTTCAGTTTAATCTGCTGTTTGAGTCATCCAAGTTTGAAAGTTACATCAAAAGTTGCTGTGTGTAAAAGCTTTGTGAGAATACATTGGCAAATATTAAAGCTTTGTGATTGTACATCTGGTTGAAATGTGGACATTAAATACTCCTTCAAAGAAATTTGAGGGGTCTGTTGCAAGGCAAAATTCCTACCACTATGAATGTACATATGAATGAAATATTTACAATAAATTTTCAACATAACCAGATTTGACCATGTGACTAAAATTAATAGTTGGTTATTCATCAATGAGACATAACAACAACAAAAACAAAAGACATGTTGAGGTCAAAATACAGTCCAACAATAAACAGGTGTCTGACAAAGTGTAATATTTCAGCTCTAATCCTAAGTTTTAAATTTTAAAAATCTAAAATATTGTTGTAATAGATAACAAAAAATGTAAACATAAAAAGCATAAACAAAACAACAGTAAACAAATTATTTCATATCAAGGAATGCTCACATTTAATGAAAGCAATTCTAATGAATTTAAACATGTAGGTATTTAACATTATGAATAATATTTGTCAGTTACAGAGCTCCAGTGAGCTGCGTATTTGCGTGATCACGCAATACAAATAATTAAAAACCCAATGCAATTGCCCATTGCAGGGTTCAAAAACCCAATTCATTCAAAGGAAAACCCAATTATATGCCAAAACCATGAGTTCTTAACTCTTTTATTCGCTATCGTTTGCGTTATTTACCCTTATCTGATTACAGTCGTCGCGTAAATTTATTTTTATGATATTTATAATTGGAAATGTCCTTTCGTTCTAAAAATAGAGCCCTGCATCAAGTAGCAGAAATGGGTCCCTGTTGGAATTTTCCGTTGCTCAAAAGGTACACGTGTTTATGAAAACATTTCGATCTTCTCGGCGTTTATCCAATTAGCGTTTGTCTTTTTGTCATATTTTTTTCGAATTGCTCGGGATTTATCATAACATACAATGAATTAAAACAAAAGTAAATATCCGATAAAAATATTGAATAGAAGCATGTTTTCAGCTTCTTTTTGTTACTTTAGGGAAAGTTATTATGATGATAACAAGACCCGTTTGCATACCTTAACGAGAACATTGCTAGAACGATAAACACAGGGTTTTGTCAAGAACGAAATCAGTTGGAAAAAGTGAAAGGCCAAATCAATTATGACATGATATATGTAGTTGGAAAGCATCAGAAACCAAAAGTTCTAATCAGCTGGGACAACTTAACCCAGATTTATGTAAATTAAATTAAACAAAAACATTCAAGTATAATTTTAGTTTATATATTTAGTTGATGAGTGAATACACATATCCGTTTTTTACGTCAATGCATCTTGACACTTTCTTTGTTTTGGTCTATTTGTTCTGTATGCTTATGATAGTTGTCTTATTGGCAAGTGCAGTTTAACAGTGTCATTTATTTATTTGATGTTGCAGAATTATTTGTAAATTTAACTCTGTAAATTTAAGTTGAATGTGGTCTCCGTCATTAAACCTATAAACCTGGTCAAGGTTTTGGGGTATGTCTTAAATCTGGGAACTACTTATTATTTTTATTAAAAAGTAGATCTGGCAAATAGGTGAAAGGACTGGCAAAACTTTCTTACAGCACCTAAATTTCACATATATTACATAAAAATCTAAACACTTAGCCACGCCTACCCCAACTAAACTGTAGGGTGAGCATATGGGATCTAGAAAGGTAATTAGTAACTGTCCAACTAGTGACACCAGCTGCAGTTTATATAAGTTGTGAGAAAATACAAAACTGGCAGAACGTTTAAAATCGGACACAAATTAAACGTACAATTGCTCGTCAGTGAATAAACCAAATAAAACAGCTAGCATATATACAAAGAAAGAAACACATTTAAGATGGAAAAACATCTGCATGGGGTTGATATAATGTGATTATAACATGCCTAAACATTCAATATTGTGTTGATGAAAAAACCCAATACATGAAGGAGCTTGGTGGTGAAAAACCCAATTTGATATTTGCTTGAGGGGTGAATTGGAATTGATAATGCAATTTAAAAACTTTATCACCCAATTACATAAAAAAATGGTGGGTAAAAAACCCAATTTGTGAATTCTTATCTGGAGCTCTGCAGTTATAGAAATTCACTGTTCAAAATGCAAAAAAGTTCTTTTGTACAAAATATCAAACTAGATTTCAATGCTTAAGTTTTAGTTATTTCATGTTCTCCTTTTCAGTGGAAAACAGCAGGACACTGTGTATTTAACAGATATCAATGATGATTTGATCGGTATCAAGTTCTGGGGAGGAGTAAAGGTATAAATGTAAAATAACAATACATAATTTTAATAAGAAGCTGCACCAAGAGCACATGATACACCCTTATTGTACATATTGACATTGTTGCAAGAATAAAATGGGATATTTAGAAGGCATTTAATCAGAAGCAAATAAAATGGCTCTGCACAAAAACGCATAAGAAATAGCCTTTATAGGCATATAAATGATATATGACTGTTGAAAAGTCCAATAACTCTGGAATAACAAACCAGAAAATTTTCAAAATCAAAAGCAAACCTTCATTCACCAATCCTAACAGCAGTGTTATGTTTGTAGTAATTTGATTCAAGCATACTAGAGCTAGTGGATGATATTTTAAAAATTCCTTTTATTTATCTGACAGTCAAAGTCCCATAACACTGGAATGACACATCAGATTTTTTTTTAGATTGAGATTCGTTATGTTCACTAATTCCAACAAATATGTAAGGTTTCCAATTTATCAATCCAATCAAACTCAAGTTATGGTACAATATGTGAAAAATTTACTTAAATCTGACAACTAAAATCCCCTAACTCTGGAACAAACCAGAAAATTAGAAAAATTGAAAAGGAACTTTCTCCTATCAATCCCAACAAAAATGTTTTGATTGAATCATTTCAGGAATACTTGAGTAAGTGTGCAGTAAATGAAAAATTGCCTTAAATATAATGGTTAAAGTCTCAGACAATAATAAACCATAAATTTTTAAGTCTTCAACCGGCATACAAAAACTGGTATTTTATTTCTAGTTTATAAATGAAAGAAAAATACTGTGACTTATTATTTTTTTTCCTGTCTTTTTATTCAGGCAAAGTTTGTGCTAATCAAATAATAAAAGTATTATTAAATGAAAGGTGTAATGTATTTTTCTTGCAGCACTGTGGGTTATCAGACACTTTACAGGAAGGTGTGATATGCTGTTGTAGTAACCTGTGTGACAAATCTAATTACCCATCAATAAGTTTACCTATACTGGATTATTCTACAGAGTTATCTGTCCTATCACAATCTCCACAGTATCCAAGTCAGAGGAAACATATAGAGAACCTTAAAGAGAAACTCAAGGTAAAATATTGGACTTTTTATTTTTGTATCTCAGTAAAAAAAACTATAATAATAATTATTATAATACTTTAAGGGTAAAGTTCAAAATTCTTAGTCCCATCCATGGAAACACTACGTGAAAACAAATGGGGAACAATTGAAAGTTATAATATTCTAAAGAAACAGAAACAATAAGAAAATATTTTCATTTTGATATTTCGCATTTTTATGTTAAAGTTTTTTGTCAGGTAGTTTTTGATGAAGTTGAAGTCCAATCAACTTGAAACTTAGTACACATGTTCCCTATAATATGATCTTTCTAATTTTAATGCCAAATAAGAGTTTTGACCCCAATTTCACGGTCCACTGAACATATAAAATGATAGTGCGAGTGGGGCATCTGTGTACTATGGACACATTCTTGTTTTTTATTGCCATTAGATAAATTTTTCTTTCATTTTCTATTTTTATATTTTCTGACCAAATTACCATTTTCTTGATCAATCTTCAGGAATTTTAGCCAAACATTTGAATAGCTATGTAAAACATTAGTAAACAAAATGTTAAAAATTATGAGATCAACACAGAATATTTCAGGATAAAAAAAGGCATTTTTCCAAATGTAAGTAATTAGGCTACAGGCAACTTGCTTATCCATATAATATTTTATATTGTAGGAGAAAACTGAGTTTCTGAAACAAGCAAAGGAAAGACTTCATGACAAGCTTAATGCAAGAAGTTCACTGGCTTCTGTGATTAAAAGTCCTGAGGTATAACAAATAAAGTGTAAAAATATTTTTATGTTTCATGTGGTTTTAATGCCACACATTTACAAAATTTGCTGTGATAAGTTTTACTTTTGAGTAAACATTAGGGCTCATAGTAAACCATTATTCTTTGGTTACGTTTGCTAAGGAACTAACAACCTCTTTCATATCTGTAGATCAATAAATTGGTGACACTCTTGTAAAGGAGCACACACTTATTTAAAGATCCTTTGCCTATGCCTCCCCTAACAAGGATCTGACAGTGCTCCGTTATATTATACTTGCATTATCTGGGTCTAACTGTACTAAACAAGTATACACAGTAAACATGAATATTCCAATTCAAGTATTGATGGTATAATTTGTAATAGCTGAATATGAATCTGCATCATAACTTGGTTCAGGAACAGAATCATCACCAAGATTTAGAGAGAAAAAATAAAAGAATAATTTGTCAATCTGTTTTTTGATAAATATAAATGGATAATTGATGTCAAATACATACATGTATTGACATTCAAAGATAGGATGATATTTACTGATGTGTATGTTACAAAGGTTTTGTTATACAAACACTTTAACATGATTGAACCTGGAAGTAAAATTTAATCAGAATGAACAAACAGAAACAAGAACCAAAGCTACAAGACAAACACATGGCACATATATTTAAATATCCAATTTAGAACCAGAAATTTTTTTTAGACATCTTTAAAAATTTATAAGAATATATTTTTTTTAGTATTTGATTATTAAGTAAAAGATATCTAGACTGTATATCCACATTCCATCTACATATGTACTCATATGGTCCTGATCTATCTTACAGGGTATTATGTAATACTAGTTATTTTGTTTTACAATCATAACCATATTTTGTTCTATATTTGCAGAAAAATTGCAGTGAAATTTTACTGGAAAGCAAAACACCAAACAATCCCAAGACATCTTCCAAGATGGCTGCCTTGTTGAGTTATTCATCTCCATCACCAATATCACCCGTTGTGCTGTCATCATCAAAGTCAATTCATAAAGCATTCAAACCTCCATCATTGACCAGAAAATAAATCATGTCATTCTACAAATCATTATCCTTTTTGTGAGATTTGTTAATTTTCAATTTTTTTTTAGGGAGGAATTATTGATTTGCTTTTTCAATAATGTAAAGATATACTTGGCAATTCAAAATAATACTTATATTCCTGTTTCTTGTCAGTTCATTCTTTAGCATATTGAATTTTTTGTTTTGAAAAGTACTAGAAGTGACACACACAAGTCTATTAAAGGTCTATCTACATTTTTTTTTAAGTATTTTAAAAATAAGTACGGTTATTTTCAGATTTAGATGGAATTAATACAGTTTTAATAGTTTTGCCGTTATGTCATCAAAGTTGTATAATAATTCATTAATTTTTTTTTAAATTCATAGATTATTAATAACTGCTGGGCCTTTGCAAACAGATATATTTGTGTAACACAAATATTGTTGTGGAATAAACTTGAAGTAGTTATCAAAACTGTAAAATTATGCAAAAGACAAGTATTTTATCATATTATCACAATTCAATATTTAAGTCAATTTTGGTCATGAAATTCATAAAGTCAGTCAGAAATCAAACAAGTTACCTGTTTAAATATATGAAGTTTATGTATACTTTATTCTGATATAGCATTATTCTGAAAGAAACACATAAATGAAATATCTTGAAATTACAAGGCTTATCTTAAATGGTCCTTTGCAGTGTATGTATTGTTATTTTAATGTTTTTAATGTATTTCTACATATATATTTCAAACTTTTACTTCAGAAATCATGGAATAATGACTAAAAGTATGTTAATCCATGTCAAGAACATCTTAATGGTATTACTTTGAAAATTTGTTCAAAAATACATAGCAGATTTATCATTACCTTATTGTTAAAGCTAATTTTCAGATTTTGTTTTCTACCTTCTGTAAAACATTTGATACTTTGCTTTTTAAATATTCAGTAAATGTAGTTCTATTTAAATTTATTTGAGAAATGAGCGGAAATTTCATCAAATTGTTTTAGGGTAGTATAACATATCAACAATACTGTTGCATGACAATTTCATATTTTAGAAATATGAAAAAGACAAATAGTATGCACATCACATTATAAAATTTTAAGCTACAGTGCAAGGCCAACAGTATTCACCCCTACCTTTTTTTGCTGCACATTTCATATGAAAATAAATTTTGTGAAGGCATTTATTGTTGGATGTTTACAAACCTGGCAGTCTGGATTCTGTTTCGTCAAAATTATCTCCCCATTACGCCAGTCAATTTTTACAATCGTTAAATTGAAGCCATTGTAGGGATGAAGCGCTGCCAATTTAGCTCTTTAAAACCGATAAATTTATCCACATAGCACCATTACGATCCTTATATGTCAGTTGTATTTTAAAAGACAAATTTATTTACTAGCTTTTGATCATCATTTAATGTACTTTTCTGCATTGAGTCAACTTAAAACTATTGTCTATTTGGTTGTCAGGTGGAATTTTTCGAAAATTCAAAAACGTTTTAAACAATTATAATTAAATATTTCGTGGAAGGGCAGACTAAAGATTTTGAGAGGTTAAAGACTAATAATCCTAGATAACACACACAAAAAATGAAGTTTTTTTGAAGTTATGCATTTTTAAGATCCAGTTGTTAAGTCTGTCGTCAAGTACTTTTAGTAAAAAATTGTTATTCGAACACACCTACTCTGTTGTTATGACTCATTAGAAAGGTATTTCACTTGACCCATATATTTCATTTTTTAGTACTGTGATTTTTTTAATGTTACTAAATCAACCTGTAGCCTAAATGTATAAAAATAATAGAATCTGAAGCAAGATAATGTATCAAATATTTTTGCTTTATACGTTTTCAAGACAGAATAGCCAACTCAAACACGCCTGAACATCAAAAAGTGCACTCGACTTTCTCTTTTCGATGCAATTATTGCCCATGTTTTGGATTTTTTCCCAAAAAACAATTCCCGGTGGCAGAGATGCAAATTAATGCTTTAGAAAGATCAATATTTTATCTTTCTGGTCAATTTTTTTTGGCGGAATTTATGCTTATTCACAAAAAAGATCCACTTGGATTTGAACCTGCCGCAATCGACTGTTTTATAAAAAAATGTCTATAATTTAAAAGTTTACAAATATCTAGAAGCTCCATACATGTACTATAATTCAAGTAAAAACATGTAAATAAGATGCATAAAATCCTGAACTATGCACCTTTATTAAACTTTTAAAGCCCATAGAAACAGATGTAAACAATTCAAATATACCAATTTTGCTTTTTTACCTTCTCTAACAAAGAGTTCCATTTCTATTGTTTCATTTCAAATGGGTTTCCGCCTGCTGGTGTTAAGAATATTTGTTTATTTGGTCATAGTTTTGTCATTGATTGTTTTTGTTTTCTCTTGATATGAATGTGTATAATTTTTTTTACAATATAATTTGGGTGATATATATAGCTAATTTTTTAACAAATTAAAGATATTACTTATGTTTCAATCATCAAAAAATGAAAATGCTCCATAACAAAAATATAACTAAATAATTGCAGGGGTTCAAATTAACATATGGTACTGGAAGGTCCAGGACCTTTGACACTCCAAACTGAAAGGTCCACAACCTAAATCACAGGTCCTACTTTTACATGAAATATTTCATAACTCAATAAGATACAAAATTAATGTGCTTTTGGAGTAAGGTTAGATTGTTTCATCATATTTGAACTGCATGTAATGTTTCGTTTCTCATATAATGGGCTATTCAGCGAATAAACAGTTTACAACTTCAATATTGAAGTACTGCTTACACATCAACACCATTTTTGCACTGGATTTCAAGAATAAAGTCACTGAAGGGTTTCCCTTTTTTGCAATACTGTATGCAGTGTTGAAAAGAACCTTATATCTATTTAACTGATCAGGCTTACATTGCTGCTTGAGAATACATTGTCCAAGTTTAGTGTCTAACAATTAATCTTTAGACTTAAAATTTGGGTCACTTTCATGGATCCACTACCTTAAACAAGATAAATGCTGGGTGTCACTTCGTATATTTTTATTGGGTCTATTTTAAGATTTTGTGTTCCCCTTACAAGTGCATTTTCTTTTTCTGAATGGATGGGGAACTTCTGGCAGTATGTGCATGACATAATACCAGTTGATTCATCAAAATATAGCAACGGTTCGATCGATTTTCCAGTGGGGCTTAAATGTCCGTTCCCGTTTTTCACGATCACATTTTTGGTCATTTGATTTCTTTTGAAGACGCAGGCACTTGTTTCTATCCATGGAAAGGTTGGATATCCTTCTATATTTATGGATAGTCTACCTTCCCATGGATAGAAACAAGTGCCTGTGGTTGAAGACCGTTCATAATTTTCAGGCTTTCTCTTGGAAGACGTGACACCAAAGTGAAACGGACACATTTTGTTGGAAAATGTCTAAATGATTAAATGATTTGTCACATGACTTCTTGCAACTATTTATAACCTTGTGTTTCCAAGAAATACAAGGTTAAAAATAACTTTTATCACTCGTCGGCAAGGTCAGGGATGAAACATTTTTTTATCTCAATTTCAATAATAATATGGCTTAAAAATGATGATACAGATGGTTAAAAAGGTCAGCAAAGATCATTTTTATTTCCTTTAAAATCGAAGGTCCGTCGGGCGTAGCTAGTAACCAAAACAAAAGTCCGATTGCAACAGTGGAAGGTCACGGACCTCGGACCACCGCTAATTTGAACCCCTGAATTGAACAAACATGTGACAATTCTGCTTTGATACAAAGTTTATTAAAATTCCACCAGAAATGACCCCAAGATATTGTTTTGAAAAAAAATCATAGTTTTCAATGAAATATATAGTAATAAATTGTCAGTGAAGAATACTTTTGGCCATATACTGCAGTATATGATAGCACAGAATGTGAATGGCAATGCAAAGCTTTCAAATGATATAAATATGCACTTACTAGACACATATAAAAAGAATATGGGTAAACATCAGTGAAGCAATAAAACAAATATAATCATGTTTAATTAGGATTTGTTTAGAGATTGAATGTTAAACCTTTTCAGAGAATATGTTATGTTGAAAGTAAATATATTTCAGCACTTAACTCACTTCCAAAGAAATAAAAGTTCATATCAAATATAATTTTCATAGAAAGAGTTCCATTGTGTGATATATAAGAATAAATATATAAAACTGTTATCATTTATGTCATGGTGCTTATAATACACCTGTTATTGTTATGTGTTGTTACAAATTTATACTTTGTTATCAATAAAATGATAAAAGCTATGACTTCATTCTCTCTGAACAATTTAGACACCAATCTAGCCCCCAAAAATGTAAATTTAGTTTCTGTTGGTTTGTTTTCTGTCAGGATAGTTTTGCCATCACCTGATATTATATTTGTTAACTGCCTTAGTGGCCTCGTGGTAGTGTGCCCGCCTTGTGTGATGTAGCTTGAGGTTTGAAACCAAGCCTGGCCAAACCAAAGATTTGAAAATTTAAATTTACTGCTTCTGATTTAACATGCTGAATTTAGGAGTAAATGCTAAGACTGGTTGACTGAAGAGTCAGATAGTGTGACATGTATTCCTGAGTACTGTTACCTTGTGAACTAGCACATTTAAACATCCAGCTCATTGTGTTGGGTCTTGTACAAAGCAGGTAACATATTCTGACATCGGACTTGGACTTCTTTTAAACTGAGTTTTACTGTGCTTATTGCTATGTGTTTCTTTTTTCTACATTGACTAGAGGTATAGGGGGAGGGTTGAGATCTCACAAAACATGTTTAACCCCGCCACATTTTTGCGCCTGTCCCAAGTCAGGAGCCTCTGGCCTTTGTTAGTCTTGTATGTTTTTTAATTTTATTTCATTTATATGTTTTGGAGTTTAGTGTGACGTCCATTTTCACTGAACTAGCACACAATTTTATTTAGGGGCCAGCTAAGGACCACCTCCAGGTGTGGGATTTTCTCGCTGCATTGAAGACCCATTGGTGGCCTTCGGCTGTTGTCTCTTTGACATATTCCCCATTTCCATTCTCAATTTTATTCATATTCATTAACATGTTCTCATCATGATATGCATGTAATATTTGCCACTGAACATTATACATTCGCTTGTCATTTTGATCTTCAGAATGGCTATAGATTTTCTTTGCAGGAATGTCTCTCGTTAACTTCTTAACAAGTTCTGTTTAATGCTGATTCTCCTGTCCATTAAGAGGAAATAAAAAGGTAGGGTCAATTTCCTCTTAATTCTTTTCACAGCCTGGCTATTTTTCGAAGAGTTTTAAAATCTTATCTTAGATTCACAGTATCACAAGTAATGCCTGTATATTTTTTAGTTATAACTTTCTGACCAGATAGCCTATTTATGACCAGATGGCCAAATTATGAATTGCCAGAAAAGCTGAATTTTGAATATTTTAAAAAATAAGACATAAGAAGAATATTTTTAACCAAAACCAATTTTCTGTTAGAGGTAGAGCTACATATTGTCTTTCAGGTTCAAATCAATTAATATTGGTCAGAGATATGCCTCAACATGAAATTTTTACAAAAACGTAAAATTTGCAGGTTTGTATCAAAATGCTTTCAACAACATATAGAGTTGAATTACATTTTGATCTTATTGAGATATGTAAAACTGCTTTAAGTTTATGATATAAACTCTTTAATATTCAGATTCCAGTAGGATTTGAAAAGTTAAAGATTTCAACCCTATGAGTGAAACAAAGGGAAATTGGCCCTACCTTTTTACTGAACATGCAAGGAAGCATAAAAATGATACCAAGGCCGTCCAAAATTTGGACTAAAACAAGACTTGGTATAGGCACTGCATGTAATATTTCATAGTATATATGAACCTTTTAACATGCTACAAGGAACCATTTTTGAGTTGTTCTGGGCTCCATGTTAAACCCTTGGTATTATCTAATGGACCATGGAGTTAACACACGTAATCAGAATAGATGTTCCTACTGGTATGTATTATTGCGAAAGAAATGAAACTTTTCCACATAATTACACCTTATGTAAGAATCCTGGGTTTTGATTGGTTGATAGCCAGTGTATTTTTCACCAATTTACTGTTATCAAATGAATATCGTTCATTTTTTAACGCCGCCATGGTATATGCAAAAAGGATATGCCTTTTTTACCCTCTCTGATGTGGTATTTGCCAAAAAATACTCTATCCAACTGGACGCTTGTAAGGTCACGATTATCAATGCGTTTTTGAACGTTAACATTCGGTGTAATTAAACAGATATAGCATGTTCTTGAGGGGTATTTGCGAAAAATACCAGTCTTGAGAATGAATTTCCCTCGCCTTACGGCTCGCGAAATTTAACATTCTCTCGACTGGTATTTTTCGCAAATACCCCTCCTTAACATGATATATCTGTTCAGAATCCTTTATAGTTTACCTGTAGATTTAAATTTCTTATAGTTAACTTGTCCCATTGAATAATTCAATAGCCATTGTTCTCTGTCGAGTTTATTCACCGGGACCTTTAAATTTCTTCTTGGAGAAATCTATAGCTCAATTATTAATTAATTTACTTCGAAGTAGATGAAAATGCATGTATCAACTCACAAAACTGCATCTGATGCTGTTTATATTCATTATCAATAAAATATTTTCAATTTGTTCAATATAAGCACTAATTTCAATATTAAAAGTTGATTTCTGACAAAATTTTCAGCATTGTTCCTAATGATTTTTTTGTTTGTGTGTTGGACAAGAAAAACCCTGGAAAATGACGTTTAAATTAAGGCCTTCCCTAATTTATTCTATAAGTCAACAAACACATAAAAAGCTTCAAATTGTGTTGAGCTGCTGATATTTTACGATATCTATTCATAGAAAACTTTGTAATCTGTTTATCGTTCTATTACTGTTAATTCCCTTTTTTTATACAGTTTTACTCTTGACAAAAGTAAGCATGATAACGTCTCCTCACACATTTTGATGTGGCTGATAACTTTTCCTCAGACGTTGTGACCTTGTTAATAATGTCTGCTCATGTCTCAAAGCCTTGATAAAAAAACTACTGAGCGACTGAGAAGGGTGATATAGGCAAAGGGAATGATGATAAGATGGCTTATTTCTAAACAAATCACTTTATTGCTAGTGCTTGAATAGAGCCCAATCACCCAATTATGACAGTTTTTTTACAAATTTTGAGTGTTTACCCAAAACTTTTTAAGGAGATCAACGAAAACCAAACTTCTGCTGGAAGTAAAGTAAAATTTTGTATTGCTGATAGATAATAATTCGTTTTGGTAAGAGAGAAGAAAAAGAAATAACCATAATTTCCAGCTGATTACATTCTATAATATTTACAAGATGCTCTTCCTTATATAACTATGGATGTGAATTATTATTATTATTATTATTATTATTATTATTATTATTATTATTATTATTAATTGATTAATTATTAAGTTCAAGGGTACGGACTCAGTACCCATGGCGTAATTTTGCAAAACCTTTAGAAAAACGGATTTCCGGATTGGTCCGTGTAGAACTTTGTATATTTCTTTTAACATGTGTCGCTGAAAAATTTCACAACAAATATTGACAGCTTTTAAAAACTCATAATGGTTAGTTTATAGCATTTATAGTTTATTCACAGTCTTATATAAATTATCCCCTTCATACAAGCGTAATCATTCGAAGATTTATATGCTTATTTTTCTCTTAAAATACACGATATTCATTTCTCAAATATTGATGGGTATGGCAGGCAAAACACACAGCGATTACCATAATGTGTGGTAGATAAACACGGTGATCATGAGTGTTAACTTAAAGATAAGATATATGATGAAATAGTTCTAAAAATACATTGTTATAATGTTTTAAGGCAATAACTTGAAAATATTGCATGTGCCAATGGATTAGTACATTGTATACATTAATCATTAATAACAAAGACACCATTTATATTGCTATTTGTTTGCCAATACAAGACATCACAGAGGTTCCTGTAAACTTTTGACATAATAAGAGAAAGTATATAATGCCTCTAAGATAGGGGTCAATGGGCTTAACGTAAAATATCACACAAAAACATGGAAATTGATCAGTTGTTCTGTAATTATCTCCCCTTAACAAATGGTTCAGGATTTTTTTTTTGTTTCATTAATTTATTGCAAAAACCGTTTAAACTTTGAATTACAGTAAATTCAGAAATTATTGCGATGTTTTTATTATTGCGAAAAATGCGACAGGGTTATAATGGCATTAATTTAAACTTGCATATTGAATTATGTTATTTGTAATTATTAAACAGGATTTTTCTCAAGATCGCAAAAATTAAAATCGCATTTAAGTCTAAAATGACAAAATCGCAATAATAAATGCACACAATAATTTCTGAATTTACAGTAATCAAGATGAGTTGTCAACAAGAAGCTGTAAAATTTTCTAAATTTAATCCATTTTGCTTGGACAAGATTATTAAGTAAAGACAGGTTAGCAATGTTCTCTTTTTGTTTATTAAATTTCAAAAACATTTCATGTGCTCACTCCAAAATGTGGCAGAATAGTCAACCAGTTGACGGTGGCCGCTTACCGGAAGAAGAAGAAGAAGCAACAGACTAAAACTTCCATTCTTCTCTCCTCAAGATTATTATTTTGAATAGCCTTAACTGTTTGTGAAACTTATATGTGATATGAACATTGATGACCATTTATAATTAGTAGAAGCCTATGATAGTTTTTAATTTATTTTCTCTATAGCCTCAGAACGAACATATAGAACTCCACAGAAAAAGACATGGCCGCAGACTGGATTACCATGAAAAAAAGTAGGTTCAAAGAACTGCAAAGATTATTTTAAAATTGGAAAGATGTATATATGTCAAATGGAAAAAAGTGCACAAATAAGATTTGTTTTGTTTTATTTCTGCCACTAGACCAGACAGAATTTAATTCTTAGTGTTGGTAGTGCTTTTAAACTATTTATTTATGCTGAAATTTTAATACACATTTTCAGGTTATTGTATGAATATTGTTCATAGAAGAATATTAGTTTGCACAAGCTTTCAATCACAATTAATATTCTAAGAGGAATACATTTTTTGGAACTGCTGTTTACTTGTTTACATTCTACAGTGAATATTCCATTGCTTTACAATAATGGCACATATTGATATAAACATTTTGATATGTAGTATGCATTTTTTAAATCTTATGATTAAGATTTCAGAAATTATATCAATGTTTAATATATTCTGATACATAAAAAACCTGATAAAACAAGTTTTGTGGTCATGCAAGCATTTGTCTAACTTAAAGATAGACAGAATATAAAGTTATAAATGCACATTCATATGATTAATGGTGTTTCTTTTGTCAGACGTAAAAAGGAAGGAAGACAACCACATAAATTGGCAGAAAAGGCAAAGAAACTTAGAGGCATCAAGTGAGTATAAAGGACATACTTAACGAACCTTTGTTTTTCTGTTTACAAGAAACCATAGGGTATCTCACTAGTTTGTTTCTTCTGTATTTTAGATGGGAAAACTTTAGAAAAACATAAACTTTGTCCAATAAATCAGATGGTACATGTATTTAAATGATTAGTTTATAATATGTGGATTAATATTCTGTAAAAATGGAAAATTTAGTGAGGGGTTTAATTTTTTTAAGTTTGCGATTTAGATAAAATCTTAAAATATCCCTTCATGTTTTAAAAAAATGGACAAGAAAAATGTAAAAATAAAACCTCTGAAACGTGGATTTCCAAAAAATCTTGAAATTTAAATCCCACAAAAACAAACCACTCTACAGTAGATATGAAACATCAATTTATATTCACAGTTTTAAATAGATATTGTACATCAGGTGAACAATTTAATATTTAGTAAAGCAGATTGTGTACATTTCCATATCTTCAAGTGTTTATCTTTATCTGTTTTAGCAGGTTGTGAAAGATTCATTTTCATTTCTTCAGAATAACACTACATTTGTTTGTTTCAGAGCCAAGTTATACAATAAAAAGAGACATTCAGAAAAAGTACAGATGAAGAAAACGTAAGATATGAAATATTTCAAAATAAAATTCCATAAACAGTAATAATACTGTGGCAATAAATTTCATTGCAGGAAAGAGCACAAAAGTTATATGAATATGTTTCAAGAAAAAAAGATAAACATAGATTGAATCTCAATGATTTAGCGGTATTGTGGTAGAATATTTTTCTTGAGTAAATAAGATTGTTGGATCAATATCCTGCCAAGTCTAAACCTAAGCTATAAAACTTTGATATTTTACATTTCTTTGCTAAGCATGCACCATTTTAGAAGTAAGAGCAAAGATTGGTCAGCTTGTAGTCAGAATATTAATATGCCTTCCATGGACTGATATTTATGCCCCTGCCGAAGCGGAGGGGGCATTAAGTTTTACCCTTGTCCGTCCGTATGTCCCAAAGTTGGTTTCCGTTCTCTTAGTTTCATTTGCCTCAACCAAATGTTATGAAACTTATACACAATGCTTATTACCACAAAACACAGATCAAGTTTGAATTTTGGTGGCGTCACTTTAACCGTTCTAGAGTTATGCCCCTTTACAAATGGAAAAATTGCTGATTTTTTTTGTTTTCGTCTTCTAACTTTAGTTTTCCTCAACTAAATGTTATGAAACCAGATCAAGTTTGAATTTTGGTGGTGTCTCTTTATTAGTTCTAGAGTTATGCCTGTTTACAATCTGAAAAATTGCTGAATTTTTCGTTTCTGGTCTCTAACTTAAGTTTGCCTCAACCAAATGTTATGAAACTTATACACAATGCTTATTACCACAAAACTCAGATCAAGTACAAATTTGTGTAGTGTCACTTTTACCGTGCTTCAGTTATGTCCCTTTATAACTTTATATGTTATGAAAGCGGGTGCATCATCTGTGTCCCATGGATACATTCCTCATTTATTTGTATGCTAACATTTTCAGAATAAGACTTGTCATGTCTGAATTTTTCCAAATAATGTTAATTTACATAACATTGATATGAAGACTGATCCAAATGTTCTTGGAAATTTTTTTTTCAAATCTGTACTCTTATAAGTACATAATAAAAATTTCATAGACAATTTTTGGGAAAAGATTGCTTTCAAGCCATATTTTGACCAATACTACCAAGTCTCTCACAGTAACAATATTGTGCTTTATATTGTTGCAAATTATCTTCCTTTACCAACTCGTAATTTCTTATTTAATCATTAGATACATGTATATGTCAGTCTCAAGTTTTTTTATCAGGTTTGGTCAAAATTGCATTACAGATCATTGAATTTTTTTAACTGGCCTTGATGGTTTTTTCCACAAAAAGTTTGCACCACATATATATAAGAATATCTTACTAAGATATACATGTACATGCAAAAAGTTTTAGGTCATTAAGTCATTCCACTATTCTAAGAGCAAAAATATTATGATAACATGTTTTTTTAGAATTAAAATGCATGAAGAAAGAAAAACTAAAAAGAAGAATGATGAAGAGGTACCAGAAGGAGCAGTACCTGCCTATTTATTGGACAGAGAGGGTCAAAGCAGGGCAAAAGTATTATCTAATATGGTCAAACAGAAAAGGAAAGAAAAGGCTGTAAGTTTTACTCATATGTTATTGTTTTAAATGTCGTACTTATAATAGGATATGCATAAACATTAGAAGATAGTTCATATTCAAATTTAAATTAATTGTACTTCAGTCAACTCTGAGTTCAAGTTGTATAGGCCTTTTTGTATACTTCTATTGAAAACATATTTGAAAACACTTGCAGGCTCCATAGACTGTTCTTTGACTCACCAGTTTCATCAGTGACGCACATAAATGTTCAAAGTTATGATTTCCATAAAGGACCATTAAACATGAGTTGACAGTTCTGAGTACATCCAGATAAGTTCGGTATTACATTTATGATGTCATGCACTATATTAATGTGTTCCTGTGTCAAAGAAGAATCATACAGGAAATTTTTTCGAAGAGATCTATATAATCACTGTTGACACTTCAACTATGTGTTTTGGTTTTATTTTTGTGTCGTTGGGTTGCTGTCCCAATTATGTATACTTCACATCTACTTTTTATTTAAAGATATATTTATGACATATACAGTCATAAAAATATGCTGATTCATACACAAACATTCTTCTAGGATTCCCTCAGGCAATGCCAAGATGACATAAAATTTGTATTAGTGAAAATCAAAGTATTACATTTAGTATATTAAGTAAAATGAAATTAACGAGTATGTCTACACTATGTATATCATAAAATGTCATATATCTCTGTAGGGTAAATGGGAAGTACCATTACCTAAAGTGAGAGGAATGAGTGAAGGGGAGGTGTTTAAAGTAGTCAAATCAGGAAAAACAAGACGTAAGTTACATTTATCAGATTTTGTTAATTGAATGTTTACATATTACAGTTGCTTAATAAAGTAAATAGCATAAAAAATATACTTTTTGACATATCAGTTATAAGCAAAACAGTGATACACCATATTATAGGGTATGGATTTGGTTAATTGGACAGAGAAAAAGAAAAATAGTACAAAAATCATTATGGACAGAAAAAGAGATACCACTCCTCCTGCAGTTCACATATACAATGTACCAAAATACTTTTTTTTTCACATATAAAAACTGGATTTTAAATATATTTTGCATAGGGACACTTCCAATGTAAACTGTTAATATGAATTGATTATAAGTAATTTACTCAAGTCTTCTTTTATTTATTTCAGGGAAAGGATGGAAGAGAATGGTAACAAAAGTATGTTATGTAGGAGAAGGTTTTACAAGAAAACCACCCAAATTTGAAAGATTTATCAGACCTATGGTAATATATTCTTAGTACTGAAATCAATATAACATCTGAAAACATCAAACTTAGATGTTATAATTTGTTGTTCAATTTGTATAATGATAATAATTCAGATTGATTTGTCGATAGTTAAATAGGTCAAAGACATATTTGAACTTTCCGAACAGATAATTTTGGTTCTAATTTTATATCTTATCCCAAAGTAATCAGATATTTTAATCTAGTTTTGAATTCTTTGTCCTTTACATTTTTTTGGCAAAATGTAAAATTTTCATTTCGATAGAACTCAGTCATTGCTTGTACAAGGCAAACATCAAAGAAACTAATATGATTAATACTATATATTTTAAGGTATGCACCAACGTGTCCAGTATTTGAAAGAGGGTTCAAAAGAAATAATTTGTATATTAATTATTTAATTGAACCATATTTCAGGGATTAAGATTTAATAAAGCACATGTAACACATCCAGAATTAAAGGCTACATTCCATTTACCCATCATTGGAGTCAAGAAAAATCCTACATCACCCATGTATACATCATTAGGTGTAATCACTAAAGGAACAGTCGTCGAGGTAAGAAAAATCCTACATCACCCATGTATACATCATCACTAAAGGAACAGTTGTAGAGGTAAGAAAAATCCTACATCACCCATGTATACATCACTAGGTGTAATCACTAAAGGAACAGTCGTAGAGGTAAGTCATGAAAAAATCCTACATCACTCATTGCATACCTGCCAACCCTCCCGTTTTGAGCGGGAGACTCCCGCTCAAATGACGAAATTCAGGAAATCTCCTGCTTGCCGGTACCCTCCCGCGCGGGAGCATATAATCTCCCGCTTTTGCCGTTTTGGATATTTTAACCTTGAATGACAAGTCATCATTAATTACGTTTTTGTGTCACTGATGAGGGTTGTTGTTACCTGTAAATCACAGACCATGTGAAATTAAATGGCTTCACTTGACAGCTTGGGCGTCAAACATAGTAATAATTAACAATCAATAACGACTTTTGCTACAAGCTTTGTGTTAATATTGAAAACACTTCAAAGAAATTTCGGGTTACTTCCCCTGTTTAATCCTGTTTTAAGTTATTCTTCTTAAAATAATGTGAATTGATAAAACAATATAAATTAAATACAAATTGAACATAGAATCATAAAAGGAAGGCAATTAAATGATTTTGTATGCCTTAGGACAAAAAAAATAATTATAAATTTTAAAAATCCCTTAAAAGAATTATACTTCTATCTAATGTTTGATTTGAAATTGATTAGAAATGTATTGAACTATTGGAAGGGAAATGTGCACACATGTAACAACATCTTTAACACTAAGGTTAAACACCTGAAACAGATATGATACTGAAAAACTATGGGATGCAAATGTGAAAGATGATGAAAAAGGAAAGAAACAAACAAACACACCATGTGTAGGATATAACCATATTAAAAGAAATAAAATATATCTATTAACTCTTATATGTGTTTTGTAGATGAATAAATAAACAGGTCATATATTTCACTTGAAAATGTCATTCGCGCAAAATCTCCCACTCAGCTGTCATAGCTGAGGGGGAGATCTCCCTCTTTGAAGGTTTCAGAGGTTGGCAGGTATGCTCATGTATACATCATTAGGTGTAATCACTAAAGGAACAGTCGTTGAGGTAAGTAGGGTCTTTCTAGGGTAAAAATACAAGTAGTTGTGTCAGAGAGAAGAGAAATACTTTTGCTACTTGCGGTTCTAGTTTGTCTTGAGAAATAAGATTGATATGAAATTAAGACTGTTGAGGTTATTCTGAAAAGAAGAAAACATGAATTAGAGGGTTAAAACCTCTGCTAAAAGACTAGTAATGTGTTTTGTAAATCAATGTTTTTAAAACATCCTTGTAATACAGAATTAGAATAATATGTATTACTTCACACCCTGTTACCACTTATTGTACTGTAGCCACATTAGCTCACACAATTCAAAATCTGCTGTACATGAGTTTTAAATTCATTATATTGCAATGCAAAAGGAACAGCATGCAAAAATCTGCTGTACAAGATTGCAAAAAGATTAGTTTTTAGTAGGAGTGGGTAACACAGATCTTATTATACCCCATGAAACGAGTTGCGGAGGGTATAATGTTTTTGACCCGTCCGTCCGTCTGTCTTTCCATCTGTCTATCCGTCCGTCTGTCTGTCTGTCAGTCCGTCAGTCCTGTTTCTTGTCATCGCAACTCCAACTACTGCAACAGTTTGTCATCGCAACTCCTCTCAAACCACACAACAGAATTTCATGAAACCTTTTCAGATAATAAGGACATACTACGTAGATGTGCATATCGACAGGAAATTACGATTCAATTTTTTTTCCAGGAGTTACGCCCCTTTGAACTTATTTGCCCAATATACTACTGCAACCTTTTGTTATCGCAACTCCTCTCAAACCACACAACAGAATTTCATGAAACCTTTTCAGATAATAAGGACGTACTACGTAGATGTGCATATCGACAGGAAATTACGATTCAATATTTTTTCCAGGAGTTACGCCCCTTTGAACTTATTTGCCCAATATACTACTGCAGCCTTTTTTCATCGCAACTCCTCTCAAACCACACAACAGAATTTCATGAGACTGTGTAGATAATAAGGACATACTATGTAGATGTGCATATTGACAGGAAATTATGATTCAATATTTTTTTCTGATACAATTTTTTTTTTCTTACACTTATTTTATTTCTCCAATGACAATGTGGGGACGTGGGGTATGTGAGCGCGCTCACTAAGGTTCTTTCATTGTATTTGCCATAAAGAATGATACCAAACTACCAAAGCTTTTATGATTTTGTTAAATCATCAGTTACCAATTGTTTCATTATGATGGCTTAAATTGTAACATATCATAGAATATATATACAAAATAATAAAAATATATAACATCTTTTTATAGGTTAACATAAGTGAATTGGGTTTAGTAACACAAGGTGGAAAAGTCATTTGGGGTAAGTAGGATTTGTTTTTGAACTGGCAACTTATATTGAGTTTTCAGGTACTGTAAATTCAGAAATTATTGCGTGCATTTATTATTGCTAATTTTCAAGAATGAACAAAAATGCGAGTTTAATTATTGCGATTTTAGGAAAAGCTTTGTACAGATGTACATAACAGGAGTGGCATTATTCGCATTAATAAAAACGTCGCAATAATTTCTGAATTTACAGTATTGTTATACTCCAAGTAATAAACAAGAATTTAAAGAATTGTCTGCTACAAATATTGTTGGTTTTGTAAAGAATAATAATGCAAAGTAGAACGTAATTCATATATGAATTATAAGAAACTTTCCAATAAGTTTATTTTTAGTTTCATTTTACAGAATTGTTTAACACTGTACTTTATAAATGTAGCCCATGATAGGTGAAGTTCTGTTTCTTTTTGACTTAAACAAACCCTTTGTTGAGAACTAAGATTGTACAAAGTACTCCAAAGAATCCCATATCATAATGTGGTCTAAAGGTCAAAGTCACAGAATATTCAGACAATAAAACTGTTTGTAGGAAAACTGAATACCTGTTGGTGCAACAGGATTCTACACTTCATATATTTCCCAAAGGACAAAATCTTTTGAATTTGAAGTACACAGCAATTTGTAAGCCTAATTCCATGAAATTTCACAGGTTTATGATGGAAGTGGTATAGAAACATTTTGTATTTGGTGGGCCATAAACAGTTGAGCATGAAACTTCTTACCTACATATGCATACAGATTAAGGACGCTCTTTTTGCTGCTTTCTTCACTTTGTAGCTCATGTTTTATCAACAACAACAAAATTTTATCATGTTCTTTTTTACAGGTAAATATGCACAGGTGACAAATAATCCAGAAAATGATGGCTGTATTAATGCAGTATTACTAGTGTGAAGCAGATTTCAGACAATATATTGGATAACAATAGTTTATAGGCACCAGTTTCCTGAATAAGTGTCTATGAATAATATGGATGGTATTTGTATTGTGACTGCATTTGTGATACCTGCAAAAAGAAGCTTCCTGTTAAGCTGTGTCAATTATTATTATTTAAATAGTGATATTTTTTAGCGATATGTATAATGCACATTAATAAAATATGTGGTTTCATCAAGAATATATAAAAATAAAACGAAAAAAAAACCGGAATTTTGTAAATTATATTTTGGCCACATTAATAATTTCTCATGTAATCATACAGTTGAGATGTTCCATACCACCTTCCTGGACTAAAGGTCTGGTATAGCAATTAAAACCCTTTGGATTTCAGGGAAAAAAAAGAATTAAGACAATGGATGTAGATATGTATCTGTATTGCCATTAATCTGATTCAGAAACAAGCAGTGTTTGTTCTTATTCAAAGTGTTGTGTGTTTGTTTTAAATCTTTAAGAAAAATAATATATTTTCATGCTGCATTTACCACAGCTTGGAGGGAACTATAGTATAGAAAAAGAGTCTTAATGACTTGTCCAGAGGATTTTTTCTAAAGAGTAACTCAGTTAGCTTGGCAAGCTAGAGTTGGTCCCTTTTTGTCGAGCCTTCGACTTTAGTAGAAAAAGCGAGACATAGCGATCCTACATTCCGTCGGCGTCGTCGGCGGCATCCACAAATATTCACTCTGTGGTTAAAGTTTTTGAAATTTTAATAACTTTCTTAAACTATCCTGGATTTCTACCAAACTTGGACAGAAGCTTGTTTATGATCATAAGATAGTATCCAGAAGTAAATTTTGTAAAAATAAAATTCCTGTTTTTCCGTATTTTACTTGTAAATGGACTTAGTTTTTCTGCCGGGAAACATTACATTCACTCTGTGGTTAAAGTTTTTAAAATTTTAATAACTTTCTTAAACTATTCTGGATTTGTACCAAACTTGGACAGAAGCTTGTTTATGATCATAAGATAGTATCCAGAAGTAAATTTGTTAAAAAATAAATTTCATTTTTTCCGTATTTTACTTATAAATGGACTTAGTTTTTCTGCCAGGAAACAATACATTCACTCTGTGGTTAAAGTTTTTAAAATTTTAATAACTTTCTTAAAATATGCTGGATTTGTACAAAACTTGGACAGAAGCTTGTTTATGATCATAAGATAGTATCCAGAAGTAAATTTGTTAAAAAAAAAATTTCATTTTTTCCATATTTTACTTATAAATGGACTTAGTTTTTCTGCCAGGAAACAATACATTCACTCTGTGGTTAAAGTTTTTAAAATTTTAATAACTTTCTTAAACTATCCTGGATTTGTACCAAACTTGGACAGAAGTTTGTTTATGATCAAAAGCTAGTATCTAGAAGGAAATTTTGTTAAAATTTTGTACCTGTTTATCTGTATTTTACTTATAAATGGACTTAGTTTTTCTTCCAGTTAACATTAAATACAGTCTGCAGTTAAAGTTTTTAAAACATTTATTAGATTCATAAACTATCCTGGATTTATACCAAACTTTGACAGAAGTTCTTACAATCAAAAGATAGTATCTAAAGGAATATTTTTATTGATTTTTTTCCTCATTTTTGTTTAGCCTGCGATTAACAGCAAAAGTAGGTGAGACACTGGGTTCCGTGGAACCCTTACGAATTTTTTAGTGCAACAACAAACACTCACAAAAGGCAATATATTTATTTGGGTTGCTGTCACATTAATATTTACCCACATCTCCTTTATTCAGACATACTTTTTAAACTAAATTAAGAGTATTGATGGTCAAGATGTTTTTTGTAAAATAACTGAAAAAGGAATTGTATTGACTACTATAGATATACTTATTCCCAGATTTATTGAGATCATTTTAATAAACATGAAAATTCTGTTTGATAAGACTAAGTATATGTGACAATGTAGTTTACAGAGAAGAGAAATCAGTTCATCAAAATCTACTTAAGAGTTATTTTACTCTCCAGATATAGGTCCTATTGCTATTGATAAAGCTTTGTATTTTAATTGTTGCAAGATTGCTAGTCAGATCAACCAAACATAGTAGTTGAACATTTATTAGATACTGGTGAAAAACAAACTTTAGAATGTTTCTTGTGTATAATGAGGAAGCCAATATCTAGTGGGAACCTTCTTTTCAGTAACAGTTTGAAAATTAGTCATTGTTGAAATGTGTTCCATGTACAATGATTTCTTCAGTAAAGTTGTAGGTATAATAATGACTGTAACCGAATTTGTGATCTCAGTTTTGAGTATTTCAGTAGAACATGCATCAAATGACAATGTCGTTAGCTGCCTTGTCAGCAGATACACACAAAACATTTTCTGAGAGTAATTAATATTTGTTTTGTCTAGATATTGTTTAGGTGGAACTATTTCCTATAAAATTTGTTTTATATAATTATTAACAAGATTCATGCATTTAAGCTAACCTGGACCGAAGATTCACATGATCTTTGCCATCACTTGAATTCCAGTTTTGTTAAAAACTTTTTTGAAAACTAAAGTAGATGGACAAAGTGTAAAGAGCAAAAATAATCAGCAATGCAAGATCTACTTAAAGGTCATGACTGAATGATTAATTTGACTCCTAATAAGAGTTATTACACTTAATTGATGATTTTGTTTTTGAGCTAATATTTTGAAAAAGATAGTAGACAAAGAGAAGTGTAAACACTAAAAATTATCAGCAAGAAAAGGTCAATAAAGTTCAAGCAATACCAAATCATTAATGGACTCAGCATAGGTCATATTAACCCTTTTTACTTTTTTTGTCTACTTTTCTTGAAAAATCAGGTTCTTGGCTTTTCCAGTTGAATTGTGTTACATTTTGTCATGTCAGGACTTTTATAGCTGACCATATGGTATGGGTTTTGCCAATTTTAACAAGGCTGACAGTGACCTATAGTTGTTCAAATCCACCGCCTTTTGGACTCTTAGATTTTTCTCATTGACAATCATACTACAACTTATTTTGTACTGGAGTTTCAAATAAAAAAATTTACTACGACGATTGATGCCAAATGATGACAATAGATAACATGGCATAATGGATAATACATTTAAATGATAGAAAGAATTACCAACAATATTGGACAGTACAACAGACCATATGAACCACAAACAACACCCAACTCCTTCCGTGAAAATACATGTATAAACAAAGACCAAAAAACAAAAAAAGTAAAACTGTGAGCTACTGCTCTAAAATGATACCCCCGCTTTAAGAATTCTGTAACAGAAAGTTGATGAGCAACAAATCACAAAGTAAAGCATACTCACATGAAGCCTATCAAAAATTTCAAGAAGCTCTTATTTAAAGTTCCCTAGAAAAATGTGATGAGTATTTCATACATGGCCATTCTGTGCTAAAATATATCAATATTTGTAGAAAAGGAAATTAAGGATCGATGAATTTGAAACTGCATTAATGGTTGATGAGCCATAAATCTGAAAAATCATTACACTGTAGAGCATGATCACATGAAGCCTGATAACAAATTTTAGGAAGCTCTTATTTATAGTTCACTAGAAAAATGTGATGAAAATTTCACATATGGCCATTCTGTGTTAAACTATATAAATATTGGGTAAATAGGAAGTTAAGGATCCAGGAATTTGAAACCACATTACACAGTATAACCTGTTAACTGAAAAATGATTACAAATTTCAGAAATCTCTGATTTGTATTTCCAGAGAAGAATGAATCAATATTTCATGGGACAGACAAACATATAGACAGAAATAGGTGAAACAGTATACCCCCTCCTTTGGAGCAGGAGTATAAACAACACATGGTCTATATAGTCTGACTATTGTACCTAGATCATATTACAAGGCAACTAAGCTATAAATGATTTTTTTACAACCGCAAAATTTTTGCGGTCGTATAATGTTATGATGGTTTCAGCGTCGTCGTTTCAGTCGTCTCGAAGACATTTTGTTTCCAGACAATAACTTGAGAATAAGTGTATGGATCTCTCTGATATTGTACCACAAGGTTCCATACCACAAGAGAAAGGGTGGGTTGATTTTGGAGGTTATTGTCCTAACTGTTTAGGTATTAAGGGCCAAAAACAACCTTTTTTCTTGTTTCAGGACAATAACTTGTGTATAATTTTATGGATCTCTATGAAATTGTACCACAAGGTTCCATACCATAAAAGGAAGGTTTGGATTGATTTTGGGGGGTTATGGCCCTAACTGTTTAGGAAAAAGGGCCAAAAAAATACTTTTCCAATAATTTGTATAAATTGCTTATTTCTTGACCAATTTCAATGGGGTTTAAAGTCTTGAATTCTTGGGGTTCTTTAATATACTGCATCTAACTGTGTATTTAGATTTTGGATTTTTGGCACTGTTTTTGATTGGTCCACATTAAGGTCCAAAGGGTCCAAAATTAAACTTTGTTTGATTTAAAAAAAAAAATGGAATCCTTTGGGTTCTTTGATATGCTGAATCTAACTGTGTATTTAGATATTTGATTTTGGGACCGGTTTTCAAATTGGTCTACATTTACCCTTTCACATTCCGCCAAATTGGACCTAAACTTACGGAAAAGACACTATCCAATTCAATCGAATATAGCTTTCGCACCAAAGCTTGTACAAAGGACATTTTGGATCCATATGAAAAATAATTGATTGAATATATCAGAAAAATTAATATCGGTATGAAGAATTGTCTTTTTAAGTCACTTGGTATCTTTCCAAAAGTCATGTGACTTGCGGGAAAAAATACAAAATTCTAGCGGGAAAAGTCGTGTAGAGACATTTCATGTGCTTGTAGGGTATACTTTTGGTGTCAAAGCAATGACCCAAGTCTATAGAAACAGAAAAGATGCCATAATGGTATAGAAAGAGGAAATACGTGCTATATGCCTCGAAATGTTGATTCCCGTAACATCAAAAATAATAGACTTCAGCTATTTTTTTTATCCAAATCTAATCCCCGACACATATTTCTGGCTAAATCATGTTCATTCAAGCAACAAACAAAATCTAGCCTTTACAAGTAAAGAATCAATGAATTACCGATAATAACTTGGTGTTGGGGGGGGATTAGGCACACAAATTCTTTTAAAACAAACATAAATCATTCTTATTCTGACTTTTGCATATATTGAGGACTCTTTTTGAAATTGAAAGTAAAGTTAAGTTACTGGTAAGTTACATTTAAAATAGGAAATTGTTTTTTCACCTCCGAAGTGAGAGAAGAAAAAAATCCAGCCTGTGTTCATTTAGAAATTAAGTGTTGAGATAATATATAATTGTTGCTAATTCCATCATTTTAAGCAAAAATAGGATTTCATACCTTATTCTGCCATTTTTTTCTTGACATATGCCTGTTCCTTCATTTAAACAAAGGTGTTTTCAACATTACCATAAGCAAGCACTTAAAAAACAATGTTTTGTTACATCTATTTCAACTTCGCTATTTAATTTCATGATGTTTTGGGGGATTTTGTCTCTTTTTCAATTAATTCTGGAAGAAATGACCACAAATTTTGAGTGCATTTCAAGTTTATGATTGCTTTGGTACACTTTGAATCACTTATTTAACTTGTGTACAAGTTTTAATCATAATTTAAATAGTATTCTCCCAAATATACACAGCACAGTTAATAAAAAAAAGTCATATTGCCCCCGAAATCAATAGTATACATTACCATACTCTATGGAAATATTGTGTGAAAATCATTAAAAAAAACTGTTTTCACAGGAGAAAATCTTGTCAGTAAGAGGCGATTTGATATCAAACAGTACGTAATAGAAGTTTAAGGCACAATGAATCACAAAGCTGTGATATAGAGTATTGATTTGAGCCCTAAACCACTGCTGTACGTAAACAAATGTCAAAGATTCAAGACTTAACTGTACTGATTGATATTTTAGTCTTAGATGCATGATTATTTTATTAGTTGTTATTGGCTTTGAACTAGCTGTCAGTAACTGCAAGTACTCTCAGATCTGTACTTAGTGTCTTTTTGTTGTGGGAATGTATAAGTACCAGGCAACGGCCACTCTGTTTTTATTAGATGAATTTCTGCTTTGTATCCATCTGATGAGTGAATATCAAAAAGAAGATGTGGTATGATTGCCAATGAGACAACTCTCCACAAGAGACCAAATGACACAGAAATCAACAACTATAGGTCACCATACAGTCTTCAACAATGAGCAAAGCCCATACCGCATAGTCCGCTATAAAAGGCCCCGAAATGGCAAATGTAAAACAATTCAAACTAGAAAACTAACGGCCTAATTTATGTACAAATAATGAACGAAAAACAAATATGTAACACAGCAACAAACATCAACCACTGAATTACAGGCTCTGTTCAGGGTTCGACCTCTGCAGTCGTAACAAGCTGCACCCTGAAGCTGCACCCTGAGGAGCATTTTTTTTTTTTTTTTTTTAACATTTTGTGTGTGTATATACTTAGCCATTGGGATCGGTAAGGTAAAAGTATTTCATGTGAGTTTGTTTTGACTGCTAGCTCAGTCTGTTGATGAGGTTGAGTTTTAGTTTGTTTACTTCTCTTATATAGCCATCCTTGAACTCCTTTCTAGTTAAAATTATGACATATCTTTTTTGTTTGTCCAGAAAAATACAAACAAACAATGAAAATAAATGCATTTAATAAACATAAATGTCTCTATAGTAGGTACAGAAACTAAAGTTTTGATTTTCCTTAATACTTCATAAAATTTAGTTTCCAATTCAACAATAAAATTATACATATCTAGATAAAATAAATAATAAATATATATATCTAAAACAACTTAAAGAGAGGAAACATATCACATTACATATTTAAAGAGATGTATCACAGTATGTTCTAGTAGAAAACAGTACATTTGTATTCTTATCACAGTCAAACATTGAAGAATGATAACAATAAAATGGTGGCTATTTCAGGGTTGCTGACAAAAGTGCAATTTCCCCCATCTCTGTTCATGACAATCTACATTATTAGCTCCCAATATTGTCCCTTGTAATAGTTGCCTCCCCTCAAAGGTTTTACTTATACCAAACCTTTAAGTGACATTGTTTGTCAAATTCATCATCCTTCATCAAACTCCAAGCTTGCACCTTTATGTTTTGTACCAGTGCATTCTGATGCTAAAGAAACACTACCAGTAAAAGATTATTTCTAAACATGTACCTTAATTCTGATATTTTAAATGCTGATACAATAAAGATATATTTAAGACTGAAACATCACTTTCTGTGAATGTGAAAACACACATTTTATTTACCCTAGAATTCAGTATCATTTAAACTTATCAGGAGGATTGTATCAGTCTACACACATAATTCTAAAATTAGTCATGATGTTATTTATTCTAAGGTGACCATTATTAGGATTCACCGTAATACTGTGTTGAGATGTCAGGCTAGTCAACTCACGTAACCTAGAAATATCACACAGACTATAATTTGGCATCTTTATATCAATCTATTCAACAGTTTGTTACTAGTTAATTGGCACATTTGTAATTATTTGAATGTTTTCAACAAAAGCGACCAGTACGAAATGATTCAAAATACAATGAGACTGTTTCATTACAAAAGTTTTTTTCCATTCACAATTCAAGAGGAAAATGTGTTCTGTTTACAAATATGAAGAGGTAATTTTTTGTTTTTCAATATACAATAAGACAAAAACCAAGTGTAAATAAACAGCATTTTGAAGAGAGAATGACGTATGTCAGATGTAATGAAATCCAAGATTATTATCACATATATTATTGATGGAAAAAGATTTACAAAATGTAATAATAAAAATGTTGGAATGTAGGTTAAATGATGAAATCTTATGCTTGCTGTAAATCTTGAGTAACTATATGGGTAAATACATATCACAGTTAAATAAAACAACCCTGTTCTTTGTGGACGGAATATATCACATGACTCGACTGGACGGTAATACTGGTGTCTGGGTACTCCTACATTTCAAGAACTTTTCGGTATCTGTAATAAGCAAGGGGAGATAATTCAATTATAACCAGCAGTAGTTTCAATACTTCAGGATGATTGTCTGAAATGTAAAATCTATATAATTGTGATTTATTAATTGTAAATAAAAAAAGAGATCATTATGAAAGTACATTTAAATGTAAAATAAATATAAATGCAAGTACAAAGTAGACTCCTTGTAAATATCAACAGTCAGGTGGTACCTTCAGAAATTCACTGATTTTCCTTCACTATTGTTTAACAGAAATTATGTTTGAAAATATCTTAGAACCCTTTCTACAAACAAAATACAGTTCATAATAGTATTGATACTTGATGGATACATTGACAATTGCCCCTGTTTGAAAACCTACAAAAAATTATTATCTATATAAATTACGTATTACTTCCATATGTTTCTTTTGTATGGCAAGAAGAATAGAGAACATGTCTAACCATTTAAACATCAAAAAAGATATTCTGCATTTTCAATCTACATTCAATAAGAGTTTATGTCTGTTGATATCAATACATGCAACATGCTGTACTATAGAGGAATGTAAAGTTTAATTTTAATAACATAACCTAATTGTACAAAAGGGTAGTAACCGCCAAACCTTGCATTTCTAAGCAATGAACAATGAATATATATATCAGATTAACATATATTTAAATGAATAATATATAATACGAGGTGTTCAGCCAGAGACATTATATACATGTCTATGGTTCAACCTTGTATCATCATCAATTAAAGTGAAAAAAATAATGACACATGAAAAATGTTTGCACTCATAAACAACATTCTCTCAGAAATAACTGATGTGAACAATGCAAGCTCCTATTGTTAAATAATTCAATCTACAGGAGAACACCAAAAAGGTTTAACATTGGAGTGACGCCCACAGAAACTAAGATTGAAGTGATTCCACTACCAATATCAATCACATTGTGAAAGGCCAAACAAAGTTCCCAATTAGCCATGGCATTTTGCATTTTTGAGTATAAATGGTGCCTGAAATATATAGGGTACCAGTAGATTATCAAAAACACCAGAAAACTCTTTTTACAACACATCCTCCTGTGTGTAATATTGATTGTGCAGATATTTTATTACCATTCAATCCTGCCATGTTACATGTTGTGTTTTATCTTTGGTTACCTCATTTGGCTATAAAAATTTTATTGTACATGTTTTATTTTTCATCAATATTTGTACAGTTATTTCATTTTATGTACATCATGTTTAATTATTATTTCATTTTGCTTATTTGAAAATTAGTTCTTTATTTTTCTTTCTGCATATGACTTAACCAGACTGGTCTCAGCCTTTGGAAAATGTTCAACATCATAGCATTTTTTTGTTAGTTTAGAAGCAAGTTTACTTTACTCCTGAACTTAATTCTATCACATTACTGACATATAATGTATTATGTATTATGATAACAACAATAAACAATAACAACAACCTATTAGACAACAAATACAGTATTTTGTTAATCAAAACCATAAAGGTCTCATGCTACATGCACAATCACATCCTAAAATTAAGGACTGATTAACTGCCCCATCATATTGATAATTGTTTACTTTTCCCCCACATTCAATATTATTCAACAATTTGTCATTTCAGATACAACAGGAAATTTTTTTTATTATGTTTTAACCAAAACTAGCTTTCTATTTCTTAGGATAAAATTGATAGAAAATGTAAGAGTATCATTTTGAAAATACCTCCAGCACCTGAAATGACAATTTAATGATGCTATATTCATCAATGTTTATTTGAACCATACTCATAGTTATCTACAGACCCTACTTGTTTTAGAACATATATATTATACCCACAGCACACAAAGTAGTCCAGTTAATAGTGTTTACTGTTAGCTCTGCACTTTGTCAAACCTATGTCATCTAATCCTCGGCAAAGCGTTGATTACTTTATGAGATATCCTTGTTTTGTAACAGTGCAATAAACTATGCTAAAACTATGTAATAATTAGATAGTAAGCCATTCCTGATATATGATGAAAAATGTTACAGAACATGAAAACCTCTAAAATTGTTCAATTAAATCCTAACAATATGACCAGTTATCCAATAATAAATGTCTGTTTAATTTTGATAAATGTCTGTTTCATTTTGATAAATGTCTGTTTCATTTTGATAAATGTTTGTTTCATTTTGATAAATGTTAGTTTGAAGAGAAAGACAATGATTGAATATCTTCTATGGTAGTGATCATACCAAAAAATATTACAAAAGTTTATTAAATATTTGCAATCCCACAATTAAAAAGATTTTTAAACAGAAAAAAAATTTGCATAAAAAGTGATTCACTTTATGTTTATTAAAATATTTAAATTAAGAGTTATGATGCAGGCAAAGTGTTCATTTTTCATCTTGAATCAATATAACAGCTTTTAAAGATGTGAAGCATATTGGTGAATGTTGTCCAGAGTATAATTTTATATTACAGGAGCTAGTGTGCAATTTTTCTAAGAGGGATAAAATTCCCCAATATCCAGGCAATAATCTCTTTATTGTATAGAAAAGCTTGAAAAACTGATAAGATACAATGTTGTCACTGATGGCATCATTCATTTGAAGTTTAATTTGCACTACTGCATGCTAACCTTTGGTTACTTTCTGTATGAAATATGATGTTGCTATACAATAATGCCTTATTAAGTAAATAAGCTACATCTAGTATCACTACAGGGAAAAAGCATAACTACAGAAATAGTTGCAGTTGCAAAAGAAATGCAAGTAAAGTGAATGGCAAAGCAAAAGACTGAAAATAAAATTAAATATTCAAGAATTTATAAACAAGCAAAAGAAATATATTTCACATTGTGTTGATTTTTTAGAGCAAATAACAGCCAATTTTTTTAATGTCCTATAACTCTTTAGATCATTAAAGTTTTTAATTTTTGGGATGCATTTAAAAAAAATTAAATTACCATCTTTAGATTGATGTATATTGATTTATATTGAAAGATATGTATTCATGTTAACTTTTTCAGACTTGTGCAATTTACAGCTTAACATACTGTGGATTCATTTATTTTCGTGGGTATCAATTTTCGTGGATTGCTGAAAACTTGCATATTCGTGGATATTTGATTTCGTGGTTTTGCCAATCTCTGTATACAATGCCTATTGAAAATATGATATTCGTTGAACATTTGAATTCGTGGTTCACCTGTTCCCACGAAACCAACGAAAATTGGTATCCAACGAATAATAATGAATCCACAGTATTATATAGACACCTGTCTGTTGTTGAAGACCATAAGTTGGCCTCTAGATATCTATTTTTTAGTTTCATCAGGGTTGCTGTGTCAATGACATATATCCCATATTTCCTTTTTATTAATATTGTAGACAGTACTTTAGACATCAAAATGACAGAAATTTGGTACCTATCAGTGTGAAATTTTTAATTCAATTGAATGGCTGCATAACTGTATTTTTTGACAAATTGATAACTGAGTCCTCATCTCCTTTTCTTTTCGGTGAATTACCACTGTAGGTGCTGAATGTTAACTTTCTCAATATAAACATCTCTGTAAACAATTTTCTATTCAGTACTGTGGACATGAAAAAACCTTTTGAAATGTTAACATGATACAATTTGAAATTGAACTTAAGACTGAGTTGGGTTGTGTAAATATTCATTCTATTTGTTCATTTTATTTGTATGTAAGGATTTAGGCAAATTTGTTACTTCAGATTAATACCAATGTGATGATATTTAAAAAAAAAAATAATTTTGATAACTTAATACAATGATGATTTTAATGCTATCTCATTTTATTTCCCATAAATGTAGATATTCAAAAAGTTTCTGTTAAACAAACCTGTAATGGCTCATTCAGATGGATTGAAAATTTTAACATATGCAAATTTTTGAAATTAATTTCTCCCAATGTAACTTTTGAGTTGCTCTCCTTATTGACGCAAAACACAATTAAAGTTAACCATTTTTTCTTTAACTAGAATTCAAAGTATTAACCATTTTTTCTTTAACCAGAATTCAAATAAAATTGAGAATGGAAATGGGTATCAACCAAATTTTGATGATTTTCCCTTTCATTGGTTCTTAGTTGCTACTCCTCACCCCTAATAAAGCAGAATTTAAAGTTTTCTATATAACTTTACATTTTTTAAACCAATACTGTGGAATTTGAAATTAAGTGTAATTGACAACTAGCCACAACTTGACGTTCAGTAAATGATTGTTTCTTCTGCTTTGCAGTAATGTTTTATCAGTGGGTAGTCTTTCTTCTATGGCTACTTTCCTTTATTTTTTTCAGCTCTGAAATCTACATTTGATTCTTTGTATCAATAAGTATTCATATTCTTTTGGATGAGAGTGATAAATGAAATGACTGAAATTTTTTAATTTTTGATGTCATAGTGCAAAATGAGAAAACAGTGAAATTTAATACAAATGACAAAACAAGGATATCTCGTTACTGATAAATTGATCACACCATTCAGCCGTCAAACTGTTCTAACTTACAAACTGGTTTACACCGTTGTTTCAGTTTTTGCCTTGGAATCTGACCTCAGGTTTGCCTTCAAAAGGTCAGCAATAATCTTACTTGTTATTTTTGGTGGGCGGACAGAGAAAAGCGGTTTTGGGCGAGTGGCTCGTTGTCTGAAAGGGAAAGAAGAAGAAAAAATCATAAGTATTATGAAGGACTAAAGCAAATTAATTCAGAATATAAATAAACTACTATATAAGACAAATGTTCTTTCAGTTTGCATGCATGCATGTATATCTTAAGCAAAAGTACATGTATTTTGTTTCAGCAATTATAGTGGCTTTTGATATAAAGAAGCACATGTTGAAAAACAACACAACACAAGTCAAGCCAAATAAAACTGAAAGAAAATGTGTCTCACTTTAAATTTCTCATATAATCAAATTTTTACAATACAGAACTTAGCGTGATATTAAATAGCAATGCTGTGCATGCAATGTGCATTAATAGCAATATTTCTTGTGGTGTTTGTACAATGCACATTTACCTGAACCAAAACATTATGAAAGGATTTGTTTATTCACTGACTTGTTTTATATTTTTTTGTGTACAGCAAATGCTTATTATAAAGTGATTTTTATACCCCATTAAATCAGAACGAAAATGCCTACAAAAAATAAATTTGCAACTGCTCAATTGTATTTAAATACTGATAGATAGTTTTCAATTGATTACTACAATCAAGTGAGGATCTATTATCCGACTTGTATGTACTTCATGTTTCAATTTGGTTAGTCAAATAAGAAAATCAACCATTTACCAGCCAAAATGGCAGCCAAGGGAAATAACTCAAACCTTAATTACATCATATTGAAAACTGATAGCGGTAGCTGTTGAAATCAACAAACACAGTTAAAATTGAAAGTTAATCAATGTCAAACAGTTCCAAATAAACAATCTTTGCCTTCAATAAGCTAGAATTGAACATTTTTTTTAAATCTTAACATATTGATCAGTTGAAAGAAAATGTGGCCTGGGTGAGATGAATAACATCATTATATCAACACTTATGATGCACCACTTCATGAAACCTTCATTATAAAATGTATAAACTCATAATCCTGAACATTTATTTAACCATATAGATATATTCATTTAATCTACAAACCAAATTAACTGTCTACCAACAAAATTAAAAGTTTGGTATGTGTAATATAAAAATACAATTATATGAGAAAGTAATACTAGATTATACTTTCTAGCAGAATAGCTACTGAACCAGTTTTTTTATGAACATAACAAGGAAATCACAGAAACTAACCACCAGAATTTTAGGAAATCTAAATATTAAACTGTTAAATGTACTACTAAGTATGATTCATTTTGGTAGAAAAGAAAACAGTTGTTGTCGTTTGGAATAATTACATGCAACTTGCAAATCATGTGGACAAACAACACATGGGCTTGGATTAGCATACAACTATTTCAATGCAAACTGTTTTCCATATATGTTCTGTTTCTAGTTCTATTTTTCTAAGGTTTTTATCAACTTTATGGATAACTGATAAGCTATAATGTTATGACAAAGTAATAGTGTTTTGAAACATATAATAACAGAAATCAATATCTCAACACATTTATACACATAATACAGATAAACCCTAGTATATATTATACAATTATAGCCTTTGAATGAGGTCGATACGAGGTTATATCGACCTAAGAGAAGCATATAGACTGAGGACGAAGTCCGAGGTCGATATGCTTCTCTAGGTCTACATAACATCGTATTGACCTCAACCAAAGGCTACAATTGTTATATTATTAATCAACAACTATTGCATGAACAATGTAAAATTGGGGATTTCTAGAATGTATTTTTAGTAACATGCTGTATGCCCTGTGCAATATGCTGTTTTTGACCTACAAAAAGCTAAACATAACAGTACTGTCGTGCAGACTGAGTAAATACAAATGGGCATGTGATCAAATTTTAACGAATCACAAATCCTTAAAAATATTCGATTAATAATATACATATATATCTGTACTGTCACAAGTCATTACTCAAAGAAATGTGTGATACTGTGGATTCATTTATTTTCGTGGGTACCAATTTTCGTGGATTGAGAAAAACTTGCATATTCGTGGATATCTAATTTCGTGGTTTTGGCAAAGTCTGCAAACATTCCTTTAGAAAATTTGTAATTCGTTGAGCATTTAAATTCGTGGTTCCACTGTACCCACGAAATCCACGAAAAATGGTATCCAACGAATATTAATGAATCCACAGTATATGTGTGGAGACCACTAATGACTCCTAGGTATGTCAGTATCTTTATTGTGTACACAATTCTGTATTTGATTACAGTCACTGACAGGCAGTTGTACCAAGTTTGTCACTTTGTCAACTCTTTCATAATATAGGGCTATAATTTGAGATAAAGGAAGTTGAATAGGGGATAGGAAGACACTTTTCCTACTCTCAACACTCATGCAAATGCAATAAGAAATTGTAATGTTATCCATCACCACTCTTACATTCACTTTCCTTGCCTTTCCATCTTCCACCCTTTACTTCAACATTTCTGGATATCACATAACGATTTGTATACTTCTCTGAGTAACTGACTACTAATATTATATATATCTTTTATTTACAGTTTCTAAAACATTAAATAATCCATAAATAAATACTAATCCTGATCCTGAATATATTTTACCATAACCATAGATCACACATGCAGAAATGTTCTTAATATGCTTATTATTAGTTCAATTGATTTTAAATGAATCTATTTCTAAAACCAAATTTAATTGTAAACTGCTTGGACATTTTAAAAATATAAAATAAACCAAATCTGAATTTATCATCTGTCCTTGATTTTTTATTGGAATAAAAAAACAACTTTGCAGGCCTAATCCATGAAATTTTTATTATAAATGAGGAATCATTATCCATTATTTTTACATTTTTTCTGCTTTTACTAAGTAATTTTTTAACTAATAGGACAAGTGCCAATAGCCTGCATTTAGCCTGCATATTAAGAACATTTTTAGGTGGTTAGTGAAGGTGACTATTAGTTGTTGACGCAAACAAAAACACAAACAAGCCAGCAAGGAAGGTAGATACACGTACTCAAATTATCTGACTCATTTTGTATTCAAAGTATTTAAAATTAGACGTACATAGGGAATGGATATGCTGCATGCCACGACACATTACACATATATGGACGAAATGATATATAATATAATAATTTTACAATTTTATAATTTTATAATTTATAAAAAAAATATATAGATTTACACTTCTGGGATAATAATCATGTACTTATATTTTACAATCAAAATTAAGTGAAATGTGCATATTACTAGAAGCCAATATATCTTATAGAATCAGTATTGTAAAAACATAGCTAATTGTGTGACCTTTTTCTGAGTTCAAGAAATGAAATGTACAGATTGGAAATAAACAGCAAAGACATGTTCATATATCTTTCTAGTGACAGTATATAGTACTAATCTTTGAGAAACGTTGACAAAGAAACTAAGAAATTTTTAGAGGGAAATTCAGTTTCAACAATAGCTCCTCAGGTCACACAACTCTGGTTTAGTTAACTGTACCTAGTTATTCTATGATTATTTCTTTTTTTTCTTTATCAAAGAATAAAATAAGTAATGAACAAAAAAAAAAATCTTAAGTAATTTTAACAATACAAAAGTTAAGAAGATAGGCACATTTAACTACATAGATACAAATTCAAAAGGATGCCCCAGGATTCCACAGAACACATAATAAATGTTCTACTGCAATAACAAAATGAAAGATGTGTACCATGATTCTCTTTTAAAGTGTTGTGGATTTTCTCAAGGACTGAAAATTGTTTAAAAAACCTTGATATCTCAAAACTCCAATTTGATTGGATTAGATATAAGAAGATGTGATATGAGTGCCAATGAGATAACTCTCCATCCAAGTCACAATTTGTAAAACTAAACCATTATAGGTTAGGTTATTATTGCCAAAATATAATAGCAATCAAGAGTTGCTCTCACCACAAACAAATTCCTACAACTCAATGTTATTGTTTGGAATGATCTTCTATATTTTGCAGAAACAAGGGCATTCTTTTGATATTTGTTTTAAAGCTAAGTTTGTTTGGATAGTGCCTAAATCTTACCCTACTCTTTTGGAGCTTTTCTTCAATTTTACGCTTACGCAAACCCATAAGGAAGAGTAAATGTGATCTATAACAACTGAAGAAACGAACATGGTGTTAAAGCAAACACTAATCACAAAAGTTATACACTGTTATACTGCAGCTATATAAGCAAAGAAAAAGTACTTTTACAAAGCAACTGATAAACCTATAACTTGTGAATAGCGACAGATCCAGAGTTTTCTACTTGTGGCAAAGTTCATTTTAAGACTGCCATTTGATTATTCTTATAACACTTAATATTCTACAGACTATTGTAGAAATTGTGTTGCAACATGAAAATATCATTGTGCTACCGGTTCGAGATTGGTAAAACTAATACTGTAAATTTAGAAATTATTGTGTCTATTTATTATTGCAATTTTTGAAGAATTAACAAAAATGTGAAACTAATTATTATGATTTCAGGAAAAGCTTCATACAGATTTTTGTATCGGACATCAGAATGCAAGTTCTTATTTTGCGATACTCAACCAGTCCCATTATTCACATTAATTAAAACCTCACAGTCATTTCTGAATTTACAGTATTTGCTAACTGACAATGTACCACACATGTTGAATTTCTAAACTAGTCTATAAACATCTCTGAATCTGGATCTGCCATATAAAGACATGTGATCATAGAAAAGGGATGTGAATGAGCCTATATGTAACTAACAGAGGTTCAAAATGTTTCTTTAAAATAGTTCAACTTTTCTTCTTAAATTTGACAGGTCATCTATCATTCATCAAAAGTCAGTAGATATTTTCACATATTTCAGATAAAAGATACACCTATATACTGTCAAAGTTTCAAAGATCCATCAGACTGAAATCAAATATTATGAAAGTCCTTAGAAAACTTTAAAAGATCCCATAACTTGGACCTATACATTTTTGAACCCCTGACTAACTTGCTCTAACATCCATAATGCTTTAAAATACCAGAAGTATAATTTAATTTTTACCAAAAAATTTACATTTTGAATGTCTATTCATTTCACATTTGAATCGTTTAAAATGTAACAAAAGTCTGCAGTTATACCTGAAAATAAGAAGTAAAATAATACCTTAAGGAATAAATCTACCTTGCCCTTGTGGCTAGTTTGTGCCCTTCTTATCAACTATAAACTGAAAAGATAAAGTGCCCTAACACATGCATCCATCCCAAAGGGTGTGTATATGATAAAACAAATTCCAAGGAGAAGCAAACTTCAAGCATCATTCAAAATAATTCATATTACCTATTAAAGAAATATGACAAATACAGAATATTTAAAAAAAGATCAAAAGAAATTAACATAAATATAAAAATAAATGATGCATAAAGTTAAAACACCATGCAATTCACTCGTAAAATAATGAAACAACAAAATAAAACGAAAAAATACTTACTTTTGTATTAAAGCACTGATATCTTTTTGTTCCTGAGTATCCAAATCTTCTAATTCATCATAATCCAATGAAACAGCCACTCCACCCTCCGCCTGATAGCTTCTCTCGTCCCATGAATGATATGATGGTGCTGGACTACTTTGTGCTAAGGGGCCCTCACTTTCAGGGGAGATAACTTCCTGTTGTATACCATCTACTGAATCGATCTCTTCACTATCACTCACCTGGTCCTTTGGAGCAGCAGGGCCAAAGCTGCGTCCTTTTGTAACAAGTCCCATCTTACTGCTGCCTGATAAAGATAGCGGCTTTATTTTGCGTTCAGGAAATGTATTTCCTGTTTCTCCATAACTTCTATATTTAGATATCAGTGACTGTAAACGATCACCACTGTTGGACCCTTTATCTGTTAAACTCTTGGATCGATGAACATCTATCAAATATAATAAATTACAGATGGAATTAAGATTGAAATCAAGAATTATGATTCTTATATATTATTTTCAAAAATATCCTATATTTTAAAGCATGAATGAAAAACTGAACAAAAAGATATCAGAATAGGATCTTTTTGTTAGGTGATGGTTAAAATAAAATTATGTATCATAATTGAAGTTATAACAAACCTTGCCATAGCTCACTCCATTGGATTAGTGTAAATTTCTTTGCACTCAGTCAATGACATGTGACAATGTACATTGTGAATAATTTACAAAAAGCTTTATGCAGTACTATAAACAGAAGTCTATCTAAATAATTTTACAATTCATTATTTTACATATCTCATAAGCAGTTTTCATTAAATCAGAATCACAAGATCTAAATAAAATCCCAAACCTCGTCTACAGCCCTGTATTTCTTAAGAAAAAGCATAACAACTAAAGATAAACTTATATCTACTACCTAAGGAAATAAGAATACCCAAAGCCTTATATCAGAAATTGACCAGTCTTTAAGGCAGAAGCACCAATACAATGCTACAATTCTGTAGTACTTACTATACTTAGAGAAATATTTGGTTCCATAAGAACCAGTACTATCTATACCATAAAGTTCCTTATGCAGTTTCATGAATGAATCTGCTGGTTTTAGTCGTTTAACAATCTCACTTTCTTTTCCCTAAAACAATGTCCATAAGGATACTTCATATTCAATAATAAACCTAAAAAGTCAAGAGACCCCTAAAAGTTGTCATGCCACAGTATGTGTGGAAATGTATGTTTTATCTTTAGCCGCCTGTTATAAATTGTTGTTCCATATTCTGTGACATTTCCATTTTATGTATTTAATATTTAAGGAATAACAGCCCTGCAGTTGAAGAGTTGATGCCATCAGTTTGATATTAAACTTTCACAAATGCAGTTTTACCATTTCATTGTTAAAGAAAATAAAAACACCATTCGGAATGAAAAGTAATGATTCTTTTCCTCTAATCCTAACCAATAAAATTGTGAAAAATGTTACCTTATCTGGTCTCAAAATAGTACCTGTAGATTTAATACAAAGTTTTAGTTCTAATAACTACTTATTAAATCACTGTCTGGTTTAATTTTGAAAAAAAAACATACTGATTTTATTTTATAAGTAGAAAATGCAATTAACACCATCATCTAAGGGCTATTCCATTAAAATGTGTGTGGGAGGGTAGGAAGGGAAGTTTAATTATTGAATGTGGGTCATGGGTCTTTTTCAGTATGCCTCTATTACCATTATGCAAAATTATCTAAAAAATGGTTCTTGGTTGTAGGGATATTTTGAAAGTCCCTTCCTACCCTCCCACATACATTTTAATGGAATAGCCCTAAATAGAAAATAAATACCAAACATGATAAATACTTAAATACATTGCATGCTGCATATTCTCTTATATAAATCCTACATTACTATTTTCAGAATTAAGACAAGCATTCTTTCTTATTCATATCAGTTTAACTATAGCCAGTCCCTACCACTCACTCACGCATGCTTGTTTTAGTAAGATTATGTTTTTATTAATTTTTTACCACAAAAAGAAGCTATCAATAACATCCACAAAAGTACACTGAGACTGTTTATATCACTCTCCGACACATATTAGCAACCCACAAATTCACACATACACTGCTTTTATTTTACTTGCAAATAAACCATTCTAGCATGCAATAATACTAAAACACACATTTTTGCTAATATAAGAATAAAATGCTAATTTCAGCATTAAATATGGAAGCAAATAGTTTCCTCTTTGTCAAAATTTAGTTTATTTCTAATTATGGTGAAAAAAGGAATAAATATAACCCAAGTTTTAACTTGACAACACTGAATTACTTCATTATATCAACAATTCATTGTCAGAAAATGAAGTATATATAAAGGAGTTATACTTTATAAGTGATTAAAATATTTCATGTTTGTTTCTCCAACTGTTGTAAATCTTAAGTTTTTGAAATTTATTATTACATAAATTCTAATTAACCTTATCCTATAAAATATTCTTTTTACTTTCTTTCTCTTCAGGGAGAAAGTAGATTCTAACAAACTGAGTACTATAAAAACATTTATTTTTTTAAAGATAGAAATTATTTATTACATTCTTCAAGGACGGCACAAATTAAATGAATTAATAGTCTTTAAACAGGAAGTATTCCTGAGATTATTCTAACATACTTATGCCAGTCTGTTTTTTCATAAGAAAGGATAATTATTCATAATATTTACCCTATATGGTATAGATAGGATAATTTTCTCATGTTTAGTTTCCTTTTTGTCATTCTATCAGAGAGATAGCTACGGTAAATGCAATGTATGTTTCAGATTTCAAATGTATTTTGTCAGTTTTTTTGCCATACTATAATTTGTACATTACTTTCGCTGGAGAAACAAACATGAGAGATCTAGCATGGTTAAACACACTACCTTTTTCTGTCTTACCATCTTCTGAACGTCTGCAAAAAAGAAATAAAATGAGGATTAAATAAAAAATGTATATCAAGTTCCAAGTAATATCTGTTTATCACACATACATGCTACATTGTATCACTAGCAAATCACTAAAAAATTTGGCTCTTACTTCATTGCACTCATTAATTTCTATTTCTAGTTATTGCTGTAATTACTTTGTGAAGAAGTTTTTTAACAACTATGGACGACAATGTTATGTGTTTATGGTGGATTTTTTTGTATTACTGAGTCAATTTAAAATAAAAGTGATAACATTTAGTGGTTACATTTTGAAATTTCATTTTTCACTTTAAATCTTAGAATTTGATCAAAGAAACATTTTTTTTTATGACCAACATGTACTTCCATTGGGTTTACATATCAACGATATATCATTTTTTTTTACCTGAACATGTCACTTTTATGAATGGTGTTCAACCAGATCCTAGTATATTTTGTTGTTTTAATAAAAATTGTCACTGAATATTTCAGAAAAATGCATGTCCCTTAGTCTTACTACATACATTTATCATTCACTGAAATTAATCTTTTCCAAATTATTCTCAATTTCCTAAACTGTAGCAGAAAAGTCTAATCTATTCATTAGACAGAAACTATATTAAAGTCATCAAGTTTAAACTACTACTACAAACTCTGTGCTCTATCTATATTAAATCAGAATACCACAAGTAATGAAAATAAATAGGCTTTGTAAAGAAATATTGCAAAACATAAAACCAATTAATTAAATACTCTACTCCCTCCCTTGTATTAAACTGAAAATTTAGATCTTTGTCAAAATACAGGATACCATATTATATGTTCTATTGATCATCACTCCATTTCACACAAATCTATGCACCAACTGTGTATGTATGTATTATGGATGAAAAAACACATGAGATCCCATGTGCACACATAATGAACATATGGATGAAGGATGGCAATGAACAAACACTAAGGATATGAGGACACATGACAAACATAACAAAACAGACATTGGGTTGCTTGATAATGTTGGGATCACAGACTAATAGTAATACTGTTATGTAAACTGATTGTAAGTGGGGAGGGAAAAAAACTGTGCTTTATTCACTCCACAAATAAATGAGGAAAAATGACTTGAACAGAGTATTATTTAAATTAAGAGTTTATCGAGAATTTAGTTGTATATGAGTAATTTTATAGGCAGTTTTTCAATATTTTACATGTACATGATATGCAATCAGCATGACCAGGTATTGAGTGCCACCATTTGATATATAATATTTTTAGATGGTGGTTGATGATTAAAAAAATTCCTTACTTTCCCATTCTTAACTTAAACTGAATTAGAAAAATTCTTATATTGTACAATGACACGAGAAGAAAAATATGCCCTACTTGTAAATGTTTGTTCTTCCAAGGCAACATATATTTTCAATGATTTTTCCATAACATTTCTTTCATCAGTAGCTAACATCACACATGATTACTTTGCTAAAAGATGCTTGCTTATCAAATTGTTCAAATTATGAAAGCAAAACTAGTCCTTCTTTTAATATTCTTTTTAGTCAAAACTAATAGTTTTATTAGTCAAAAATAATAGCCTTTTTAGTCAAAACTAAGCAAAGAGAGAATAACAGATAAAATAAATGTCAAAGAAGTATCCAATAGAAAAATTATTTCAAATTAATTGATAGATATATCTAGATTAAAACATGAATGATAGAAAAAAAAACAAGAAACTGCAAATGATAAAAAAACACTCCAGAACTATCTTCGTGTTGGTAATATATAAATTGTGTAAAAGTGAAACTAAATAGACCTGGGAATTCTAGATCTTCCTGCTCTCCTAAAATAAAACATTAGTACAAAATAAAGCAAACTTAGGACAAATGTTTATTACTAATACTGTAAGTTTTCTGTTAAAACTTCAAAAACAGGGCAAGAACAATAAAATGAAGCTGTAAAAAGACAATAAAAAATTAAAAGGAAGGCTGGCGCCACACAGACATAAATATTACCTTTTCCATATTCTTATAATAATTATTTAATTAGTATTTTATAGATAATATTTTAAATTTACATCTAGTTCTGAATGGCATTTAAAGACATCACATAAACCATGATATCTGAATCTGATTGATTGATTTTTGCTTGTTTAATGTCCAGTGGCAAGTATTTCATATATCAGAATCTCTATCATATCTTTATTTATCTACCATTTGCAGAGTTAGAACATGACAAGGAAATATTCTTTTAAGAAAAATCTTGATAATTTATCTTTAACACAGAATGGAGCAAAAAGATAACATGTATAAATGATAATAATTCACATTTTTTGTATCAGTATCTATTCATTTTGTACAGAAAATGAAGGCAATAGAAATGGTTGACTTTCTAAAAGCTTACCCTAGGGATCTGTCATCAGAGTCACTACCCATCCCCCTCATTTCACTGATAGCTCTCTCTCTGTAAAAAAATTATATTCTTATTACAGATATAGCTGCTATAAAGGTATCCAAACTACCATTTGATCTGCAATGAACCTGAATCACTCACATGTCAAATTACCCCCTTAATTGCTCAAGAGAAGATAAAATTCTGACATTAGTTACAATGGTTTTGATTCCATCAACCTCTCTTAATATTTTAAACATTTTGCTGTTAGTTTCAGAGGCAAAGATTTTTTTTAAATTAACCAATCAGAATCAAATAATATGTCTGGCAGCCATCAGGGATTGAAAATTCTTAAAGTCTGTGCCTTGCACAGCTGGATATTAGGATTTGATCATGTAAAATAAATATACGGTAATTGTTTAGATGTCTTTAAGAGGGTATTTGTCAATGGCCAGTGCTCAGAACTCGGAAAACAGTTACCGGTTTTTTCTCTGTCTGGACTCGGATTGTGTAATCCGCTTCATGTATGACTTAAATCAGTGTCCAGGGAAGTAACTCTCTGTTTAAAGGACAAATCACTTACTTCCTGTTAAGGTTTTCTTTAGATAACTTCAGTTCTGTTTCCAAGGTTTCAATATTTCTGTCTTTATCTTGTATCACACCAATCAACTTATGAAGTTCACCTTTGACCTCAGTTAATTCTGAACCAACATCATCTAAGGATTCCTATAAATAAACCAGATTATTCTGAATTTTATATTCAATTATTTTCAACTGAAATCATGTGTTTGTTATATCATTGAATAGGAAAACAGAGTCAGACTGTTGACCAGTTGAAGAAGATCTATAACATTCTGTTGACAATAGTTATCTTTTTAACATTTCAAAACTTTGGATTTTGAGTTTTCTTGCAAAGAGGTAGTTGAGAATTAAACAGGAACAATATGATGAAATTAAATATTGTCTAATAAATAGGGCATATCTGATATGAACATGTGCTTCTAAATACAATTTAATCTATAAATATATATAAATTTTGGTGATTTTTCAAAAGTTTCAGTCTGGCTAAGAATAAGAAGTGGTAAAAAATGATGAAAAAACACAAATTTCCAAAGCATTGATTTCAGAATATATACAAGTTATAAATGGATTTAACCATGTAAATTTCATCCCGTTGACTGTCCTTCTAAAGAAAATCATTTCAAGTTACCAAGCATGCTTAATTAAAAACCTACCATTTCTCAATCAAAATCATATCAGTCTGCTTAATATGGCAGCTTTTCTGATCATGCTCTTATAGTTCTTTTAATAAAATCACATTTTTCTATGTAAAATTAAGTTTATAAAAACTAAATTTAACATAGAAAATTTGCAAAAGCATAGAACCTTTATAAATAAAATTGAGAATGGAAATGGGGAATATGTCAAAGAGACAACAACCCGATCAAAGAGCAGTAAACAGCCCAAGGCCACCAAGCATTTTAATCATTAACTAAAAAAATATAAAATAATATTTTCGTTTGTTAAGAGTAACAAATTCTTTAAAATATCCCAAATAAATTCTTATAAAGATCTGTAACATACCAGTAAGTAGGCCGAAATTAAACTAGATGTGTTGGTAGGACAAGAATTCCCCCACCTGCAACCTAATCATAAAAAGTAGGTTCACAGGAACAAATGCAAACTAGATCTGCAAGTCATCATTATACACTGATGTATCAAAAATCAGCTACAGATATGCAACAATAACAAAAAAGCTCTGTTCAACTGTTTGATTTCAGAAAGACGGAAGGAGGGAATTGGGTAAAACTATATGAGGGAGAGACAGATATGTATGAGCTGAAAACATTTAGTTATCCATCTAACAATTAATACTCAAAATTAATTGTTAGTAAAGCATTGAAAGATAATCCTATGGTCTCAACTTCATGAAAAAGTATCACACATTGTTCTAACTGGTTGACTAGATGCTGATGTAAGTTTAATTTCAGAACACCTCAATTTCATATTTCAAATTTGTATTTTGTTCTTTATTCAAACAGAGTAAGTAAATATTTTTCACCAATCAAAAATAAATTAAATGATATGTTACAGGTAAAATTTCACCAAACCATGCATAATATATGTAAATAATAGATGAAAGTTGAAAAAATACACAAATTTAATTGGATGGATAAAAATATTCCACAGCAAACAATAAAGGAATCACATATGAGTTATTATAAACCTCAATCCACAGGTATGAATTTGTTATAATAAAGAATGTATGAATTATTTGAAAAAAATAGAAGGAAATTCTCTGTTTCCATACTCTGAAAATAAACTGAAAAAAAATATCCATTAATATTAGCACATCTTAGAAGCATGAAAACAAGAGAATTTCCTGATTATTTTGTTTGAGTATCCCTTGAAATGTATTATGAGTAGCAATATATGCAATGCATCAAAGTGATAAACAGTTTTAGTGCAATGATCATGTGCATTATGAAAGAGAAAATGGTACTAAATGAAAAAATTTATTCTTTGTTTTATTGTGAAGACAAGCACATTATCTATATATTTTCTTTGCACTTACAGGGGCCTCAGGAGCCGAGTGGACTAAGTAGTTTTACTACTGTAACATAGCGTGTCAAGACTGAGGTTGTGAGTTCTAGCCCAGCAAGTGGCAGGTGAATTCCGACTCCAATCTTAATTGACTAGGATTTCCAATCTTCCAACCAAAGGTCAGAGGTTTTCTCCAGGCACTCTGGTTTCTCCACCAATAAAAACTGGCCGCACAAAATAGCCAATGGTGCTAAAGTTGCGTTAAATCACTAAAAATCAATCGATCAATCATCTTTCCACTTATCAAATCTAATCAGATTATTACAGAAATGATTACCAAGCTTATAAGCTATTGAAATCAAAATTGACCAGGCAAGACAAATCTTAGGCAAACCTGCTTAAGTAAAACTTTTCTGATCAATCAAAACAAGTCTTGAGCAAACCTGCTTAAAACTGTTTTGATCAGACAAGACAAGTCTTGGGCACACCTGTTTAAATGAAACTTTCCTGATCAGGCAAGACAAATCTTAGGTAAACCTGCTTAGTGAAACTTTTCTGATCAGGCAGAACAAATCTTAGGCAAATCAGCTTAAGTAAAACTTTCTTCATTGGGCAAGAAAAATCTTAGGAAAACCTGCTTCATTAAACTTTTCTGATCAGTCAAGACAAGTCTTAGGCAAACCTGCTTAAGCAAAACTTTTCTTATCAGTAAAGACAAATCCCAGGCAAACCTGCTTAAGTAAAACCATTCTGATCAGGCAAGACAAATCTAAGGCAACTCTGCTTAAATCAAACTTTTTTCATCAAGCAAGACAAACCTTAAGCAAAACTGCTTAAAAACTTTTCCTCCTGAGAAATTTTGATTTCAACATCAAACAATCTTTTATTTCCTGTAACAAGTATGAAGATGAAGTATACACAATGCGCCTGTCTATGAAATAGATATGAATGATCCATCACCCAAAATCCCTTATTTTCCATTAACTGTTAATATCATTAAAATGTCATGAATTATATATGTTACTATAGTTTGAATAGTATATCAACATCACTTCTCAGTTTATTAACGATAGAAATGATTGTGAATTATGCATACGTGCATGTGACAACAACCATTTACACTAAAAATAACTTTGCTACTTTTATACCATTTTTAAAAAGGTAAAAGAAAATTCTAAAAAAAAAATAATTATAAATTGCGCTTAAGGTGCACTGATCACTACCCAATAAACTACCATCAACTTTGATACATCGCTAAAGAGAAACCAAAGAAACCAATGGTTACCATGACAACCAACTACTTACTCTTATTTGATGGGGTTGTTTAGTTCTTGTGTCCTCAAGGTCCTGACAGAAAATCAGGAAACAGTAAACAATACATAAAATAAGGTACAAAAAATACTTATCAGAATATATATCCAAATATAAGGTTTAGATTTAATTTCAAGACAAATATCCAAACAACACCTTGGTGTGACTGTGTAGATCACATGGTTCTATATGTCTATTGAGAAAGCAAAGATCTCTTGTTAAATAAACCTAAATCCTCCTTGATTGCATATTTTGTGTATTGCTTAGAAATCTGATAACAAATAATTATCCTGTAAAACATACTGATACTTTTAGAAATTGACACATCATTTAAGGTACAAAATTTGCATATGTAACATTTCATAACATTACCTACAGTTTACACTTCTCCAAATACATAAGTATAACACAGGAATGATAATGACAATCTATACAAATATATATATAAGGGAAAACTCAAGTTAAGCAACATATAGACAGAACATGAAAGAAGCAAGTACAGACTGTAGATATAAGACACAAGATATCCTGAAAACCATTCATAAATGTAGCTTACGTCTTTCAGGCTTCTGATTAGTGTATCTTTCTTGTTCTTTTCTCTTTGTGTTTTTTCAAGCTCCTCCCTTAAGGCCTCAATCTCTGACTGAAGGTGGTCAACTTCTGGTCCACTTACTGGTCTGATAACAAAACAAATGCACACAATAAATTAAGAAGATACAAATGTAACATGTTTTGTAAAATTGTTTATAATTATAGTATGTATCATATTTTGTTAAAATCTACACATCAAACTTTCATAAATATTTTTTGTAAATTGCATATCATTTTATCAAGAACAGTACAGCTAAACTTATCAATAAATTAAAACTATTGAACAGAATATAAAGCCTGTAAAAAATTGTAATAAATTTCAATAACAATTTCATGCAAACTGGTATTTACGATAAAACTTTTGGAAATGTGTCCCTTGTGTGTGTCAATTTTGGGGTTGTAAAAAATGGGAAAAAATTTCTATGCACTTGTTACACATCCAAATGATGAATAAAACTAAAACACACTGTGAAAATCACACCATTCCTCAAGAGTTATATTGATCTGTCATACAGGATGCCTATATCACACAATGGAAAGGTGCAAGGGAGTTATCTATATTCAAAAAGACTTGTGTAAATATTATTACTTCAATAAGCTAAATCTTGAAATTTGTTTGGAATGGAAGGAACATTTTTGGAAGGAAAATTAATTAGATAAAATCTAAAATTATTTCCATTATACTGATAATATATGATATCTAATATCTTTTTAGGTCAATTTTTAATTTATTTATGTCGACCATTGTACATGAAATCTCATTTGCTTGAAGAAAAGCTATTAACTTCTACAGTGATGGATTCCAATAAGCTACTGGCATTTCAGACCAGAATCAAAGTGCCATTTACAAAAACGGCTATTTTAAAAAGTTCAATTACAGAAATATAATTCTACTTGTACTAATAAATAAATATTAAGAACTCTGAGAGATAAAGAATATACTAAATGAATATATATAATTTCTGAATATAAAAACACAAGTCTATTTGAAGGACAGGGGACATAATCCAATACCTTGCACCATGATATATCCTCAGAGCTTCCCTTAAAGCACAGAAAATAAAGTATATTAACACAATCAAAACCATCTAAGTCATGCAATACCAGTGATCATTTATACTGCTTCAAAACCTAAAGTTTGGCATGTGCTTTAAATTACAAAATATCTTGCCACATCAAACTCACATAGGACTGAAAACAAAAATATTTGGTTAGCAAATTAAATGTATAGTTTTTGCAGTAAAAACCTATACTCCACAATGTTTGTAATCTACAAAATCTAGCAAATTATGAAAAATGAGCACATTTTGTTAATACAGTGTATAACTAACATTCAAAAGCTATGACATAAAGAAAGGACAATCAAAGTTAATTCAAACGGATTACAGTTCATTACTACCACTTCATTTTCACTCTGGTGGATAGTTGTCTCATTGGCAATCACACACACCACTTCTCCTCATTTCTATATTAAATCAAAAGGTCTTTTTTTTCCTTTATCATTAAATTTAGAATGCTTTTCAATTGTTCCATTAAGTTTCAGCAAATGAAGTTAGTTATTAAGTTTCACTGTTTATTAATATGTAAACCATAAAAGTATTAAAAATAAGAATTATGTATAACCTTAACCATTCACAATTCCATATCAATACAATTATTCAAGCTAAACTTTAGTTAAAAATAAGTTAACCATTCCACAGTTCTCACCGAATTTGACTCTGACAATGTTGTCGTAATTGTACTATTCTAAAATAATTTTACAATGAAATGAACATGTTTGTGCAGCAACTAAAATTGATGCTGTGTCAACAAAAAAGACAAAGTAAGTCTTGAACTAGCTGTAATACATACGCAAACATTTTACTGCAGGAAACAAGGGAGATAATTCAAATAAATTATTTAGAATTACAGGACTGAATTGATAAATAAATCATAATAAATGAGGATCACAGGAATGTTTAAACTAGGAATTATTTACACACTATTCCCGACACAATTGGAAGCAGTACCTCCCTCAGAGCAAAGCCAGTTGAATTGGTACGGAATGACCAGTGAGGTGTTGTCCAATTTGGAAATGAATTGACCATTTTATGATCTACTTTCATCATTTCTACAACAATACCACTAGAAACCTCCATGAGAATAACTACACAGACGTGTGTGAATAGCAGCTAACCACATCGTTAATAACTTTATTGACTAACTTTCACTTTTAACTTAACTAAATTCTTATTTCATTTTCACTTTCTATTTATATCTATAACAACCATTATTGTAACATTACTTCCGGCGAACCGCATGAACCACCAAATTTGTACTTAACTGTTTGATTTCATATGTAATATTGTCCTGGAGACGCCACGCTTGTTGGCGAAACATGTCGACCAGAATAAACTCTTACCATGCAGTAATTGATGGGTGTTGTTGTCTTTATTATCATTTTAGGAATTATTTAATAAGTTTATTTCATCCTTCTTTTGAAACCATTCAATATTTTAATGCCATTTAATCTGAATGTATTGTTGGTACAAAATTGAAAGAGAAGGGGTAGAAAGGGTTCAACTTTAAAAGGTTAAGTTAATAATAATAGAGATGTACAATAAATGTTTATTGTTGGCAAATATAAAACTTAGTTGTACTAGCTTTAATAACAAGAAGAAAAGCTAAAGTAAACTCCTGTTTAGTATCAAGTACAAAAAAATTTCATATTTTTCAACATTATGTATGTATATTGGTTTTTATCCTGCAATTAAACCTAGACACACTATTGTTAAGTTAATTTTTTATTATCGAATTTGTTAGAAATCTACACGGCTAAAACAAGGATCCCAAAGAGGACCCCAAAATGAACTGTGGCGTAAGCATTTATTTTAACATTACCATTCACTCTACATGAAAACAGGATAACAGGAGATTTCATAGTGATACCATACAAATAATACAAAAATATATTTGCGTACCTGTGATTTGTACAATAGTTGGCTGATTGCAGGATAAAAGAGAATATTATAACTTTTAAAAAGATAATTAAAAGTATATATTTGTAATGAAGACTGTTGTTAATACATACTGTTTTTCAGCCTCTTCTAATTCTTTTCTTAAATGTACAATTTCTGTTTGTAAATCTTCAACAACCTCATCCAATCTTTTCTTACTAGATTCCACCAACAGTAGTTGGCCATTGATTAGAGCTACTTGTTTTTCTAAATCTTCTTTTTCTCTGTTCAGTTTTTGGACTTTGATTTTTTCTGTAAATAAGTTATCAAATACATTAGTTGTCATGCTTATGGTACCATAATGATTCTAATAGTCATACCAAGTAAAATCCTAAATATTGGATGTCAATATAATATGGTATATTTTGGCATTATCCTGAAATTACCATATTAGAAACTGTTTTAAAAATTTGTTTAAAAGATTAGTTAGAAGATTATCAAAGTCATCCATGTTGTTTATATAAGATATACTTTCATTGAATTGTTGTAATTGTTGTAATTTGATTATTATGGGGAATTTTGCATTTTTTCAAAATGATTGTTTGGGAAAGGGTGCAACTCTGAGGAATGCTAACAAAAATCCACAGATTATTTCCATTGATAATACTATATATAATGAACTCATTTCAAAATTCTATACCTTGATAAGATACCTCTCCCTCAGGACCATAATCTTTGACATATTCTTCATGTCTTGTTTGTAAACTATCTTTCTCTCTACGTAACTGTTCACATTCATCTTCCAGCTGATCTCTTTCTTGTCTTAGTCTGAAATATAAAAAAGTCTATCCTTCAAACAAATATTATAACAACACATTATAATACATCTTCAAAGCCAAATACGCTAATATATTCATAATCTTTAAATATGATTTGTCATCTTTTGCAATATTGGTGATATTATCCAATCAGTCTAAAATGGTAAATATGAATAGGTCAAATCCTATAGACTGAATACTACATGCATTAAAAACTTGCCTAAAATACTACAACTACTCATGTAAAATTAGATGTGTCTTGGAAAACATGAAAAAGTCACCATGACCCTGACAAATGTAAACAAGGTCCGTTATTTTCTCAAATAAAAAAAAAACAAAAAATTTATGTTTATCTCATTATGATACCATTACTTATATAAATCAACAACAAACCTAAAGTCACAAGAAAAATAAAGCATAAAAAGTACATTTGTTCATTAAAGCCCTTGACTCAAATGGCCATTATTCTGTTAATTTGATGTCAAGCATAATGAAAGCTAATTTGTCCAGTAACTTATCGAATTACAATTTTTTAAGTTCAATGGGTGTAATTCAACCTAAAGTAGATCAACATAAACAATGTGAATTAAAACTATCCAAACCTTTCTACTTCTATCTTTGGTGCAGAACTGACCATTGCTTCCTTCATTTCTAAATTTTCCTAAAAATACAAAGTCATTTGATACATCAATTCTATTCACAAAATTTCAAAATAAACAGAATAATCTTTTTAAAAATATTATTCTGCTTTATTTAACACTGTTTCTTGTAATCAAAAAATAACTTTATTGGTGTTGAAATGGTTCCCTGTTCTAAACAAATATTACTTGGTACCTGTTGTAGATTCAATATACAGATTTTCATGACAAATTAAAAACCTGAATGAAACTGGAAGGTCTTCCAAAAGTATAAGTGTTATATCTTCACAAATATAATTGAAAATTTTCTAAAGAAAAAGAGGCATTTACATCTTCAATTGTCGATTTAATTTCATTGCAATTACAATAGAATGCCAAGTTTAAACAAAGTTTCAATAGTATGATCTTTAGAAGCATAACTATTGTATTTTTTCAAAAAATATTGCTGAAGTTATTACTGAAATTGTAAACTTTCATTTACTATTTATTTTTTTTACTCTGAAAATAAAAGATTACAAGAAGTAATAGTGAGATAGCATGATAATCTTAATAAAAGTACATATTTGACATGAAATTCTACTATAATATTTTATTATAAAGTTAACATTTAGAAAGGAAAATTTAGTCAAATTAAGACACAATATTGCATAAGATACAGGGAGTATGTATATAGATGCATATATCTTATATACTTTTCTAGCTTTTAAACATAGGTTTTCATCAGCAGAAAAATGCTAAGAGTTAACATGAGGGATAAGACATATCTTATAGGATGCCACTGAAAAAATTAAGGGAAATAGAGTAGATAAAAATGATATGATATAAAATAAAGAGTTGGGACAATAATAAACATAAGGTAATTTTATGTGAACTCTTGGCACTATCTAAGATGTAATCATTAGTATCTGGAACAGTAGAGCATGTTTTTATGGCAATATTCCAGCTGTATCAGCCTGGGTTCAAATCCATGACCTTGGCAAAATAAGCCAACAATCTACCAACTGAGCTAAAGGAATACTTCTCTATTGCAGCTAATGGAGAGCATTTTAGGTCAGTGGAAAAAGGACTATACTTCCCCAACCTCAAGAGTCATTACACCATAATGACTATATCCAACATCAAACCCATACTCAACTCATGTTTTTTTTTCTGTTTGAAAACCAAACATGACAGAAGAGCATGCTTATCCTTCCAAAATTACCACTGTTCCAGTCAGGGTTTGAACCCAGGGCCCCTAGTACAGTAAGCCACCAATCTACCAACGAGCTACAGGAGTACTCCACTAGCATAGATAATGAAGGCAGTCATCTTTCTTCTAGGTTAGGGGTAAGTACTAGTATTTCTAACTGGAGTTGTAGTGTACTCTTGTCTTATGTGAAAGATCATTGGCTAATCCCTGACAAGTTTAAACTGAATGCTTCTGTGCAGCATCCCAACCAAGCACAAGGCACAAAGGAATAAGATCAAAGACGGATCAGATTGTAGTCAGAATAATGTGTTTAATAATGTAGGGTATTCTAATATGACGTTCTTCTTTCTCTTTGGAAACAAAGCCATGCTCTAATTCCAATAAAACATGGGCTGCACGTGATTGAAGTCACAATTGAAATTGCGACGTCAATTTTATTTTGAACAACGCCAGAGATCAAGATGGACATTTGTGATGGTGTTGCTCGCTAGGAAATTAAATAAAATCTTTCTAAAAGTAAGTTTACATTTATCTGTTCATTTTTTTATCGTGAAACGGTTGATTTTCTATAACGTTTTGGTGTCATAAAATAAACATGGCTGCCTTTCGAACGTATAATAAGATCAAAGACTGATCAGATTGAAGTCAGAATAATGTGTCTATGTAGGGTAATAGGTCTTCTTGTGCATTGTTACCCTGTTAGCTATTATGTTAAAAATATGACTAAGTGAGTTGGAGCAGTTGTTTTATGTCTAAAACAAATTGCTGTAAATATGTAACAACAAACATATTTTAGACCATTTCATCGTTATCCATCTACCAAAATAATTTAATAGTTACTAGAGTCCTCTCTTTTAAGTGACCTATGTATTACTATAACTTTGATTTTACCTATGACAGATATATTAACAAGCTGTTTGTTGATTAAGCAGAAGTTATATATATTTCATATACATGTTAATTATCTTTCCTACTCTTACTTACTAGCTCTGAATATTCATCAATCTGTTGAATATCAATTTAGATCAGTGACTATACTGAAGGAAGTTTATGTTAACAAAATAAATCAAAGCACGAAAGCGCTGTAAAGGCAGTTAATTACAGGTTGTGTGTATTTTAAGTCCAGTTATATCATTATCTTGCATAGTATCAGAGGTGGCTTTCAGTATTTAAGATTTAGAGTTCTCTAATGATATTGAATAAGTTTTATGAATGTCATATTCTGAGCACTATATGAAGGCGATTGTTCTCACTTGTTTATGAACTAGTGCATTATGTCCAGTTTGTACCTTTTTTATCTATGTTTATAGTCAAATTAGTTATCAAAGGTACCAGGATTATAATTTAATACGCCAGACGTGTGTTTCGTCTACATAAGACTCATCAGTGACGTTCAGATCAAAATAGTAACAAAGCCAAACAAGTACAAAGTTGAAGAGCATTGAGGACCCAAAATTCCAAAAAGGTGTGCGAAATACGGCTAAGGTAATCTATTCCTTGGATAAGAAAATCCTTAGTTTTTTCATTGGCAATCATAACACATCTCCTTATTTATATAATGATCTATCTTCAACGACCTCAGGTACAAAAAAAATGTATGTAACTAAACTATGATGGGAAACCTTTGACTTCTTTCTTTATATAAACTTTTGATTTGGTACCATAGAACTATGTAGAGTAAATGTACATTGCAACATGTCAACTCTTTCAACTCCAAGCAAAATTATATTTCCAAGCATAAAGTAATTTATGAATGAAATAAAATGCTCCGCTGGGGCGCAGCTTGATACGACCGCAGAGGTCGAACCCTGAACAGTTGGGGCAAGTATGAACACAACATTCAAGCTTGATTCAGCACTGAATTTGGATTGTAATTAAATATTTGACACAGCATAGATTCTGACACAGAATGAAAGTGGTCTAAGATACTTAAAAAAATTTAATTTACCTATTCAAACCATATCATTATTTTTTGCTTTTATATATAAATCAGAAATAACCAATTTAAAATGGAAAATTTTAAAGAAAAAAAAGGAAAAAGAATCCCCCCCCCCCCAAATTTTTTGAACCCCCTTATGATTCATCACCCCCAAAACTCAATCCCAGCCTTCCCTTTGTGGTATGGTACCTTGCAGTACAATTTCAGAGAGATCCATACACTTGAACACATGTTATTGTCTGGAAACTAGAAAAATGCTTGTTTTTTGGCCCCTTTTTGGTCCCCAATTCCTAAACGTTTAGGGCAATTACCCCCAAACTCAAACCCAGCTTTCCCTTTGTGATATGGAACCTTGTAGTACAATTTGATAAAGATCCATACACTTACACACAAGTTATTGCCATGAAACTAGAAAAATGCTTGTTTTTTGCCCCTTTTTGCCCCTAATTCCTAAAATTTGGAGGCAATTACCCCCAAAATCAATCCCAGCATTCCCTTTGTGATATGGAACCATGTGATACAATGTCAGAGAGATCCATAGACTTACACACAAGTTATTGTCATGAAGCTAGAAAAATGCTTGTTTTTTGCCCCTTTTTGGCCCCTAATTCCTAAAATTTGGAGGCAATTACCCCCAAAATCAATCCCAGCATTCCTTTGTGGTATGGTACCTTGCAGTACAATTTCAGAGAGATCCATACACTTGAACACAAGTTATTGTCTGGAAAGAAGAAAAATGCTTATTTTTGGCCCCTTATTCCTAAACTTTTTGGGCAATTACCCCCAAACTCAATTCCAGCTTTCCCTTTGTGATATGGAACCTTGTAGTACAATTTCATAGAGATCCATACACTTACACACAAGTTATTGCCATGAAACTAGAAAAATGCTTGTTTTTTGCCCCTTTTTGGCCCCTAATTCCAAAAATTTGGAGGCAATTACCCCCAAATTCAATCCCAGCATTCCCTTTGTGATATGGAACCTTGTAGTACAATGTCAGAGAGATCCATAGACTTGCACACAAGTTATTGTCATGAAACTAGAAAAATGCTTGTTTTTTGCCCCTTTTTGGCCCCTAATTCCTAAAATTTGGAGGCAATTACCCCCAAAAATCAATCCCAGCATTCCCTTTGTGATATGGAACCTTGTGGTACAATGTCAGAGAGATCCATACACTTACACACAAGTTATGTCTGGAAGTTACAAAAATGCTTATTTTTGGCCCCTAATTCCTTAACTGTTGGTACCATAACCCCCAAAATCAATCCCCACTTTCCTTTTGTGGTATTGAACCTTATTTTAAAATTTCATTGAGATCCATTCACTTAAACTAAAGTTAGAGTGCGAAAACTAATGTGTCTTCGGACGACGACGACGCCAACGTCATACCAATATACACCACAAAATTTTTTTTGCGGTCGTATAAAAAGGAGTTCTTAATTAAGAAATAAACTGATTCGCTGAGCGCAGCTGGATACACCCGCAGAGGTACTACCCTGAACAGCTGGGGCAAAAATGGACACAATATTCAAGCTTGATACAGGTCTGAATTTGGATTGTAATTAAATATTTGACATATTATAGTCTCTGAATAAATGTAGTCAATGAACTTGAAATCGGTTATATGAATTGAATTTATATTCAATTAAAGATTTCTTGCTGTTGTGCAATACACTGTGCTGTTGTGCAATACTTAATAAATCTGTTGCCAGACTATAAACAAATAAAGTTCAATTTCTTCTCAATGTCATATTTGAAATTTATAAAAATCAATAGGGAGATTACATCAATAGCTATAAATAATTCACCAAGGTTTCATGTGAACTGCTTAAAGCATTTTTGAGTTGTTGTCCAAAAACTGGAAAATCCCCCCTTTTTTAATGAATAAAACCCTATAACTCAGAAATGTAAAATCTAAAATTTATAAAATTCTAAAGGGAGCTTACGGATTGATAATTTAGTCTTAGATGCAAGATTTATTTATCAGTTGTTAGTGGCTTTGAACTAGCTGTCAGTAACTGCGAGTACTCTCAGATTTGTACTTAGTGTCTTTTTGTTGTTTGGATGTACAACTACCCGACCACGTCCACTTGTATTTGTATTTATCCATCTGATGAGTTTAGCCTCTTTCAACTGATTTTTATAGTTCTTTCTTATATTTTACTGTTACACCACTGTCCCAGGTTAGGGGAGGGTTGGGATCCCGCTAACATGTTTAAGCCCGCCACATTCTGTTTGTACATGTATGTGCCTGTCCCAAGTCAGGAGCCTATAAAAGTGTAATTCAGTGGTTGTCGTTTGTTTATGTGTTGCATATTTGTTATATTTGTTCATTTTTTTACATAAAATAGGCCGTTAGTTTTCTTGTTTGAATTGTTTTACATTGTCATTTCTGGGCCTTTTATAGCTGACTGTGCGGTATGGGCTTTGCTCATTGTTGAAGGCCGTACTGTGACCTATAGCTGTTAATTTCTGTGTCATTTGGTCTCTTGTGCATGTGTGGAGAGTTGTCTCATTGGCAATCATACCACATCTTCTTTTTTATATTTACATCAACAGATATAAAAAATTCACCAAAGTCAAGGTGAGACAACAAAACTTAGTTGTAAGATCTCTGAAATTTTTTACAGGGTACAAGTTTTTCTCATTGTTGGAGATTGTACGGTGACAGTAACACCTGTAACTGCTTAAACCCATTTCTTATGCACTTTAGTTTGATAAACTCACTGAATATCATACCACATCTCCTTATTTTTATATGCATTACAATTTACATGTGCATGTGCATGTAATTGTAAATATATATATATCAGAACAAAATTCATTGCGTCACTTTTATTTATGCATCCTTTGGCACAATACAAGTTCTAAAATTACACAACATAAAACAACTAAATGTTATTTCAGATGAAAGTTTTGTTTCAGTTCCATTCATAGGATTTATTAGAATTTTGTATGTTTTGCCAAGTCTAATAATTCGCTCTATGTGACATAGAGACATAGTTGACTAAACCACCAGGTGTCGAACATTCAAGAATTTTCAGTGTTTCTGTTTTTATTTGATGAAAAGGTTGCCTGAGCTCTAGGAGCTTTAGGTTTTATCACGGGATATTCTGGGCTGTCAATAATAATCCAAGTCGTAGGAAACTTTAATTTGAAGTTGGATGGTGAAAAATACCTGACTAAACCACTAGATGGCCAAGTGTTAGCCTCACACCACTGTTTAGACATAAAAACAATCCATGTATACACAATATTCTTAACACTAGATTCAATCTAGAATCTAGACAGTTCAAAGTTGGTTGTATGATGCCTCAATTTCATCAAAGTCATAAAAAAACTGATTTTCAACTGACACCCTATCAATTTGAAAATATATGTATCTCAAACAATGTGCTGCTGGACCAAGTGTGGTTAAAACAAATAAAAATTTAGTATACAACTCTAAACCGGTATAAAAATGCATGGCTGTGTCACGTGTCTTCATTTCAAAATTCTCTGCTGAAAACATAGGCATTGATGGTGTTTGCGTAATTCCATCTGTGAAGCTCAACATTAGCTCGGCAGTTGGTGGTGGACAGTCATAAATCCTTTCTGCAGTATGAATGACTTCTTCAGGAAAACCAACTTTACAATCAAAACTTTCCTCTAGATTTCTACTACAATATTCATCAAGTTTAGTTCTTTTGTTTTCACAGGAAACTGCCCTGATTTTTCTTTTTGTGGACGATTCAGTCTCTTGCTTGGTCCAGGAAAATAGGCTGGGAATTGCAGTAGACTTAAGTCTCTGTATGGTGGGTTTGCGCCCTGAAAAAGGTTATAAAACATTAGTTTTTTTATAATTAAATGAACTTCCATTAGCAATGTATACTTTGTACTACCTGGCGAAATATTAACTAGATTTATTCATTACAATCTGGATAAAACTATGTTTGCCTGATTCAATGTATGTTATGTAAATCCAAAGGACAAACAATGAGAGACTTATGCAACAAACGTACAATTTTTGTACCTAAATAACTATAATATAGATGAGAGCATGTCATTGTTTTGTTCCTGTTAACATTGTCATTGATATTTTTCAAGAAAGTCTATGAGGCATAGCTTATGCATTCCTGTCATTACTACATTAGCATAATTACTGCTAAAATAATTCTCAGTATGATATACCTCTTGTAAGAAATCATTATAATTGTAGCAATCACCAAAAAATCTCAAACAGATCACATTGAATCGTAATCCAAAAAATTATGACGTCTTGAATTACCCACCCCCTTTTATTCTAAAACGATAATTGCGGTTGTAAACAGACTTTGGTTTATTCGCATGGCGATTACATATATAACTATATATTTCACAAGGAAAATAGAGTTTTACCATGAATAGTTTCCTGCACGTAGTCTTTTTCAGTAAAACGTGCCTTGCAAACAACAGCTGATTGAGATGGACTCCACGATATCATCGTGTTCTCGTCCAATCTGCGTATGGGCCATGGCGTTGATCCAACTTTTCCTTCTTTTTAAGTCATTTGGAAATGCATGTCCTCCTCTTAAATGACATCCAGGTACACAACAACAAGTACTTGGCATCGTTAATTAAAAATATAACTGAAATAGTTGCACAGTGCAGAAACCGGAAGTAGAGGAACAGGATCCGCTACCACGGCGCCACCTATTCAGGAACGATTTCTTAGGCCCGAGAACACAGTTATTTCGTAGTGCATTTCTTTTAGACAATAAATTCAAATTAAAAAAATCGCACCTGCTCTATCTCAAAAAGATTTTTACAGTGTAGTGTACTACTATTGATACAAATAATATCAAAATTATAGAAACTTCTACCAGCTCTAACTCAAAATATTGACAATTCTGTGTTAAGGGGGGCTAAAATTCAGTTTGACAGCTTCCGACATTCTAATTTTTGACCTTTTTTAACTGGACCAAATCACTACTTAACATAAAGATTCAGCACCCAAATTTTTTTAACATGTAATTTCATCCCCTTACTTAATATTTCATGCATAAAATATCAAGAAATAAATTGGGAAAGTGTATAAAAAAAAAAATGCAAGTTATACACTGTTCACACTAGGGACTATATTCGTACCAAAGGACGATAACTGTGTCCTTGGACCATATAACTGCGAAAATAACGTTAGACGGGTTCACGTGCATAAACAGAAATGCGCTTTAAATTGTATAATATAATTCATGTTCAGTCGACCTTTAATTATTATATCAACGACTGAAATGATTTATAAACATCTAGATTGCAGATAACACTCGAAATTAACCTGAGCTCTTTCCACACGGAATTCAAATAATTCTAGTTTGTCAATCGGTTGACTGCTTATGATGCAAAATACTAATATATCAAAAGTTTTTAAAACTAACAAAACACAATGATCGTTTCTCTATTTCCCAATGTAAATGAAATGAAACAAAAAACATTTTATATCGCAATAAGAAGAGGAGAGAATTCAACATTTCCGGATCTACTTGGAGTCTAATGACCCCCCACGTAGATAAGTTGGATATCGCGGAAGGAAGGATTAACCCGGCAACTAGAAAGGCATTAAAGCACTGCCTTTAAAAATACATAAAAGAGTGTTGTAGGTTTTCTTTTACAGGTTAGGGTGTTTAAGGTAAAGACAATTTACGTCAGGAAAGACTAAACAAGAAAACTGAGATAAAAATATTAAGAGGGACAGAAACAAGGGGTGATATAGAATTTGGGGGTGCTCTGGATTCATGAAGGATGTGAAGAAAAAACTATAAAATTGTATTAACAAAAACAATATTTGTGAATTTAACCATGAAAAGTTACTTTTTCAAAGCATCATTTACAAAATTTTGATATTCTATTTGTGAACTTTTTTTTATCCCACACTCATTGCTAAATATGCTCACTTCATTTGCAATAGCTTGGCAATCACACAAAATGCTCTTTATTTCTGAACAACAACAAACTGTCAGATTTTCTTCTGCTGCAAATTAGGCACACATCTTTAACCTTGATGCTTAGAAATCTGTTTCCATATAAAATTACCTTCTTGAAACTCCTAATCACTGAATTTTGAAGGGGTTTTTATATGCTCAAATTAATAATACATCTGAACCAAGCTTTAATTTTTTTCTGAAATATTGATTTCAAATTAATAAAAGACACTATAATTCATCCTCCTATTAAACTATTGATTTTTTTTCTCATCTCAACACTTGTAAGTTAGTATTGAAAAATCATGAGTTACCATTCTTATGACAAATTCCATTCAAAACCCTACCTGTTGAAAGTTATCGAGTTTGTCATTGACAGAGTCATTTATCTCCCTTAGTTGTCTATTAGCATGACGTAATTCCTCCACTTTGTTTTCTAATTCCTCAAGTCTGGGTTTCTTGTATATTAATTCTGTGCTAGCCTAAGAAACAGAAGTGATATTACTGTGCTAGCATTCTGTGATTAGAAGCTGACTTACCAATGCACTTTAAACACACAATGAATTGGTCAAACAAATACTTTGCTATAGGTAGCCAAGGAAATGATAGTCAACATTCTGCTTCAAATTATAAGGCTTGTTTTGGAAAGGGCAATATGCTTGCAATTTAAATTATCCAATATTTTTTTACATAAAATTTTCTTTGTATAGATCCCAGTCTAAAATACCACATGTTCAGGAGACAAGTTAAAATATTTTGTTTGATTTGGAATGGAAAATAACTAGATGTGTTTTAGAAAGCACTTTATCAACTAAGCTGAATTTGACATCTTATTAAACATTAACAAATGGATTGCAGAAGATTATGCTATTTGCAGACATTTTTTCACAAATCTATTTGGATTTTTTTTTATTGATATCTTAGTTTACAAAATTTGGTTTATATATTAATTAAACTTGAACTTTGAACTAGCTTTCAGTATGCATTCTTGTTGTGTGCATAGTTTCCTGCTTAGTGGTATTGTCTAAAGTATATTATATACAAGATCAGTTCAAAGTGCATCATATGGATGATGGTATAGGTAGAAGGAACAGACAACTGAAAGGGAGACTGGGACTGGAAATAAAAAGAATAAAAACTGGAAAAAGAGGAACAAACTTGGGTAATAAGAAAAAGGATACAAGGCAGATAAAAACTATTAAGTTTCCAACTAAATATCAATGGAACAGTAATTTTTTTATGTTCCTTATTACAATAGTCTGTTTATTATGGGTTTTTACAATTTGCATAAATTAGGACAAAACTAAACATTTGTTTTAATTTTCTTGGAAATAAAATTCCTAAAGATATTTTATTTGTGATGATATATTTAAAAATTAAACTTACTTTTTATCAAATATTGTTTCATTCTCAGTTGAAGATAACACTGTGCAAAATTGTGTCCAAAACAAGGTTTCAATTTTAATTTGAATGCAAAATTTTCTTTTTCACTTTATTCTGATGGTAAACTTCAGATATACTGGGCTCTAGCTTATTAAACTTTATCCAGTACTCAAGTACAAAATTTGAATCGAAACACCAAATCCGGTATTTTTATTGGTTGATTTTTGAGTGAGTACAATAATCATGCTCCAAATATTTAAGACCACAAGGCCAGGACTCCCCAGTCCCAACTTCCTTTTATGCTGTCTGCTCTCTCTATTTAATTCATTTATACAATAAGTATGAGACCAAGCTAATGATTTCAAGTGAAAGCTACAATTCTGTGTGTCTGTTAAACCAATCTGTGATATAATGTCACATCTATAGTACAAACTTCTAGCAAAATTATAGCATCTATGTATTTTTATCCATTTCAAGCTTGCAAAGTAAAAAATTCCACTGCACAAATAATTTTTATGCTGATATGAAAATCGATGATACAAGCAGTCATCATTAATTTACATAATATAATATGACAAGTGATTGTACACTTTTAAACTGTTATATATTATATAAAGATGTATTATTTTTATGATATATTTCCAGCAAAACAACTTACCAATAACTCTTCTTTCTGATTAACCAGGTCATCTCGAACCTTCTCTAACTCTAAAATTCTTTCCCTGTAATTAGATCAAACAATGTACTTATTACTTATTACATTAACCCAGTTTATATTTCTTAACAGTACTGTTACTTCATGACCATAACAATGACACAATTTTTTAAATAACTTTAATGGCTAATTATGGTGATAAATTTTAAATCATTCAATGAATGAGTCATGAAAACAAGAACAAATCAATCAGAAGTTCTCATTTCCAATCATGTATTTGGAACATAAAAAAAACCTACTTTTCATTTTTTTGCTGCATGTTTGCAGTATGAAGCTTCAGTGTTTGCAGCAAGAAATCAACTATGGGCAAACAATTCTATGTGATGAAGGTTTCCTTTAAAAGAAACTTTTAGATATTTGTTGTTAGCTTTCTGTGGGAAAACATTAGGTTGTCAAATGTTATTAGCTACTAAAGAATAGTAGCCATCAAATTTTTTACTAAATTTTTTCATACAAGATCACTCAATATTATAGGTGTAAATTTTATACATCATTTGTATTCAAAGTGGTCTTGAGTATCATCTTGACGGTTAGTTTGATAATCCCATCTAATGACCCCAAAATAAATAACTTCAATAGTTTATTTGCCAATTCAATAATTGAAATGAACCTGTAGAGATCCATTTGTACAAGTTGTTTCTATTAGGAGGGACATAATTTTTATAGACAATTATTTCTCATTAAATTAATTGGTTTAAACACCTTTTATATAAATTAAATCATGTTCAACATATCATGCTTTGCATGGGCAGTAGGAACTAGCCAATCTTGTCCAGTTTGGAACCAGTCTACATTTGGCAAAGGGAAGCAACTTTGCAAAAAGGTTAAAATAACAGAATCAAATGGGTAATTGGCAATTGGAATTTTCCACTGCTAATCAATACCATCAAAAGTTTACCTGAGATGTTCATTTTCATTTCTAAACTGTTCCACTTTTCCTGAAAGTTGTTCCACATCATGTAACTTGGTCAAACTACTCTCAGACTGAAAATACATAATTAAAAAAATTCATAAATTGTTTTATTATTATCTTAAACCTTTCAATTAGAACTCATATACAATTTGTAAAAATTACATTCTGGGCAAATGTAGCATTAAATTCATAATACAAATAATTTTACCAAGCTATCATATTTTTTAGGTTACAAGAAGAGTTATTGATTACAAATGAATACAAATAAAATAAGCAGTATGTGGTAAATGAATATTTTTCCAATTTACTGCAAAATTATTTTTCATAAACACTACGACATTCCTATTTAGAATGGAAAAGGCTTCAAATCAATTTGATCTGGATAAAGGCATCTAATGAAAAATCAATCAGAAATCAATTGGACTTTCTGTTTACTCTGTACATCAATTGTGATAAATTTGACAAATATTGGAAATCATATTATGATAAAACCTGGCAATATTGAAAATCATTTATCACATTACAAGTTCAGATGTTTTAATAACAGATGGAAAGTTGAAAATAAAGTCTGTCAAGCTGAAGCATGAAAAAATGAAAAAAATTGATGAAAAAAAAAATTCCTAAAAGAATTTATTTTGGATTTAAGGACATTACATTCATATGTATGTGCAAACTTATTACAACATTCTTTTGTAACCCTGAAAACATTTCTCCACCAATATCACATTAAATCTAAACATCATTATCAATACAATTTAGTTTTCATGGTCAACACGAACCAATTGTAACAAATAGAACATCTTGCATGCATGTGGATACAAATATAGAAGAAATATGAAACTTTTTAAACAGTAAAACCTTATTGAAAGTGAAACTGTAGGGTTTGTTTTTCAAGATTTTCACAAAAATCATAAGTTAAAAAAATTGGAAAAGTTTAGTTTTCATTTAAAAAAAGTAAGATCTTAACAAAAATATAGGTGGAAATGTGAAAAAATGAGAATAAAACAAACTTCTGTGAATCAGGGTTTTACTGTAAAATGAAATTTTCAAAAATAAATAATTAATTAAAACTATTTAAAAAGATAAAATTAACCTGTTAGGTTTCTAAAGATGGTGTGACAATAAGACGACTGTTGATCATCAAGAAACAATCCATCCATAAGTAATACCCATTGAATACTAAGAAAGGATGTTATTAAAAATTTAAACAAAATCATTACAAAAGACATAAAAACATCCAGACTAGAGAAACAATAAACCTACAGAAATTTAAACCATTTGAGGATCTTAAGGTGCTAATTACTCAAGATGACAATTTAAAAATATAAAAATTTCTCAACAATTTGTATAGTATACCTTACAAAATCCTTAAAATTTCTCAAGCATATACAAAAACAAAGTTTTATTTTTAATGCTGTGAATTTGATTATTTTTGCTTTATTAACCTGAAATTTTATATATGCATTTATGTATATTTTTTTTCTTATAATTTTGATCTGTAAATTTTGCTGAAAAACCAATAAAATAATGTACTTTTAAATTTTTTTTGCAATTTAATGTTTATTTACAAGAAATAATTACAGCAAAAATTATAACAACAATAAAAAAATCGCTTTATATTTGCTAAGGTTCTTGCTTCAATCATAAAAAAAGCATTGATGATAATGACCCACTCATTAAGACCCTCAAATTGTCATGAAATGATCATCAAAGGAAAGTGATAAAAAGATAAGAGGATAATGATCAGAAAGAATTGTCTTCTCAGGTAGACCAAGGTAAAGTGGTCATTTAATGATCTTCTGTGCAGGGTCAAGTGCTGATTGTATTTGTGGATGAGTTTTGTGTAGAATTTTAAGGATTTTACTAATCTGTGATGGAATTTGATACGGGTTTATGTGAATCATGTTTAAATATCTTGTTTCAACATCTAATTTGTTGCAATGATTGGATTTCAATTGTTTCATGCTGTTGATTGTAACAGATTATAAAATTACGATGGATTTTAAATTTTGGACATTTAAAAATCTTAAATACAGTTTTTTGTTACATTTAAATTTAAGATAATAAAGAAACAGTGTAAACATGTTCAACACTGAAATAACATGAACTATTTCATTTGCTTGAATTCAGTAGGCATAGTTAAAAAAAATTAATATCGGTATTTTGTGGTTATAATTTGAAATGTTTATTTCAATATAAACAAGAATATATGTCCATAGAACACCATTCCCTACTTGCACCATCCCATATCCATGTTCAGGGAACTTCAAAATGAAAACCCTAATTCAGCATTTATCTTAAAAAGCTCAGACCATAATGAACATGCATACTCAGTTTCAAGCAGATGTGACCATAACTTCATAGTAAACCACCTATAAAAAAAAACTTTTAACCTGGTACGGGACAGACAAAAATGTAGGTAAAAGTACACGGAAAGAGATATCTTATATGATTTTTAAATCAACCATACCGTATATTATGCAACTGTTAGAAGAACCACTTTATATGTGTAGTGATAAAAATGACTTAACATAATTATTACAATTGGGCTAATAAATCAATAAATCTTTTACACAAATGTATTTTATTGACTTAGTAATAAATATATAAACATATGTATAATATAATATAGTATTATTTGAGAATTAATCCAGTACATAAATACAACGCAAGTCTAGGTGTATATGATCAAATACATGTATTGAGATAAATTTTAAAATCTTCTTTTGTTAAATGGACGATTCATCAGAAAATAAACTGTTGACACAGAGATATGTCTCGCCTATTTGGAAAAAATTTGAAAAAAAGACAATCTGATAGACAGCAACATTGCTAATTATTTCAAAGTTGCTGGACAATGACCTAGGGGCAGGGCCTCAAAATAGTTGTCAAACTGTACCGATAGTAATACAACTTTATACAAGATATCATTGATCTATCACAAGTAGTTCCTATCAAACTGATTTAAGCAGAAAACATAACATGGAAAATTCCCAATTAATTCAAAGTCACTGAACCATGGCCTAGGGGGAAGGGCCTTGAAATAGTCTTACAACTATTTTTAGATCTAATTTTGCTTATCATTTTTCATTCTTATAATTTCTTTCTATCTACAACAGTTTCAGCAGAAAACACCAATATTGGTAATAATTGTCATTCAACTCCTTTAAAAAGTCACCTAAGATTTAGGCCATGTTGACTTATTCATATCCTAGCGATCCTTTTTGATACTACAGTTTCTCTTTATCTTCAACAGTTTCTGTAAAATCCCACAAAAATGGATAACAAGAGTGCACACGCTGAAATGTCTCCCCTTCTTTACTAATCATTGATATTATGTTGATAGTCCTAAATATTAAGCTTTATTACAACTGTCACATAAACTTAACATTAACCAAGTAAACTAAACATTGACCAATGAACCTTGAAAATGAGGTCAAGGTCAGATGAACCATGCTAGACAGGCATGTACAGCTAACAATTCTTCCATACAACAAATATAGTTGACCTATTGCTTATAGTTTAAGAAAAACAGACCAAAACACAAAAACTTAACACTGAGCAATGAACCTTGAAAATGAGGTCAAGGTCAAATAAAACCTGCGTGACTGACATATAGATCATAAAATATTTCCATACAACAAATATAGTTGAACTATTGCATATAGTATTAGAAAAATAGACCAAAACTCAAAAACTTAACTTTGACCACTGAACCATGAAAATGAGGTCAAGGTCAGATGACACTTGCCAGCTAGACATGTACACCTTACAATCATTCCATACACCAAATATAGTAGACCTATCGCATACAGTATAAGAAAAACAGACCAAAACACAAAAACTTTACTATAACCACTGAACCATGAAAATGAGGTCAAGGTCAGATGACACCTGCCAGTTGGACATGTACACCTTGCAGTCCTTCCATACACCGAATTTACTAGACCTATTGCTTATAGTATCTGAGATATGGACTTGACCACCAAAACTTAACCTTGTTCACTGATCCATGAAATAAGGTTGAGGTCAAGTGAAAACTGTCTGACAGGCATGAGGACCTTGCAAGGTACGCACATACCAAATATAGTTATCCTATTACTTATAATAAGAGAGAATTTAACATTACAAAAAATCTTAACTTTTTTTTCAAGTAGTCACTGAACCATGAAAATGAGGTCAAGGACATTGGACATGTGACTGACAGAAACTTCGTAACATGAGGCATCCATATACAAAGTATGAAGCATCCATGTCTTCCACCTTCTAAAATATAAAGCTTTTAAGAAGTGAGCTAACGCCGCCGCCGGATCACTATCCCTATGTCGAGCTTTCTGCAACAAAAGTCGCAGGCTCAACAAAAATGACAATCAGCCAATTTGACTTATTTGTACATCTTATCCTGCAGATCAGTTTTTCTATTCACAGTTTCTCTCTTTCAGTTGTAATTTTTAATGTTATAGCCAAAATTGCAAATTTGCAAAAAAAATTTGAGAACAAAAAATTGTCATTTAGAGCAATACCTTCCACAAGAAATTGTCTGACAGTTGGTAGATCTGACATTGTAAACATTCTGCCCCTTGTCATATTTTCTCTATCTATAATAGTTTCCAAGATAATAGGCAATACTTATATTTTACCCATATGTTCAATTATTTTCCTTGCATCCATATTTGTTTGTTTGTTTGGCAAAGTGATGAGAATGGCTCACATGATCATTTGGGTTAAATGAGCAAAAAATGAACAAGATCTGATGACCCAATACATTTATTCTATTACTGACTTGTCCAAAAGTTCTGAAGATAAATTTGAGGTGTTATGACCAGACTACATAAAAATATCTATTATTGTTCATAAATTCAGAAGTTGGAATTCAGATATTCATGAAAAGACTTTTTTCTTGTTGATGTTAAATCTATGGTTTTCATATTTTGATTATATTTTTGCTTACTTTGCTGATGTCCATTTACTCTGTATCCAATGCATAAGACACTCACATACCCAAACAGTACAAATATTGGCAAGAGTGCATACAATCTACCAAATAATTCTAGTACTAACACATGTTATGATGATCATATGATTGTTACAGGTTATAATGAACTGTGACTGGATGATTGTGCTCAGCCAAACAAAGCAGAAAGCATGCTTATTAAGTCCTATCTTAAATTAAAAAATTTTTAAATTTGCAAAGCTTTTGTGTACACATCTGTCTTATGCTTTATTAATCAAGACATTCAGCATTATATAATGTCTTCAAAAATCAAAAAAATATTGTTTTGTCTATTGTCAGTTCATTAAAAAACAGTAAAAAAATCTTAAAATGTCTTTTCCTAAAAAAGTATATTTTGTTGCTTTCCCTTTATTTGAAAATATAAATAATGATTGTCAATATCCTAATATACCCATAGATTTTTTTTTCAAATAAATATGCTAATATACTTTAAAACTAACTATATGCAAGTATAATTATTAAATATTCTAAATGTTCATCCACAGCCATGACATGATATTAAGCAGCAAACTGTGATAATGCAATTTGATTGGCTAAAACAGTTCTAAGATTGGTCTAAAAATGAAGTGTCTTGTGCTAGCAAAGTATAAAACTGATCAGGGTCTCTTACACTCTTAGTCAAAACTTCTTTTTGCGTCTCTAATAATTTGATCATTTGTTCATTCTCCGCCCTCTCTTGTATCAACTTCCTATTTTCATCTTTTAATCTGCAAAATACAGGTATATATAGGTTATACATTGATGTCAACAAAGTGTTACTGAACTACAAAAGTTGCCTGATAAAACTCAAAGACAACATTAACCATTTATTCCAAAATTTAGTTGCTGTCCAACTACTACTACTGAACCATTCATGCTTTTAATAGATTTATTAAGATCCCCTGCCAAGATGTGCAATAAGATTGAAATGAATCCCAGATACATTGTATAAAATCAGCTGATTCAAAACTACTTTAAACAAATTTAAATGAAACAGATCTATATCATATTTTTACAATAGAGAAACTTCTCATAAAATACAAAATGTAAAAGACATGATATAAAATGCCCTTTCAGTGGACATTTGTAATTATGGAAACGTGTTTATTGATCTAAAATGTATCTTTGTATGGAAACCCAAAATAATCAAAAGACAACTTTATTTCATTTTCTCAACTAAACAGTTCGGAAGAAAAAGCATGAGACAGCTCTAAACCAATCACTTCACTGGTCATCTTTTTATGTATAAAACATTTGAATATTACATCTAATAACTTACTTGACTTTATCCTCATGGTCTTCTGACAGTTTCTCACATTCATCTTTCAGCACTTTATTGTCACCCTCCAATCTAGACGTCTGCAATGGTAAATAATTTGTTCAATGAACATGAAAATTTTAGGTCAGCACACTAATATTTTGTTTTTAACTATAACTCATTTTCCTGTTTTAAATTATGATTCAAAACCAGGAAATCAGGTTTTCCGGTTAAAAAAAAAGGGGAAAAAGGCTAAATTGCTGGTAAAATCTCTGGCGTAAATCATCTGATTTACTTCAGTTAAAGGGTACATTGTTCGACCAAAATATGCACTAAAAGTAGCACTGATCTTCAATTTTTTTTCTCAATAAAAATAAACATGCAAGATTATGTCACTGACTCACAAAAACAAACTCATGTAACACCATTGGAAACAAATATATCCCAGTATTTAAGTATTAGATTCTGTTTTATTAACCATTTGTCCTTCTAAATAAACACATAAATATTTCTTACCAAGTCCTCCATATCTAATAACCTATCACTGAGTGTCTGTATTTCGTTTTCTTTCCGACTGACAGAAGCCGTAAGTCTATCACATGTATCCTTCCATGTGTCTAGTTCTTGTTGTTGGACTGTTGCCTCCCTCATCAAGTCTTCATTAGCTTTCTTCAATTTCTGGAAAATGGCATGACAAAAACAGTAATATCTTCATTAAAAATAATTAAGAAACTGATGCACTTATTTTTGAAACACACTCTTTTTTGTATATCATGTAATTTTCTTTGAAACATTTGAAATAAATGATTTACAAAAAAAATATCTGAATTATAATCTTTATAAATGTAAAATGTTCCTGTTATGTTATGGATGATATTGATTTCAGGATAACTTAATAACCAAAAAAATATGATCATATCAATTACTTGCATGAATTTAAGATCTAGCATTAAGTGATTGTAAAACTTTTCATCATTACACATCTTATTTGCATAAATGCAACAGTACCTAAACATAAGCTTCGCTTTGAAATCACCAGCTGCAAAACAAACTCAAAATGCCTGAAGCAAATTAAATACAGTTTCAAGACAAACATGATAAAAGTCACACATGTTTTTTTCTTCAAATTTTAAATTCTTCCCTTCCAGAAATCATTTCAACAAATAACTACAAAAGTAGCATGGGTTGACGTGCTAAGCATACCCTACTCAATCATAATTAAAATAAATGGAGAATGTGTCCATGGGACACAGATGATGCCCCCGCTTGATACAATGTTATAAAGGGACATAACTAAAGAACTGTTAAAGTAACGCCACCCAAAATACAACTTGATTTGTGTTTTGTGGTAATAAGCATTGTGTATAAGTTTCATAATATTTGCTTGAGTCAAACTAAAGTTAGAGAACGGAAACAAAAAAAACCCCAGCATTTTTTTCATTTATGAAGGGGCATAACTCCAGAACGGTAAAAGTGACACCACCCAAATTCGAAATTGATCTTAGTTTTGTGGTAATAGGCATTGTGTATTAGTTTCATTCATAACATTTGGTTGAGGCAAACTAAAGTTAGAGAACAGAAACCAATTCAGGGACATACATACGGACTGATGGACAAGGGTAAACCTTAATGCTCCCTCCACTAAGGCAGGGGCATACAAAATAGGAAAAAAGGGAGTAAATGTCTGACAGATTGGAAAAGCTCTCACACATTACAACTCAGCACAGTCTAGGTCCTGATAAAAAATGAAATCATCCTTCTCAGAAGTTCCTTAGAAAAATGTGAGGAAAATATTTGTTTTCAGTCATTGTATTGAAAATTCAAAGTATCTGAATACAGGGAGTAGGTGCCTCACAAATTTGTTGAAAAATGCTCACACATTACAACTCATCACTGCCAAGCCGCTGACCAAATGTAGGTCATTCTGTTGAGTAGTTACTGAGGAAATTGTGACACTTATTGGACAAACTGACATATTTAAACATTTGCACCACATAAGTTAATGATGAAGTTTGTGAGATAAAGAGTTTTAAACTATGCAATTGAATCAATACTTTACTAAGAATTATTTATTCGTGATTAACAATTTTCAACCAAGTAATTGTTATTCGTCAAATGTGCATGTTTAAAGTCAAAGATCAAATTATAACATTCAAACATCACTTACAGTGCTTCATGAATGATTGTATGATATGATACATTAAATAGTTTCAAAATGATGAAATGAACAATGTTAACCACACCAAGCCAAAAGAACTTGCCGATTGTCTGAGGTTAGATTTACTTTCCAATCGTTGCCTGTACTGATTATAAAAATTTAATTCACTATTTTATCCTGTCTATATGGGAAATAGATAAAGAAACTAATGATCAGTCAACCATTCTATTCCGTAATAAAATAATTGAATATATGAATCTAAATATCATTGAAAAATTCTATTTCTATTACCCTAATAAATTTTACACTAAACGTTTTACAAAAAAATTCTAATTAAAGAGTCCTGTAAATGAACTATTCTTTTTAAAGTTCTTACCATTCTACGTATACATATCTAAAGATTCAAATATGTGATTAATAAATTTTCAGATTACATCTTTTAGCACAAGCAAAAATAATTCATTCAATTCTTGTTGAAATGATAAAATTGCTAATTCAATGGATTCTTAAGGTGGTACATAACACTACAGGGAGATTACTCTGTAAAAATCAGCTCAACATTTTAATAACGTTCTATTGTTAATGAAATATTAAGCTTCTCAATGATTAAAGTTAGTGTTTGTCAAACTGCTATATATCCAATAAAATTTTTCCGATAAGTGTGTGGTTCAAGTTTTTTTGAAATTTTTATATTTTTGTCAAAGGGTCAAAGTAAATATTTTGTACAAATTTTATGAAAATTAAATGAGCCAAATTAATTTTAGTCAAGGTGTTTGGTACCACCTTAATTCTACTTATATTCCCTTTCCTTTTATTGTGCTGATGTTTATACATGTATAATTCCATGATATTGTAGAATATAATTTTTGATGAAACCCCTTTTTCTAAATATAAATTTGACTTACTGTTTCCAGTTCTTGATTTTTGTTGTCCAATAGAGTATTGTCGTGTCTCAGCTGTCTTAATTCACTCTGAAAAACAGAAATTATCTCCCCTTATTACATACTTAGTAGTAAATACATGTAAATTGCATGTGTAATACACGGAATGGCAATGTGCTGTATCCGCTATCCGTGATGATATCGATATCAGTCACGGTTTCAAAGGCTTTATTGAACCCCTATTGTGTATTATGTCATGTCTCGTGAAAAATATCTAAATTAGTTGAACTTGAGGTATGTATATAATAAAGTGTATATGATATTGCTTTTTTTAATATCACACACCGTATCTACCCTCAACCAATATAATCCCTCGAGCAGAGCTCTTGTGATTATATTGGTGTTTTAGGTTGATACTTGTGTAATATTGAAAAATGCATATGATTTACTCTATTTACTATAACCAGTCAACATTATCTCGCCTTCATTGACACAAGTTTAGAAAATCACATGTAGTTAAGTTGTAATATTTAAATATATATTTAAAATTCAATTCAAAGTAAATAATAAGTTTCTTGCAGTGAATAAGAAGTGAAAATATTCTGCATGAGTTTCTTTAATTCTTACAAAGTCAAAAACATCCTACTGGAGTCCAACCATTTTACAATCAATTAATTAACACAAAAGAATTAATAAAAGTCATTTAAGTAAAGCTGATAAAACTTCTTCTATTAACTTAAAATACAAAGAATAACCTTCAAACTGTCATTGACTTCTTCAATTTCCTCTTTTTCCCTTTTATATTCCTTTGCTTTGTTATCTACTAACTGCAATAAAAAAATAATGTCATTTATAATTGGCTTAAAGATCATGATTTAAAGTATAAACATTCAAACTGAACTTTCTTTTTCAAGGGGTTTATTATTTAAACAGAAAAAAATATCTAGTGAAATCACTCATTTTATTCATCATAGCTATTAGGGTAAATTTTTTTCACACAATAAATTACCAGTACTATTTTTTCTGGCCATTTTAGCTCTATTTCGGGAATTTTGTGTGAAAAAGGGATCTGCTAACACTTTAACAAATACAGTAAGATGTTGGCCAACATACACAATACCAATAACATACTCAAAAGAATGTGAACCATGTAAAGAAAAAAACATGGTATTAGACAGGTTTTATGTTACAAAAAATAAAATACTTTAGTTCCTCATTCAATAAGTAAATTTCACATCAACGTGCTGGTTATATATTTACTATTGTTTTCACACAACGTACATAAAGGGGTTAGATTTCAATATAAACCCCATCCATATATTGGACATTTTGGTTTTATTATATTCTACAGTTAAAAAACTCTAAACAAGTAATTAGATAATTTACCATTTTCTTCAGTTCTACTAAATGCTGTGAAATAAAATGAATTTAATCTCTGTTTAATAAAAAGGTAAATATTTCTTCTTATATTACCACCACCAACTGCTACTAAATATGTACTGTCTAAACTAGTCATTGTTTTGTTCTTTTAGCTAACAATAGATGTTCTTTAAGCTAACAATAGATGTATGGGAACTTTATAGGATTCCAGAAAATTCATAAATTTCTTTGTGAATGTTTAATATCAATTTATTTCATAATTCATATCTACACATAAGTTACAAGTAGACACTATTTTTTTCAATAAATTGTTTTGAAGCAGCTGACAGAAGTCAAATTTGTATTTTCCAAAATAATATAGGTACTTCCTTTATGAAGAAAATTAATTCTTCAAAATATTTGGTTTAAAAATATTTTCAAGTAAATTTGAAGTTTGTTTTAAACTTTCACCTTCTCCTTGTTTTTGGTTAGTCATACAGAAATCAAATAATAAGAAAACACATTCTCAATGTGAATTGTAAGATTGGACATTAACAATCACCAAGAACATAGGCTACACCACTTTAAAGGTATGGCTATAATTTAATGAAAGTAATTAAAATAAGATTAAACAGTTATTATCCTACCCTCATGTCAATACCAAAATCTTGCATAACCTGATTATGAGAGGATAGTTCTCAGATTCATGCAAAGTTTTAACAAAAAATTCTGATATATTTATTCTTTTTAGTTGATATTTCTTTACTTTTTATATCTCTTCAACAAGTATCAAATATGAAACAGTTTACATTTGGAAAAACAGTTTGAATAGGAATATTATTTTGAAATAGTAATACTTTCTACAAATCATTACTTGCATGATCTAGGCTAACAGATAATGTAGGGAAAACCATAAAAACCAAATGTAGGTAAGCAATCTGATCGAAAAGAAATTCTACTGCTAAAAGCATAACTGTAGGATCAAACACCACAAAGAAATTGATTACAACAATTATTCTAATTAATTGAAAAATCTATGTAAATTTCCATTCTACTTCATACAACACCATGAGGGGAAATGGATTAAGGACTATTTTGGTGAAATAACTTGCCCTAGAAGTAGACCCAGCTGAAAAATATTCTTTGGCATTGGGCCCAGCAGAATACAGGTTTCTATTCCTTACACTCTAAATATGTAAAACACACATAAAGTCTCATAGAAAATTTTTCCAAAACTTGTTGAAATGTCAACTTCTCCCAATGAGATTAACATTATTTACAACTACAAAATCTAGGCAAATTTGAATATATTTTTTTCCTTCTGAGGTCTTTTAAAATATCTAAATAATCTATTGTATTTGTGATAATGAACGATGAATTTCTATCTATTACAAAAACTGTACATTAAAATGTAAGTTCTCAATGTGCTTCTATTTCAGAGACCTGGGTGTTCCTTTCTGAAGACTTTTAAATCATTTTCAAAACATTAACATAAATATTATCAATTCACTCAAATCTTCTTTTTTTCTACCCTATTATTTTAGAATAATTTGATTTTTCTGAATTATATATATATTCTATACAACAGAAAATATAAAAAGATCAACAATTCAATAGAAACAGTAAATATGTATACAATATCAAAGAGAAGAATAAAACCTATGTACCCATTACTTCCTACAAACCTTATTTAATTTCTCTACTTCGTCCTTCAGTCTGTCTCTCTCAGTCAAAGCAAACTCAGCCTGCTGTTGTGTTACTTTTTTACCACTTTCTAATGTACTAATCTGTTCTAAGGACCTCTCATAATATGCTCTCACTGAGTCCAACTCTGACGCTAAATCTTGGTTGGCCTATAAAAAAATATCATATATAATTTTTAAAATCATGCACAAAACAATTTTAAGGATTTCTGTATTTCTTCAGTGTTCATAATTTGATGGGTCTACCTAATATTCTAGCTGCTGAATTTCAGGATCAAAATATATGTAACCTCTTAGGTTATGGCTATTCTTTCAGCTGTAGACATATAAAAAGACAAAATTCAATATACAGGTACAATAACTACAAAATTATATTTTTTTCATGAGATTTAGTTCATAACAGACAATCAGATATATGGATGTATGGTGCATCATAGTTCTTCATGAATATTTTATTTTGCTTAATGTAAAATTTAATCATATTTTTTGGGGGCATTATTGCACCTTAGTTAAAGTTATTTGCCATTAATAATATATATAAGATATTTAAAAACTTCATTATCACAGAAAAAAATATTAATGTTTTTTCAAAGATTTGGTTTGTCATAGATTTAACGATTATTGGCTGAGAATGTGTACAAATAGCTGTAAGTGGATTACTGTACCTTTTTATAATCTAATAGTTCTTCTTCAACATCAACAAACTGATCCTGTTTCTTTTTGGCAATATTTTTAGCTCTTGACACTTCAATCTCTTGATCATGAATTTGTTCTTCTAATACTGATTTAGTCTAGAATGAAATAGGAAACTTAAGACATAATCAGAGTTTGATGAAGTATCGAGAGAATATTTGTTTTTAACAAAGAATTTGTTCTGATTAAATCTTTTATAATACCAATTCATATACATATGTTTCATTAATATTTTCAAAGTTTAGTTGAAACTATAAACTCAAAAAACTCATAAAATAATTATTTTCATTGGTACCAGTTCCTCATATAATTGCTAAATTTATAAAATCTCATTATAAATCTGATAACTTGTTGCTTGACATCCTGGTCCAATCTTTGCTCCACAGTACTGGGGCAAGGTGGTATATAGCTGATTCAGTGCCATTCAGCCCTGACAGGATTGCTGTAGTCTGAAATTGCTCGGATGTCTGACAGCATTTTTAGAGTGCAGTCAATATACAAATATATATTGCTGAGTGATTGTTCAAAAATCACAATAATAAATGCATGCAAAAATGAATGACTCTACATTTTAAAAATTTCCATATGAACATAGTATTCATAGCATAATAAATATTTTGTTTAGATATTTCTTTTTTACATTTAACTTAGAAAAACCAATAATAATGAAATTATACTAAACATGCATACAATGTAATGGAATCTATCAAAACACCTCTTGAGTACCACTACAAACCAATATTATTCCAGGTATTATAAAATTTAGTACAATTTCAATGATGAAACTATCAGCATTATAACAGAATTAAGATGCATTCCAATAATAGTGTTTCTAGTAGCTATTTATAAAGTACATTCCCCGCCTACTGAACTTATACAAAGTTAAAATCATACCTTAGACATAATGAGATACGTCTGTAAATATTTTTCCATAAGATATATTACAATGTCTTTATAAGTTAAGAATAAATAATCAAATGTTATCTAGTTTGCAATCCATAAAGTTAAAGTATAAATTACAACCCCACCCCACCCCCCTCCCCCACCCACCCCTGAATTCAAATTTGATAAAAACATGCCAAATAGAAATATTAGCAAGAAACAAATTTGTTGTTAAAAATGATAAAAAATTCTAAAATTCAAGATACTCTCCCTCAAATTAAAGCAATAATTATTAACTAATATTCAAACAAGTATTTCAAAAGTTCAATATTAGATGAAATATTTGACAAAATAAGATTATCTCCCTTCACTTACTCTTTCTAACTGTTCATTATTAACTAATATCTGTTGTAATTTATTATTTGAGTCCATTTTCTCATGAAACAATCTGTCTTTTTCAGCACCAAAAAGAGTCACTTTTGACTGCAAATCTTTTCCTTTTTCTTCTGACACTTCTAACTGTTTTACAAGCTTTTGTTTTTCCTTGAAGAAGAAAAGGAATAAAACTGCATTAATCAACAATATTACGAAAAAATACTGTTAGGGCTGTATTATAATTAATTTTTAGATCAACTTTATAACTTTAATATATAAGAATAAAGCAGCAATGGTTTGAAAGCATTGTTTTTAAATTTCAATTGAAAATGCAGCATGACAGAGATCATTTGATAACTTTTTTGATTTGAGTGTCATTGATAAGTCTTTTGTAGACGTAATGCATGTCTGGCATACAAAACTATAAACCTGGTATCTTTGATGAGATTTTTTTTATCATTTGTTTTAGTTCCCTTTACCAGCTGACAGACCTTTTCCAAAATTGTATTAAACAATAAAATACAAATAAAGTCATGGTTTTTCTCATTGTTGAAGGCTGTACGGTTGCCTATAATTGCTTACATTCACTTTATTTGAACTTTGGTGAATAGTTGTCTCATTGGTAATCATACCACATCTCCTTATTTTTATATTATCATAATATGGTTCAGATTGAAATGAGGAATAACCACAATCTTATATGATTATAAGAGAGAATGCAAATATATACACTTTAGATATTCTCTATCTATTGCACATATATTCTAACTAGACATACCTCAGCTAATGATTTCCATGACCCTGCTAGTTTTTCATTTTCATCTTTCATGGACTGTGTGAGACTCCTCAGTTCTGATAACTGCCCTGATACTTCACCAATCCTTTTCTGTAAGTTTCCATTCTCCTGTACAATAATAAAATACAAGTTAGCCTCTGTACAATAACAAAAAAAACCAAGTCAGCCTATAAAATTCAATATTCCTGTACAATAATAAAATACACATTAATCTGTACAAAAATAAGAGGTCAAAGTTGGCAAGTTAAGATTAACCAAACTTCAAAAATTGACATGTGAGCATAAAATTGCCATAAGTCTGTAAATTTAATCAGCGTTTCACTTGTTGCATGCATCAATTCCTGAACAATGGCAAATTTTAACTGCTTTTTCTACAAACCCTTTGTCCGATCTAAATCACATGTATATCTTTCCACAATACATCTACCAACAGCACTTTTTAACATATGATTAGAGTTTTTTATATTTTCCTCTGAAAACAAAGTATAGAAATTATTACAAGCTGATAGCGCAAATCAAGAAAATTACTTACATCTCTCAGATGTTTGATTTCTACCCTTAATGTGGCATTCTCTTTTTCCATAGGTTCAAACTTTGATCTTGCCAAATCCATGGCTTCTTTGGAAACAGCAATTTCTCTTTTCAAAGTGTCTTTATCCTAAAAAAAGAAAAAGAAAAAACAATCTAACCAATGGCATTACTACAAAATAGACTTGGATCAGTGAAATGTATAGATAACATAAAAACATTTGTTTTAAACTATTTCTTTATAAAATTTATTTACAGAAGAGAGGATGAACTTCTCTTAACTGCAGTATAGGTCAAAACACCAGCTCACAAAGTTTATTCTCTAAAACACTTATCATTAAAATACATCCTTGAGAAGCACCACAATTCATAGGTAATTTGTATAAATGGTACTTTTAGGGAGTCCTATTAAAATAAATGGGGAATGTGTCCATGGGACACAGATGATACCTCTGCTTGCATATAACGTTATAAAGGGACATAACTCAAGAACGGTAAAAGTGACGCTAACCAAATTCGTACTTAATCTGAGTTTTGTGGTAATAAGCATTCTGTATAAGTTTCATAACATTTGGTTGAGGCAAACTTAAGTTAGAGAACGCTGAATTTTTCCATTTGAAAAGGGGCAATTCTAGAATGGTAAAAGTGACAACACTAAAAATCAAACTTGATCTGTGTTTTGTGGTAATAAGCATTGTTTATAAGTTCCATAACATTTTGTTGAGAACGGAAACCAATTTCGGGACGTACGGATGTACAGGGGTAAAACTTCATGCCCATCTGGTACGGCGGGGGCATAAAAAAGTATATGTTAGACACAAATTTTCCCTCATATTGATTTTTTAAAGTTTCACTACCAAACCAAAATAAATGACTGCAAACGGCCATACTTTATATAGAGATTTTTTCTTCAAATAATAACATCATCTGCTTTGAAATTATAAAATATCAACAGTCGTGATTAAGAAAAGATATTTCAATCTCCTCTCATCTGAGTGCTAAGTCTCAACAATAACATCACATAGTAGGAAAACAATTTTTTTGCAACTCAAAAGAAAGTAACATCAAAATTTCTTTCTTCGAATACTGAAATCATTAGAGAAACAGTTTCCCACCTTTTCTTATATGCAAAATAATATTTTTCCACTATCAACAGTAACATTATAACACTCAGCAAGATTCACATTTTTAAATTTTTAAATTTGATTGTCCCAAATGAAAATTGTATCTTACATGATGAAGTGTTGGAATCTATATTCACACTGTAATACACTTACCTGAGTTAATCTACCATTTTCATTCTCCAACATAGATAAAGCTTGTGTAGATTGTTCTAAAAGCACCATACGTTTATTATTGTCATTTTCTGTCACTTGGTGTTGAGCTGAAAGTGACCTCAATTGGAAATCTAATTTATCTATCCTGAAAGCAAAAATAATTTATTCATATTTATTTATTGGTCACAAGAATTATGTTTACATAAATTCAAAACAAATATATAGCTTGCTGTTCGGTGTGAGCCAAGGCTCTGTGTTGAAGACTGTACTTTGACCTATAATGGTTTACTTTTATAATTTTTGACTTGGATGGAGAGTTGTCTCATTGGCACTCATACCACATCTTCTTATATCTAATTATAGCCATTTTTTTTGTCATCAAAATATAATACTAACATAACGACCTTGTTTAAAAGCATTTCATTCATTTGATACTTTTAAAAAAATCTAAAAACTTTTGTGACTTGTATCAGTACAGCAATATAGACAAACATTTCTCCTTATCCCATAACTACTTTCACAGAGACAAAATTTGAAAAATCTCACCTGTCTTGCATTTCCTGCCGTAAACGAATATTTTCCATTTTCAAATAATCTCTTTCTTGTTCTAATGTATCAAAAGTTTGTATTGTCTTTCTGTATTCCTATATGAAATAGAGAAAAATATCACTTCATTAATTTTTTAGAAACAATTGAAATGGTCAGGCTGTTTTGAGGCTTTTTTCTGTTTTTGTTTTTGTTATGCTATTTTTGTTTCTTCTTTCAGGAGTTTTTTTTGATGGGGGGATTATACTGTTGTGCTTAATATGAATAGTTTCAACTGACCTGTATAACAAATATAAAGTTTGTGTAATGTAATTTTTTATTCAATAACTTTTACTGACTGCTTTCTCTCATTTCAGAAACATCACAGAGGGCCATAATTTTGAAAAAAAATCTTCTAGTTTGAAAAGGTAGCTTTGTATGATAATTTCATGATATTAAAGAGGCTAAAGAAACAAAACAAAGTGAGATGACAGATAAACATTGACTGATATGTGTCTTCATCATGAAAACAATTTTTAAACTTTCAAAAATCAATAACAATGGCTGCATTTTGTAAATATCCTGTCTGATTTCTTCCAGCTTAATATGCCAAACCTTGAAAAGTTTACCACTATCCATGGGTTTTGTTTATTATTTAGTTGACCCTGTCCTGATTGTATGCTATATCATATAAATTTTCACTGTACAAAAAACTTACAACCCTTCCACCTTGAAAAACTAAAAACAATATTTACTCTTTCTTTTAACTGCAGATCTCCAACAAGAATTGTGTTCCCTCGTGCTGCATTTTCTATTTTGTTGAGTCGTTGACTTTGTAACTGTAAATAAAATAAATAAAAAGCCTTCTATCATTTTTTTTTAAATCATTACAATTAGTTTCTTACAATAATAACTCTGAATATTCACCCAACTTTCTTGCAAGAATACAGTTAACATGTGTATTGTTTTGATATGGGTCCCCATTGTTCATCAAAAGTCATATTGACTTAAAAGTTTGTTTTTTTGAAACTGCAAGTTTTGTTTTCGATAGTTATCATTAAACATGTCAACAAATCCTTTAGAAATAAATTATTGATGATCAATTTAAAACTGTTCGAATGTCACTACTGAATTTTCTTTTCATTTATTTTTTTGAAAGAAGTTAGCTTTAAACAATACACATAAATGTAGCTTATAAAATATGCATGATATTGTTTTCATAAAGATTCATAAAATTCCCATTCACTTCAGCTTTCTTATAAATCATTTTCCAAAAAATCGTATAAAATAATGCACTTACAGTGAACATCCGTACCATATCAGGTATATCATAGATAAAATGTTCCTGCCACATTGTAATAACTATATTGTCTTCTAAATATTAAATTTTTCATAAAATAGAGACGTAATATTCTCATCCATAAAAAGAATAGCTTCAGATTTTTATTTTCAAATAAATATTGTATACCAAATGATTTTACAATGTAAGGAATGTAAATAAGTCCTTTTTGGTAGAACAAGAATATCAATTGGATACCAAGGAAAAATTGATAGCATTCAAACCTTATATTTACTTTCTCATTTACATACAAATCCTTTAGTATAGTACCCTACTTTCATGGTGCAAATAACATTGCCATCATTACATTGATAACAAAATTACACAAGTTGTAAAAATTGAAAATAATACTTTATAAATTTGTGTGTTCAAAAAGCTTTTCTGGATTTACTGCCATCAGGAAACCTCAGACTACCTAAAACATGAGGAGCTTAATGACCAAAAGGGATTTAAAAAATAGCTAAATATATCTAAAGTCAACTATATAATATTTTTTATATCTCATTCTATTGGTTTGATTCAACAGACTAAAACTGTTTACTTTTTGTGTTCAAACCAATGGCACAATGCATCTGATGGCATTAGTTTTCAGAAACATTCACTTTAAAACAAAAGACCAGAAAAATTAACAACTAACATCCAAAGTATCTTGTGCCTCTTTCAGTTTGTGCATCAACACAACTCGTCTATTTTCACTGTCTTCAAGCGTTGTTTTAAGGTTCCGCACTGATCGATTAAACACATATGGATGATCATGAGGTGTTAGGTCTTGTGATGAGAATGTTGAGTTGAGACGTGACATTGAGCGAGCTCTGACAAGGGGGCCTGCAGCTGGACCTGGATCTGGTGAACCTCCCCGGGGACTATAATCTTCAGGATACATTCTGGTCTTCAGACTAGAACTGAAAAAAAAATTAGATATATGTAATACATATTTAAAGCCTTGTAGGGTATACTCAATTAAAACTATTTTATGTAAGCACTTTCTTTCAATGTAGTTTCATTATTTTCTGCATTAAACATGAAAACATTTGATAATAATGAACTTTCGATGTAAAGACAGTGACAGATTTTTTAAAGTGTCCTTTCTTTGTAAAAATGACTTTTTAGCAAAGGTTCAGAAAATTGCATATAACAAACTATCAATGACATATAAGGTCTGATAATATATACTCCACAGAACAAATGCAAGAATGGTAGCTGTATTATTGAGGATTATTCAAATCGAAATTTAGTAACTATCTAATGTTTATCCTACTTTTGATTTATTCAAGATATCAGTTTTAATTAATTTGGAAGAGCATTTTGTTTTTTTAACTGTAATTTTGCCACAATCAAAGATATGATTGAAAGTAAGACATATTGTTCAGTATACAATGACTAAATCAGGTTGTGACTCTTTTCTATTGCTTCATGGTGCCATCTTAAAGAAAATTTTGAGAGATATAAAAATTGTCTTATCTTTTTGTTAAACACATCAGTTTCTTGTATCTTATATCATGTCAGATATATACACCATTTATAATTTTTTTTCTTTGTCTTTTTAGTTGACTCACTATTTCCTACATTTTATTTGACTATTTCCCACATTTTTTCAAATAAACTTCACAAGTTGCTGAATTTTATGATTATTTACCTGAACCCACTATCAGAATCTGGGAACACACCAGAGTTGAATGAATCATGTACACTTTTGATCTGTGAATGTCGTGGGCTGAAATTAACGGGACCATTGTGATAGCCCTGCATCTCAGGACCATTGTGATAGCCCTGCATCTCGTCCCTCTGTTCCCCTGAGGGAACGCTATCTATCTGTAAATATAAAATGGTAATATTTCAGTCATTTGTTGTGCCTTATTCAACTTTTTTAAGTCACTTAATTCACCTTGAATTATCCACAGACAGAATATTAACGTGGCTTAAAGGTTACCCATGAAGTAATCAGAGATAATATGAAAAGTAAATGAATGAAAATTCTTTGCTCCCTGTTGTCTTTGCCTAAATCAGGTACTGACATACATCAGAAGTAAAAAATACTGTGCCTCACAAGATATGTTTTATATACTACTCAAAGGCTTAGGCTTTCAAACAATATGGGTACATGTAATAAGAATCAGAAGAGAAAAATGTTTAGTTCATACCCAAGCTAGCTTTATACAGGTACATATATATTGATATACTGTTCCCAGCTTTAAACAATCAGATACTACTGGAATCACTGGATACAAATTTCTATGACAATCATAAATTTATATTTATATCACAATTCTGACATTTTTGTACTTGGTTGTAAATAATTGAAACCTATTATGTTGTTAGGTAGCCTGTGCATTACAAATCTACATCTAACAAATATACCCAATACACAATAGAGCTAATAATGCTATTTAAATAAATATATTCAAAGGAGTTTTATTGTAAATTTTATTTAAATTTTCATTTGTACAATAAAACCAGAAGCTTTCATTTGTGAAAAATATTAGACATGTAAACTTAGACCACCTTGTGGTAACTAGGAAACACCTCTGTATTGTCACCTGACAATATATCACATTACAATGCTTTCTTCCTATTATACTAAACAATTCACACATAAAATGATCACTTAGTTATCATACATCAGGTCCAATCTTGTATCAATGAAAACGATTTATCTACCAATCTAAAATCCTTTATCTTTAAATGGTAAGAGGTGTGAAATTTCAACATTTGCCTTGGTATTTTAAAAACACTAAATACATTCTAAACTGTTGATCTACAGCAATCAATCAACAAAAGGAATATTTGAATTTGTTTCAAGTTTTACATTTTTGACTTGTGTCAGCGCCATCTAACTCTATGTGACATTTAAAATTTTTAATCTCAATGCAAACTTATCAATCCTTTTAAGATTCTCTCATGGGTAGATAGATTTCTATAAAATGAAATATTTTGTATATATCATATCTAATGGTCCATCAATAATAACATTTAAACCAAAGTCAACTTTGTCACCTTGTTCTGCCGTAACAAGTCAACAAGTATTTTCTATCTTATGTAAAGCAGATAAAAAGACAGATACCAACAAAATATCTAAGACTTTCACCAGCAGAAGTACCTGGTTACTATTATAAGCATCAATGTTAAATGAAAATAACTGTAAATGATTGCATGGGATTCATCGTATTGTCTACTGTGAAATCATTATTACTCGTGGAATACCAATTTTCATTGATTTCATTGGTACAAGCTTAAGTGAACCACGATTTTAATAGTTTAACGAAGTACAAATTTTCTATAGGCTTAAGGTGGTATGGGAGTATAAATTAAAAATGATAGAATTTGTTTATACTTTGCCAAAACGTAGTACATGTGGTGATATGTTCAAAAATATAATAAAAATGATCGGTCACCGAACATTTTCTCAAGCTACAGGTTGTGACAAAATGACACATTTTGTATGGATTATACTGGGAAAAACAGCATTATGTGATTAGAAGCTAAACTAAATGATAGAATTGCAAAATAAAATACGAGAAGATAGCTATTAGAAAATGCTTTAAGAATATCAAAAGAAAAGATAGGGTCACCGTACGTTTTTTACGGCTATAATATAAAATAGCAAAATTTCATGTAGATTCCTTCAGAAAATGCACTATTTCAGAGTTACCTCCCTTTAAAATGCCAACTTAAAAACATTAAAAATCAAGCAAAATTAATCTAAGCTTGTAAAAATATGAATATTTATAAGTTAAAATTTTATAAATTTATACTTTTAAATGAAAAATCACATTAGTCACATCCCTCATCAAATTTTGCTAATTTGATTGAAAATCTGGACCTAAGGTTCTCTGTTAATTATAATCCAAGATGGCGAGAGACACCCATACTACCTGAAATGCAGACTTTTGTAAAACCACAAAATCAAATATCCATGAAACTACAAATTTTCCTAATTCCACAAAAATTGGTACCTACGCAAGTACTAGAGGTGAATCCACAATATAATATCAACCTGAGAATACCATAGCAATCTAAACAGCTTTGAGGCCTGATACAAAGGACAATTTAAATAATGATATGTAATGATCTATTTATCACATATTTAAACTACCTTATAAGCACTAGACAGTGATTTTCTATTTCTATTATCTAACATTTGATAAAATTCATAGATTTGGCAGAGGTACATATTAATAGTACTATTTAGAAATAATATTGGGTTCTTGTTTGATTGCTAGTTATTTTTCTTGTTACTCATCATCTATCTGTATTTTTTACTACATGTTTTAAAATATTAAGACACCATGTCCTTTATTCCATAACAGTATCAAATCTGTTCAAATAATTTTGTTGCATTTGATTGCAACATAGTAAAAAAAATCAAAAACATAATTATCTGTTGAAATCTAGGTGAAAAAAATTAGGCATGCAATACTTCCCTTATGCAAATTTAAGTGTTTTAAAAGGAAATGTGAAAGACGTGCATCTCAATATGACCCATACATTAGTGACTGGTCCCTATTTGGGAAATCCAAAATCAATGTTGTCAACAGATAAACTTTATTTCCTTACGAAGATAATGTTCAACTTTAATTGGTTTCAGTTAAGTAGTTCTACAGTTTTGGATAAGATATTACCACCCCTTAGGAATCATGCAAATTTCACCAGCTATAGGACATCCAAACAATCCATGATATCAAGAAATGAAATATATGATGCAATACCACCCAGCCTACATGTATAGATGATAATGTGTCATTGGATCTTCAGGTAACATGAAAAATATCAATACTACTTTAAGTTTTGCATGACAAAACCTCATTTACAGAAATGCATAAATATCTCTCTAAGTAGTCTGAGACATTTATCTTGTAAATGATCACACTTAACTACAATATAAAATTTTTATGTCATAAATTGTCCATATGCCATCTGTATGAAGGATTTACAAGTAGTTCTATTGGTCTCTATTACTGCTAGAGTAAACATAAAAACTGGGTAATATTTACAATAAAGTAATAACACACCTAATAAACGTTATTTAGAAGCAATATTAAACTAATGTTTAATCTGAATCGGAAATATGGGATATGACATCAACCAGACAGATACCCAACAACACAATAAAACAAAATTTATAACTAGAGGTCAACAAAACAGTTTTTTATTTACATTTAACCCAAAAAAATACAGATAAGAGAATATTATTTATGTAAACTTGTTCAGCACGATCAGAAAAGCAGTCAATAAGAATTGCATTTTTATTTGTATTTTGACACCAGTTTCTCTGTGAAGATTTGAATATTGCCAAACTGTTCCATCTACCATGATTTGTACATATCATAAATTGTTCTAAAACAATAAGGAAATCAATATAGTGTCCATAAAACATGAAAACTGTGGTATTGATAGCTTTAAATTTGTATAGGTTCATTTATTTGAATTTATGACATAACTAAACATAACAGTTTATAATCACACATTATCCATTTGAAATAAAATGTGTTAGCTTTTACAAAACTGATATAATCAATATTTTGTTGATAAAACATGGAAATTTAAGGTAAAAGCTTAAATTCATTTCATTAATTTTAATATCCTGTTTGCGAATATGATATCCTGACAGAAAATTTTTAATTAAACATTTAACCTGAAATAACCCAAACTTCTGCTTAATACATGAGTTATGTAATCACTGATAGTATCAAGGCGATCAAGTTTTTAGTACCACCACAGCTAAAAACCTAAGTGCCACTAATCAATATTTTCAATAAAGATTAAACTTTACAACATAGATTTTAGAAGTAGATAAAATATTTATAAATTCACTCAATACTAATTTACTTTAACAAAAGCTGGTAGGAATAACATAATGTGTCTAGCCTTGTCAAGTAATCAGCTCCATGTAGAGATATAAGTAAAATATCATTGATTCTCTCTGGTACAGAGATTTAGTAGCTATAGTTCTTTTAGATACAAAGGCTTTCCATTAGGCCATTGTTGTATTTATTTCTGTTTCTGACTCAGACCTTTGAAACCTAACTTTCCAGTACAATCAAACAACAAAAAAGGAGAAAACTAAACCATATCTCCCTCAGTGTATATTTCTTTATAAAAATGTAAGATTCTTCCATATTTAAGTACCGCATTTAAAGCATCTCTAAAAAAATGCATAATTATGAAAGGGATGCATAATTTATTATTCTGAGATGTACAATGGTCCAATCAAGTTACTAGTTTGTATTGTTTCAGCATTATGCTAACATAGTTTCAGTAAGCAAACTCATTTTTTACCCTCCAACTTCCACCCTTATTATATAGCTTATTATATAGCGGTTCAACTTCTAGTTTTGAAGTTTGAAGTTTTCAGCAATTGTTTTTATTTTTGTTTCTTTGGTAGAGAAGATTACTGTTTACATAACAAATAGTTATTGTAATACATTTTTAAAATTTGATTTATATATGGAATCTCATGTAATAGGATTTTTTTATGCCCCCGCCGTAGCGAGGGGGGGGGGCATTAAGTTTTACCCTTGTTTGTCCGTACGTCCCAAAGTTGGTTTCCGTTCTCTAACTTAAGTTTGTCTCAACCAAATTTTATGAAACTTATATACAATGCTTATTACCACAAAACACAGATCAAGTTTGAATTTTGGTGGTGTCACTTTTACTGTTCTAGAGTTATGCCCCTATACAAATGGAAAAATTGCTGAATTTTTCATTTCCATTCTCTAACTTAAGTTTGCCTCAACCAAATGTTATGAAACCTTTACACAATACTTATTACCACAAAACTCGGATCAAGTACAAATTTGGGTAGCGTCACTTTTACCGTTCTTCAGTTATGTCACTTTATAACTTTATATGATATGCAAGCGGGGGCATCATCTGTGTCCATCTGTGTCCCATCGACACATTCCCCATTTTTTTATTCTTGATTTCTTTTGGAATGATAACTTTGTTCAACCAAAACTGCATGACAGACTTATCCCAGAAAATTGCATATACTTATTTTTGGTACATTTTGAATATGAGGACATGTGACTTTCATTCGATGAAAACAATATAATTAAATTTCAATATTTTTATTTTATTGAAAAGTTAACTTTTTTTTATTAAAGTAGGATAAAATTTTGGTCAAGTGGTGTAAAATTTAAGTTTAAAGCAAATGTAATGATGAATTCTATGCAGTTTTGAAACTAATAAAATAAACTAAGAAAGTGTTACTTTCCCATACATATTTAGCATACATGTATTATAATACAAACATGACATTGATATTTAGCATATAAACATACATGTATTATAGTACAAACATGACACTGAACAATGATATAACTCTCTAGACTTATAATACCATTAAACTTCCTTAAAATAATAGATTCCTACCTAACAACCGTTTACCTGTGTCACAGGTGATAAAAACATGCACTAACTGCAATACACATCCCTTGGAATGTACATCCTATCAGTTATCTGCTTTAATCTTCTATTTTTCACTTCATTAACCCTCTTCAAACAATATTACAACAATTTTTCCACTTTCTTTAATGTTCCAAACTGTGACAAATTTTTTATTAAAATATTTTCCAATAAAGAATATCAAAACGTAATATTTTGCATTCACATGTAGAAAGTTCCTATACCGGTAGCACTCGTTCTGTCCCTAATATAATCTTCTTTGATAACACGTTGAACTACAGAATTGATTTTATTAAAGGGATGTGTTCCGACACGCTCAACATAACCGAGGAAAAAGTGGCAGACCTAATACACAACATGGTAAACAATATATACCAGTCAATATATAAATACTACGATTATTTAAATGATACCCGACAATTGATTACCTGGCTAATTATAAAGATGAATTACCTAGAGCCCAGTTTTAAAGGTTTAAACTTAATGTCATATGAAATATATAGATCATTGTTGAAAAAACTTATACATATAAAATATATCTAATAAGTAATTTGAAACTTAGTAAATTGTCTGTGGATAATTTTTATTCATTTTAAAATTTAGATAACTATTTACCGAAGCTATTATTCCAAATTAAAAATGTCAAAACTAGTATTTATTTCAAACCGTTTTTCATATGAATAGGCTGTATATTATTCAGTATTGCCACAATATTGCTAAAAAATATTAATAATACAATTCAGAATTTATTTACGATCAAGTTAATTATTACTTATTACTTTTATTGATAGTATTGGAAAGAGTATGCTACAAAAATATCCCAAGGTGAAATTTTTTTAAAGAATTTCTTTTAAGGTACATAACTTTCAAATATATCTGACATAGTCACAGGGACTTGGGCATCACCCTCCCCTCCCCCCCCCCCCCCCACAATAATTTTTTTTTACAATACATTTTGTATGTTTTATCTTATTTTCCAACTTTTAACATTTTCTTGTAATTATCTATAATATATCACTATAACAGCATTTTGATGCCTCTCTACTGTTATTTTTCATATGGAAAAACTCATATATTACCAGATCAATTTTTCAAACAATTGTCTATTTTGGTCTCTAAATACAAAAAAAAAAATAAAAAGACTACTTACAATATTATGCAATTCTGTATTGGTTGAATCATTAAATATTTTTGATAAGCAATATAAAAACAAAAGAAGAAAATTTGGCTAAAACTCATTGCCAAATAGATATGGAATGCTGAAACAAGTGCTAAACATTAGGGACAAAAGGCTGTAGTGTTCAGTGGAACAGTTTTGTTTTTGATGATGGGAGTTTTTAATGACGTTGACTGGCTGTACAGCCCTCGTATGGTCGGTAAATATAGCTTTATATCAACTGATTTTTTTTATCCTAGTCCAGGGTGATTAGGTAAAGGATAAGCCAGTACAATGGATTTAAGGTAAACAATTTAACACCTTTATGTTTAATGAACCAAGCAGATAATATAAATCATTCCCCCATGGTGTTCTTGTATTCTAAATTCTGACTTTTAATATTTGTGTGTATTAACATTTCAACACTATATATGAAATATTAAATAGATACAAAGAAGTCATGACTCTCAACCTAAGGTCACATTTGTCCATAAACTCAATCATTAAACCATTTTAACACCTTTTTTTGCTTCTTTTATTTGCTGTTATGACAGAATTCATACTATACATTGACAAAACCTTTGTGGTAAATACTTTCATGCATGATAATAGTAACCAGCAAAATTTTAACTTGTTCCTCATTAACTTTGAAAATATCCTTCAACAAATTCCAAATATCAGTGACATTTTGCTTCAGGATTTTTTTCAAACAGGCTCAATCTTTAAAAATATGTCTGAATGTTTGCCTGGGTAATCATATTGACCATGCTTAAACTTTGGCTTGCTTACAAAAATTAAGTTTGCAGTGACCAATTTAACATATTCTTATAAATACTAATAAGTAAAATTTTACGTAATGCAAAAGATTTAAATTTAAAATGAAATAAAAATCTTTTAAAACCTATAGATTCATTAATACATTATCAAGTACTACCATGATTGCTTTTCTTTAAAATTCCAATTTTAATTAGTTTATTAATATAAACGTTGTAAACATTTTAATAGATTTGTGGAGGTCCTTCCCTAAGATCTTACAGATTTCATTCAACTGTTTAAGTACTTATTTGAAAATCTGACAATTATTTAAATATATTTTAATCCTTGAAATAATAAATTATACATAATTTTCCATAATTTTGATTTAAACTTATTTAACCAAATGTTTGCATGCACACTCAATGTATTTCAACCTGAAAAGTTCATAAGAGTGAATAACACAGAGTGAAATCAATGGAGCAATCAATAATCTAAACAACATATCTAAGCTTCATCTATTCAAGAAATATAACCAAAATCATGTGTCCTGACATTAGTTTGTTTGTTTTAAACATATTTTCGCATGCATCTGTAATTTTTTTGCAGTGTATGACTTCCTTATCAGGTTGGGAAGCTCCAAAAATCCCTTGCATCTAATAATAAAATGTAAGGTAAATTGGCAAATGTAAGAAAAAATTCTGTGAAAATTTCGCTTAATGTTAGTGAATGGTTTATGAGGAGTTGTGGTTATATAATGCCTATCCGCCCTTAAAAGATACCAAAAATAGGGCAAATACCATGTTTTTTTATGAAAAAACTCCAAAAATAAAACAGGAGGCAAAATGCCAATATGTTCCAAGCCTCTCAATAATTCATTGAACCCAAATCACTGGTTAAGAAGAAGTTGCAGAAACAAAGTGTTGAGGAAGGACAGAAAAACAAACAGATTTGATTCTTGATTTTTGGTGTTTTAACGCCACTTTTAAGCACCGCTTTTGGGCTATTTCGTGGCGGCCAGTTTTTATTGGTGGAGGAAGCCGGAGTGCCAAAAAACAAACAGAAGAATGGACAGACAACATAATCACTGTATACCCTAGCTTCATTAGGTTACTTTATCACAATCCCTTTTGGTAAAAAAACTAGAGGCTCTCAAGAGCCTGTGTCACTCACCTGTATCTACTGTGGTTTTAGAAATCATGTAAAATAAGGTTAAAATCATAATAAATAGTATGAGATACCCTAATAATGAACGAGGCCAAGTTTGGTTTAATTTGGCCCAGTAGTTAAATTAAAAGCAGGTCATCCCATTGTAGTCTTTCAATAGTTACTGAAGACCCCTTATCATTATTTAAATTATTTTTCAAGTTGTGACCATTTGAACTTGATTTTTTATAATTTTCCTACAGAGATTTCTATAGTAAACCCCTATGTTCTATTTTAAGCCATGGCAGCCATGTTGGTTGGATGGCATGGTCATCAGAAACATTTCTAAATGAAGATACCCTATTGAAAATTGTGGCTAAGTTTAATTCTATTTGGCCCAGTAGATTAAGTGGAGAAGATTTTTGTAAAAGATTACAAAAATTTACGAAAAATTGTGAAAATTTGACCTTAACCTAATGAACATTTTTACCACATGTCAGATTTGCTCTAAATGCTTTAGTTTCAGAGATATAAGACAAACTGCATTTTACCCCCATGTTCTATTTTTAGCCATGGGGGCCTTCTTGGTTGATGGACAGGGTCATCTGAAACAGTTTTTAAACTAGATACCCTAAGGATAATTTAGGCCAAGTTTGGTGTAATTTGGCCCAGTAGTTTCAGAGGAGAAGATTTTTGTAAAAGATTACAAAAATTTACAAAAAATTGTGAAAACTTGACTTTAAAGGACAATAACTCCTTCTGGGGTCAATTGACAATTTTGGTCATGTTCGACTCATTTGTAGATTTTACTTTGCTGAACAATTTTGCTGTTTACAGTTTATCTCTATCTATTATAATATTCAAGATAATAACCAAAAACTACAAAATTTCCATAAAATTACCAATTCAGGGGCAACAACCCAACAACGGGTTGACTGATGTGTCTGAAAATTTCAGGGCAGATAGATCTTGACCTGATTAACATTTTTACCCCTGTCAGATTTGCTCTTAATGCTTTAGTTTCAGAGATATAAGCCAAAAACTGCATTTTACCCCCATGTTCTATTTTTAGCCATGGTGGCCATCATGGTTGATGGCTGGGGTCATCAGATATATTTTTTAAACTAGATACCCTAAGGATGATATAGGCCAAGTTTGGTTTTATTTGGCTCAGTAGTTTAAGAGGAGAAGGTTTTTGTAAAAGTTTACGAACGACAACGACAACGGACGAAGGACGCCAAGTGATGAGAAAAGCTCACTTGGCCCTTTTGGGCCAGGTGAGCTTAAAAAGGTGACATTTGGTAATTGGAGGAAAAGAAATGTTTTTCTTTAAAGAGTGAGATTTGAACTTATCTATAAGTACATCATTCCTATTTTTCAATTAAATTACGGGTTATGCAAAAACAACGTTCAAATATTTGTCAAAAATTTTAAACTTAGTCCACAATTCACTATATCAATATTGACTTTCCACCTCTGTTATTACATATTAATAAGAAATCTATCAAGGTCTGTTTGATTACTACTACACAAATATGACATTAAAGGAATTACATTTCAAGATCGAAGCAGGACAAACAATGCAATAATCTGTCAATTTAAGTTTTCAATTTAATTCAATTTAGTCCAGTGACATTTTTTTGTTTAATTTTTTACATATTACTAGCAATATTACTAACAATGCCAGTGCACTTGTGGTTTAAAAGTGTAGGAACTTAGCAGTACATGTACATGTACCCGCAAATCAAGTTATTCAGTACAAATCAAATCTATATCATAGAACAGTTTGATATTTATAAAAGATGAAGATTTATGATTTTTATCGGAATAAACATTAACCTACTAAATGTACATTATTCATTATTTTAAACCTCTGTAAGAAAAAAAATAAAAGTATGTCTATTGAGCCCATAAATAACACCAGATAACCAATATCAAAATTGCTTTCACCCTTCAGACTGGAAAAAGGTTTGAGTAAGAGAGTAATATAGACAAGTCAAACATCGTTTTATGTCTCTGTATTGGCAGGTATTTTAACATTTTAGTCTTATTTACAACCTATTTAAAATTCAAAATCTTTTTTATAGCCATTTGAAGTTTTATGTGATGTACATTAATTTAAATCCATTAAACTGAAAACGGATTTTAATTAAAAAGTAAAAAATCCTGACAACAAATCATAGTGTTTGATACAAGATCATACAAGTAGGAAGATATATATTGTAGCAAATTACTTTGTCAGTTGTAAATTTGGAAATTTTTTAAAAGTGATTTAGATGACAA